TAACCCTAACCCTAACCCTAACCCTAACCCTAACCCTAACCCTAACCCTAACCCTAACCCTAACCCTAACCCTAACCCTAACCCTAACCCTAACCGGATGACTGTAAAGTTCACTTCTTTAGCCCCATAAAGGTCCAAGAATCTCGTGATCTACAGGAGGAGAAGGAACGGGCTAACAGCAGTTAGAGTTACAAAAGACAGAAGAGAGGATCCAGAAGCAGCTACAAAAGGAGGAGAAGCAATGGGAGATAGCTCAGAGGAAGCAGATGAGGGCACAAAAACAGGCTACTCGTCAGCAGGAACAGCAGCGAGTAAAGCAGCAGTGGCAGGAGGCTAAGGAAGCTAAAGAAGCTGCTCAACAGTTACATCAAGAACAGCATGCTAGAAAGCCTCCAAAACAGCGTCAAAAGAAGCCATCAAAGGCTCCAGTTGAGCCTGATTCTGAGGCTGCAGTCGAAGTGGAAGATAAGGTATTCCCATTGGCTGAAAATGTGTCACAGAGGCCTCAGCGACAGCAATGTCTCCCACAACGCCTAGACGGCTATAATATTACTATAGTTTAATAGAGCGTCATCAAAAGTCCTTTTTAACACGTTTTTAGGCTGTATTTGGGTGTTTCTATGAAGCTAGAGCATTGAGAGTGAAGGCGACATTTTGTGTGCTGATCGTGCACGCCGTGGGACCGTGCACGCCATGGGGCGCTCTTCTACAGGGAGGGACGTTACTTGTTAACACTCTTCTAACTGCTTCTAGAGGACGGGGCAAAGTTTCTTATTCGCAACTGCTAATTTCTAACACCAGCGCAAACGTTCTGCCCGTTGTAACGCACCTAGACTCTGTCTCCTTAGGCAGGGAGCACAGGCAGAGGAGATAGAGGCAGTACATATACTAGACGATTTCGAAGACTTTTCTAATAACAGTTCGCTATTCAAGCTTATAATACATTCTCAAGTACTCTACTCCGGACTGCTGTGCCTAAAGGGATCTAGCACTTGCTCTCAAGATAGATATCGCTGCTCTTATCCTCCAGCGAACCATTCAGGTCCTTTTCCTGCACCTGCTGGACCCTTGCCTGGAGCTCTCCCATCCGCTTCGCAAACTCCTTCTCCTCATTCCAGACGAAGATGCTCTTGGACGCAAACAGGAAATCAATCGCCTCGAGGGTGCGCCCGGAGGTCTCAGGGAAGAAGCAGTAAATGATAGGAATGTAAGCAAACATTGCCGCGCCAAACACGTAGAAAGTCTTTTCGTTGATGCCGGCAAACATGATGGGGACGAGCAACGAGCCGCCGCCGAAACCGACAGCCCAGCCCGCCACGCCGAACGCGTTCCCCTTGGCGCGCAACCAGGTGGGGAAAATCTCGGTCGGGTAGATGAAGGGGATCATCAGCCAGGACGAGCTGAAGATGAGGACGTAGACGAACACCATGGCAGCAGCGGCGGTCCCGTACTGCTCTGCCTTGTCGGGGTGGTTCAGAGCGCCGCGGTAAAGGCCGCCCATCGTGAAGAGAATGATGCTGAGTGCGACGGCTCCCCAGTAGAGTGTCCTGCGGCGCCCCACGCGGTCGATGGTGAAGGCCGCGATGGCTGTGCCGAGGATGCCGACCATCATGTTGAGCGCGGAGAGCCAGTTCGACTTGATATCGTCAAAGCCCGCCGTCCGGAAAATGGTGCCGCTGTAGATGACGACGGCTGCGATGCCAGTGCCGTACTGCATGAGCACCTGAAGCCAGAACGCGAGTTGGATTCTGCGGCCGAGGTGGATGTCGCCCGACCCGATTCCGAAGAACATCTTGATGTAGTTGCTGCTCTTGTTGTCGCGCTCCAAGTCGATGACGGCAAGGATCTCGTGGTATTCTTGTTGGACGTCTGGGTGGTTGGCATCCCCGTCTCCGCGGATCTTGGTGATGATTTCAAACGCCTCCTCGCGTCTGCCCTCCTTGATAAGCCAGCGCGGCGACTCTGGGATTAGCAGAGAACCTGCGAGCAGGAAGAAGAGCGGGATGGCCTGCGTTGCAAAGCAGAAGCGCCACCTGAAGGCGCCACCAGCGAGCTCGGTGAAGGAGGTGCCGAAACCAATCCAAGCAGAAAGCGAGATACCGGAGAAATTCGCCAGGAAAGTGAGCGCTATCATCTTTCCTCTGTGTGCGGCCGGAGAAAGCTCTGCCGTCCAAGCTGGGGCGATGACGAGAATGAAGGCGATACCGATGCCGGCCACAAGTCTGCCCACGAACATATGAGCCTGGTTAATGGCGGAGGCCTGGAGGATGACGCCGGCCATGCACCAGAAAGTAGCCATCCAGATACCCTTGATCCCTGAGAGAAGCATTAGACTGATGGCGACATGGATTCCGCAAGTGACGACGTACGTCCATAAGTGTCAGAGAATTGACCCGCCCAAAATGCCCCGAGTAGGGCGCCAGCGTAGTAGGTCGAGACCAAGCCGCCTTGTAAGGACGGCTTGATAACATGGCCCTTTTCGTCGGCGAAACCCATTCGATGCTGCGATGTCGTTAGCGATAGGGCTCAGAAATGGTCAGGTACGGTTGCTAACCCCGTATTCAGGCGCGACATTGACCGCTCCCATGACACCTTGGCTCATTCCTTCGTAGGAAACAGCCATAGCTGAGACGGCGATGATAAGCTTCAGCAGCTTAGGGCCACTCATCTTCCTCCAGTAGTTACCCATTTTGGCGAAGGGAAAAAAGATGCTCAGAGCAATAGAGGGTCGAAAAGATGGCGAGTACCTAGCAGGGCACTGTGATGGCTACGATATTCTAGAGGCATGACGATCGCTTTATACAAGTTAGCATCCAACAGAAGTAGTCTGCTCAACCAAGTGGCGGGTCGAAGTATGGGGTACGGGGCCCCAGAGTAGGTTCTCGTCCGGGGCCCGCGCCCGTCTCGGTAGTATGTCCCATGGGCCTGGAAACCAGTCCTCGAGACGAGTAAGATACGGCGATGATTGGTTCCTGATACTCGACTCGAACGCTCCGGATCTCTACAGCGTCTCGCCTTCTTCCGCATATTCGGAATTACGCGCTTTACCGAATTACGCGCTTTACCGCTTTACCGAATTACAAGTACGCGCTTTACCGGTTTACCGAATTACGCGCTTTACCTGTACTGGTAGGAGTTAAACTCAACAAGTAACCGCTTGACCATAAGAGGGAATTTCTTGGCTTCCGCATATCCGATTTAACTGTCCAGACGCTGTACTGGATGAGGCACAAAAGTTACTGCTGTTCGGGCCGATCCTTCATGCGACCTGCCCTCGAGACGAAATTCCCTATTCAGCAATCCATCCTCACATTCACGAACCTTACTTAACATCATCACGACGGAGGCACCCTTTATCGCAAAAGAGCATCTTCTAAACGTTTTTCTTCACTTCTCGGGCGTCTTTCGTAAATCACGACGGGCCTCTACACTCGCGACTCGCTTTCTCTTCATTGCCACCTCTTATTCCACATATCGCCGCAGCAATGCCCGGCCCAGTCAGTCTTGCAGAGCAGGTGAAGGAGGTGTGGACCTCCGACGAGGGCTCAATGGCCAAGGACACAGCGTCCAACCGATGGCCGAAGATTGTTCAAGGAATGGTGGATGATGTTGCAGAGACGGCCGCTACAGCCGTAGACAGGCCGCAACAAGAAGAGGCTCTATCAATTCAAGCTGCGCTCAAGGAGATCAAGGATGACATGCTTCAAAACAGAGTCTTGCGGTAAGATCTGCAACTCCATGCTGCCAACTTTGCCAGCTCAAGCGCTGACCTTTCCCGGTCCCCTTCCTTCGGATGGCCGGGACGACATTGACGGCTACAACGAGCGCTTGGAGCAGCTTGGTGGAAAATGCACTTGGCTAGCTTGCCCGTGGCTGTTCGGAGAATGCTACCTCTACAGGTATGGAGCCCTCGCAACTGCATCCTCGTCACCAGCGAATTGGAATTGACCGTGTTTTAGGCGGGTTCAGACCATCTTCGCTCTTACACATCACTGGCGCGACTACGACATCTTCAAAAGACAAAAGGATTCTACCTTTGCAAAGTCGTGCAAAGCAGTTGAGGAGCTGTCAGCTCGGTACATGCAAGTCATCGCCAACTCGACGCTCCCGGGGGATGCCACGAACGAGGAGGCCAGAAAGCTGCTCTTCGTCGAAATGACGGAAGTGGCCCTGTGGGGCAATGCCACTGACCTATCTCTCCTGAGCAACCTCAGCCTGGACCAGATCCAGAGCCTGCAAGGTCGAGAAGCCATCGCCAAGAGCCAGCGCAACATCGTGGACAACGATACAGACGCCGTCTGGCAGTATCTGTCAAGTCCGCTCCGCTTCAACCGCCGCATCGACATTGTCCTTGACAACGCCGGCTTCGAGTTCTTTACCGACGTCATCTACGCCGCCTATCTGCTCGAAAGTGGCCTGGCGTCCGTCATCGTGTTCCACGTCAAGGACTTCCCTTGGTTTGTCAGCGACGTGATAGCCGCAGACGTCGAGTCGCTCTTCCAACACCTCGAATCTGCATCCATCTTTCCCAACCGATCCTTCATTGATCAGGTCGTCCCCCGCCTTCGCGCGCATTTCGACTCGGGCGCCATGAGCATCAAGCAACATTCCTTCTGGACCACCGCCTACTCTTTCCACCAAATGAAGGCCCTCGCTCCCGGATTGTTCAAGTCGCTGCAGGTCAGCTCCATGGTCATCTTCAAGGGCGATCTGAACTACCGCAAGCTGACCAAGGACGGCCTGTGGCCGCACACAACCCCTTTCAAAGACGCCATTGGATCCATGGGCGCAGAGAGCGGCATCAAGGTCCTTGCTCTCAGGACAAATAAGTCGGATACCTGCGTTGGCGTGGAGAGCCAAGAGCGGGTGGACGCATTGAATGAGGAGGCGCCGCACGGGGTGTGGATCAGGAATGGCAAATACGCCGTCGTGTCGTTTAGTGATGGGGAGAAAACGGACGGCAAATGACGACTTTGATGTTTGATTTTGGCATGTATATCTTTACCAATTAGTACAAAAACAATTCTTTTCCTCTTGCGACATCCATCACTCGAACATCCTAGAGACCCAAGGGGGTCACCCCTGCTTTTACATATCGGAGAGGCGGCCTATTATCTGCCTGCGGTTTATCTGTCAACTGAACGGAAACGTCGCTGTTGATAATGTTGGCTCGTGGAAAAGAGTTCCAAGACACACTGGCGCCTTGGTTCACCTTGGCTTGCACTCGTTATTTGACGATGACCGATGCCCATGGCATTTGAGTTTAGCGTAGCGCCGAGTCACGTCATTGGTACAAAGGTAACGACTATGCTAGCGGAGTGCCGCTTCAGGTCAAGCATGGAAAATACTCGGGTTCCCTACGGCTTCCTCGCACTACCGTCGCATCCAAACAGCAAGTGATTATCACAGCGTAGACGCCTGAATGGTTGACAACAATTTAGTAATCTACGCTGTGATGGAGGTTCAAGAGAGAGGGATACGCTCGTTTTATCTCCGCAGCGGGTGAGCCGGGTATTGCAGGGGAACGCGCAGTTCTATGACCATCTGCTGTACAGGTAGGTACAGGCGGATGAATCGGTTCGTCGCGGCCTCTTCCACGCTCATCCATCTTACGTTAGCCACATGAATCATCAGCTATAGGCAGAGTCATAGATGCATGCGCAGATGACAAGTTGAAGAAGAAGTTGAAGAAGCAGGAAGCCTCCGGATGCAATACGCAAGCACCGGGAAGGCGTCAACCAAAAATAAAAAATACACCTAGGATCGCAACACCTAGTCATTTTCCAGCACGGTGATTCCCCTAGGCTTGGAATAAATCGCTAGGTTTTGACCCCCTTGAACGCCGGGTATCTTCCATTAACAACATTTTGGCTCTTCGCTGCGTTCATTCCCGAACAAGGAAAGAAAAATCTCATACCATACCCCACTCCTCCCTCAAAGACTGGACGATCCACGCTGTTGGCCAGGCGTGCTCTTTCTCCACGTTGACGAGAAGCTGGATAACGCCGTCCCTCTCAAATTGGTCCGTCATTAGCGGGCCCCCTACACATCCTTGGATTCAGCATATCGCTCGATTTTCACAGTCAGGGGATTAGAAGGGTGACTCACATATGAAGACCGTATGACACAAGGTGATTAACGATGGCACGGTGGCAGGGGAACTTCGGCACGCCCCGCAAATAGCACGAGCGTGTTCCATGACTTGGAACTGGTTCCATGATTCAGTGAGCGTGTCGTGGAGAAACAAGGGCGGTCTCTGCCAAGGGTAACTTACGTCGGTTTCGCGTAGTCTCCCGTGGACGCTCCGGACAGCAAACCTAGGCGTAGGCTTGTACATGATCAAGAGCATGCAAGACAAATGGTAGAATCCGAAAGCCATGACTAGAGAATGTGAGACGACGGTGCACCAAGATGGGTGGGCGGGGCGACTTCTCCGCTTACCATGCCAATCTGCGATGAACCAGAATTCGGGGAACGGGTTCGATGCCCCAGGAACCGGTAGCCCGGCCCAGATGGGATCGAAAGTCGCTGGGCGATTCTGCAGCCAGCTCTCCACTGCCTCTTCCAGCTCGGTCCATTTCTGCTTTCTGGCAAGAGGTTCGGCGGAGCCGCCACCGAAGCAGAACTGAATGACTGTGGCGCAGATCCACGTCATGTTGTTTGCCCATGCGGTCTCCACGCGAAGGTCACTGGCGGGATCGGTCCCTGCTGCAGCTGGAATGGGCATCAGAGTGAGATTGAAGTCAATGTTCGGAGGCTGCTGGTTTACACATGCGTTGTACAAGCACTGCCGTATGTAAACCCAAAATGCCGCCTGCCGCAGGGTTGGCGCTGACGGGTCGACACAGGAGCCCTGCGAGGCGCGCAAGAGCGCAGAGCAACCGGCAAGGTGTCGCTCTTGATCGGAACCAGTCACCATGACTAGGTAATAAGAGTCAGCTCGGAGTCCACGAAGCACACACATTCATGCTATGCAACGAATAAAGAGAAGAGGCTTACCCTTCAGTTGCTCAAACACGCGCAGTATGACAATCGCGCAAAGAAGCAATTCATCATCCGCGACGTTCTCCGAGTTAAGCAGCAGGATGAGCAGCTCCAGGCAACGCTGATGAGCTACTTCAGCGGCCTCCGTGTCTCCAACATGCCGTGCCGCAAAGGAAAGCACCGCATGTAGGAGGATCGGTGAGGTCTTCACCAATGCCGGGATCTTCAACGTAAACTGACGGGATGCATCGGTACAGTCGAGCCAGCGGCCGAGATTCTCTGCGTAGTGATGCACAAGATAGGCTTCATGATGGGTTAGTGTCGCCGGAATTGATGTTGATGACGGGGACTGTGCCCAGTGGTGCGATTCCGGCGAAGTAGAAGCTGGATGAAGTAGCTGTGGAATGGATATGCCGGATGTAGTGTAGACGGGAGACGTAGGGAGCAATGGGATGCTAGTGTTGGGTGGAGATGCAATCACTTGCACCGCGGTCGGGGACGCATAGGGCGACAGGTGGGACCCTTCGGACGTCGGTAGAGTGGCGTGCTGCAGGTGACTGGGAGAGCCGCCATCATGCAGAGTCGATCCTGGCAGTGGTGCTGCCGACGGATTTGGAACACCGGGGTAGTCGTGGGCACTGATGTTAGCCAGAACGTGGGCTGCTCCAAGTGCTTGTCCGCCCTGGCTGTATCGGCGGCTGCCCAGATGGACGTGCTGAAATGCCCGATCTGATAGCGTTACTGGAGCCTGCGTATGGTCCGGAATATCGGCACCGTTATGAGAACTCGTCTCGGATACGGCCTCGTCGATTCGGGGGGTGTGCTCGCTCTGGCTGTAGCTCCGGCTGCGAGACGGTGCATACACCTCCTCCCCGGATTCATAGTCGTGCGCCACCCCCAGTCGGACTCTTCTAGTCTCTCGCGGCCGGTAACTTCGGATGCTGATCCTGGAGGGATCTTCTCGCTGGCATTGCCGATTTCCTTTCCTGCATTGGCCGCAGACGGGCTGTGTCTCGTCGCCTGTACCAGCGTCAGTAACCCAGATGTCACTGGTCAACAAATCGCTGGTTCTTACATTTAACGTGACGTGATCTGCAGGTAAGGCTGGACGGTCAAGTGGTTAGTGGAAAAGCATATCTTGCCACGAGGTCGGTGATTAACAAACCATCCGTGTTTCGAACGAAGCTTCCCCATACTGGAGGCAAGGTATTTCGTGTCGAAGATTCGACACGAGCGCGGCTGGGAACCGTCCCGGATTTTCATGCGCGGGTATAGTAGGCAATAAGGCATGCCATTGTGGGGAAGCTGGGGCAGGACGGGGAGCTCATGCATGTTACCTAGGTAGGTTAAGGGCATGGATTAACTGGGGTTGTCTTGTGGTGGCGGGGTCCCACGGGGCAATTTTGAGAATTAGCCATCGTCGCCTACCCAGTACTAGTAACGGCTCTTACCGAGAGCCCCGAGCCCCGAGCCCCGAACCAACGCCGTCCAGCTTGACACGTCTGGGACCGCCATGTTCACTTTGATAAGAAGTACCTAAGTATATCGCCCCAAGCCATTGGAGCCCTAGCCCTAACCAGTCTCTTGTCCGAGATGCAAGGGACAATAAATCCGTTGGACCGCTCCCGCGGGTTGATACCCCAACCCTCGGCTACCTAAGCGCCCCTCCATAACTCCACTCATCCGACGGCTGCCGTCTTGGCAAACGTTACCTATTCGGGAACTTCGTGTCGAGCCGCTACTCCGTACATTGTGCACATTCAGAAGGCCTGGTGAGCTTCCAACCCCGACTGAACCATCAGTCGAACCTCACTAAGGCGCTCGTAACGATGTTACATTGGCTCCTCCAAACCCCACTGCGGCAACGTGCCTCCAGGCATTCGGGAGTTCGACATCGTGGCTACAGTGCGGGGTAGGAAAGATATATGAAGGGGCCCTTCATACGGAGGTCCTTTTCATCAGAATCTCAATCAGCATCCTACCGACACCATGACTGCCTCTGACACCCACACCAACGGCACCAACGGCGTCAACGGCCACGCCAATGGCCATTCCACCAACGGGTTGAATGGTCATGCCAGCAGCACTTCCAATGGCCTGCAGCGCAAAGCAGATGGATCGATAGATCTGAAGGTGCTGGGCATGAACAGCGGCACCGCCATGGACGGAATCGACTGCGCCCTGGTGCATTACCGACAGGCATCTCCCGAGGCCCCCCTCCATATGGACCTGTTGAAGGTTGGATTCCTCGGCAATTCACCTCTCTGATAGCTGCTGACTGACTGGCGCTCGTAGTATGATGAGATTCCGGTTCCGCAATGGATCAAGAAGCCCATCCTCACCATGCTCCGCGAGACAAAGACGACCCCGTCTCTGATGTCGCAGCTCAACGTGCAGCTCGGCAAGATGTTTGCCGAAGCGGTCCAGTCCTTCTGCGACAAGCACAGCATCCCCATTGACAGCATCGACCTGATTGGCTCCCACGGGCAGACCATCTGGCTGCTCTCCATGCCCAAACAAGGAGAAACCCAGTCGGCTTTCTGCTTGGGCGAGGGCACCGTCATCTCTGCCCTCACCGGAATCACGACAGTAACGGACTTCCGCATGGCGGAGCAGGCAGTCGGTCGGCAAGGAGCTCCCCTCGTTGCGCTCATCGACGGCCTCCTTCTCCGCAATCCCGACAAGCTGCGCATCTGCCAGAACATTGGCGGCATTGCCAACCTCTGCATTATCCCCCCAGACTCACAAGGCGGTGTGGACTCCATGGTTGACTGGGACTGCGGTCCAGGCAACATGTTCATCGACGCCGCCATGCGCCACTACACCAACGGCAAGATGGAGTACGACAAGGACGGCCTGTGGGGAGCCCAAGGCACTGTGAACCAGGGCGTTGTCGACCGCTTCCTCGACGGCAACTGGTATGTCAACCACCTGCCGCCCAAGACCACGGGCCGCGAGACATTCGGCGACAACGAAGCGCAGCGGCTCATCGACGAGTGCGAGGCCCTCGGCATGACCAAGTACGACACCGTCGCCACCATCACCCGCATCACCGCCCAGAACATCATCCGCCAGTACCGCACCTTCATCCCGCGCTTCCTGCCGGATGTCCACATCGACGAGATCTTCATGTGCGGCGGCGGTGCCAGGAACCCCAACATCATCGCGTACCTCAAGGAGCAGCTTCCCACCACTACGATCCGCGCCCTCGACGAGACGGGTGTTCCATCCGACGCAAAGGAGGCTGTCAGCTTCGCACAGCAGGCCCTCGAAGCGATTCTCGGTCGTGCAGCCTTGGTCCCCATAAACTCGGATACCCTGACGCCAAACACCATTTCTGGGAAAATCGCACCGGGCCTGCGCTGGCGGGACGTCATGCGTCAGGCAATTGAGTTTGGCAATGGCGGCCCGCTGCCGACGGTCAAGGAGATGGTCGTCGATAGGCCGTACACGGAATGGAAGTCGATGGCTGGATCCGGCTTGTAAGGGCACTCGTTCTTGTCGCGTTGCATTGTTTTTGTTGGCATTTTGGTGTTGGGGAGTTTGGACATGGGATGAGCATGCATATACGAGCGCTTCTCTGGGCTTCCATGCGCCTTCTGCTGTTTGTCTCGGCACGATGATGATGATCTTCAACTTGTAAATGACTCACACGGTTGCCAGATCAATTAATTTTACACTACTACTTCTGGAGCTCTGCTGTGATATGTACGACATTGCCTCGCCGACGCTCATCTCGGCAATTTTAGAAACCATTTAACAGGTCTTCCCGAATCTGATTCCCCCGTAGCGCGCGCCCCTATGTGTGAGAAAATACTGGATGAGCTGCTCTATAAGGCAGAAGAAGAAGCTGTTGCGAAAGCCGCAGTGCTCCAGAGTCATTCCTCCAGTATCTCATTCGGCAAACAGAATTCGGGGTTTCAAGCTGGAATAATCAATGGCAGTGTCAGTGGAATCAGTTTCGGGGGAAAGTAATTAAGCATTGTTTTTAGACAGGAACAAATTCGATTGAAGGTAACAACATGGTTTACAAGCGAGTGAGCACCTACTAACATTGCACGGCCCTCTATGCGATCGTCTCTACAACGGTATAAGATAGTATAGGCACTAATAGGGTATACAAAGCAGCATCTAAAGAATCCTGTTGACATGTTCGTGAGTTATATCCATGCTCTCGACACCTTATGCGACGCACCCATTAAGACCGGGGCGAGCTACTCGGGCGTTAGTAGAGGGACGTTCGTAGTAGGCGCACTATACGCATGTGGATCAGCTCTTGGAACCACAGGATACATATGGGCATTCCGAGAACAATGGCAAGTCGCAGGGAAGGTCTTCGCCGAGACCTGGATACTCCTGTGGCTCATGATGCACATATACTATCTCATGTGGGACACCGCCACCGCATTTCTGCCCATAGGCGCTATGCCGTTCATCATTGTTACGTTCCTCTTCCTGAGCATTACGAGCGCCAATGGCCCCTTCGAAGTGACCCCGGGATTCTATCGTTGGAGCCAAAGTCTGCCTGCATTCGAAACTCTGCAGATGCTTTGGAATATGTAGTCCGGGAGCTTCACGAAGCGAGAGATACAAAGGTATCAGGGAATTCGTTATGAATGGCAACCTCAATGAAGCTGTCGCCAAGGTCAAGTTCATGGAGAGACCTTCAGGCGCAGCATTTACTTGCGACCCGTGCTGGATCGACACAATCGCCCAAGTGCCGGGATTTGTCCTCAACGGCAGCACTTCAACGCCTCCTGATTTGGTCTTCCTCTCAAACAGGCTGGGAGAGTCTGAAGATGGCGAAGGCGCTGTCTTACAAGACGGAATACATGTGCTATGTCCGGATGCAGGCGTCAGATAGCCCTGGGTTATACTTAGGCGATGGATCTCTGTTCCATGGCGACGAAGCTATTGCTGTGGCCACCGGCCTTAAGTTCCACGAAGTCAGGAAGGAAAACCTGCACAAGGTTTTGCCAGGTAGTCGCAATCTCTCTGGTCGAACTGCCGCGCGTGACCCTCCGCTGGCTCAGAGTCCAGTCGCGGTGCGAAAGGAAAACATCAGTCCTGCGTCGCAACCTGTCGCCAGACAGAAAAGCCAACCGTCACGGCCATCCAGGATAGAGAGAGCACCCCAGACTTCAAATAGTTTCCCCAAGGTCCTCGGTGTTCTTTCGCAAGAAATCGGGGTAAGGTCGGAAGAGCTTGCTAACGACGCGGCCTTCGAGAACCTGGGAATCGACTCATTGTTGACAATTTCCATCGGTAGCAGACTCAAGGACGAGCTTCAGCCTGATCTTCCTCTGACGCTATTCACGGAGTGTGCAACCGTCTCGCAATTGCGCGACTTTTTCCAGAAAACAGTCGATGCCGTTACAGTCGACCCAAGAAGTTCAGACGAATCGTCCTCCAGTGAGGAGTATGACAACGAGACTCCCGAATCTTCAGCGACCTCTCTTTTCAACGAACCAACTACGGACTCCGATATTGTTGACATTATAGTCGCAGCAATCGCAAAGGAGGCGGGACTCTGTGAGGAAGAGATTGATCCGGACACCGACTTTATGGACTTGGGCGTAGATTCAATGGTCAAGTCCGTAGATTCAATCATGACCATTGCAGTGCTCGGAGCGGTCGCTGCGCAGACGGGTAAACAGCTTCCCGCTTCTATCTTCTCGGACTATCCCACATTGTCAGCTCTGCGCAAAGGGTTGGGGAAGCCAGTCGCCGAGCAAGCCCGCCCTCTTCCTCAGCAGCATGCTACGACCACCCCCAAACCACAAGCCACTTCTAAGTTCCAGGCGGAAAAAAGCAATGTAGTGCTTCTGCAAGGAGACCCAAAGGGGCTACATCCCCTACTTTTTCTGATTGCTGACGGAGCAGGGTCTGCGGCTTCGTACCTGCATTTTCCGCAATTTCCATCGCCCCTCGCTGTGTATGCACTGGAATCGCCATTCCTGAATTGTCCGACGGAATACACATGCTCGATCGAAAAGATCTGCCCAGTGTATGTCGCCGCTATTCGCGCTACGAGGCCGCATGGTCCATACTTCCTGGGTGGCTGGTCGATAGGCGGTATCTACGCACATGAGACGACATAGCAGCTTGTCAAACTTAGAGAGCGCGTGGAGGGGATGTTGCTCACCAATAGTCCCTGCCCGCACAAGATAGAAGGACTTCCGCCGCTTACGCTAGAAATCCTCAAAAAAGTTAGAATTTTTGTGGGCATTCCTAATCGCGGTAGCGGACTGGACACGCTAATGCCGCTTGGGCAGAAGCAGCATATCGTTGGCTGTGTACAGGCTGCAAGCTCCTATAACCCGACACCGCTACTAGCTAATAAACGACCTTCCTATACGTACATTATTTAGTCTAGACGAGGGCTCTTCGAACAACTAAGTATACCCGTATGTCTAGTAGAGTACGGAGTACGGAGTACTAAGGCCTAAGGCTGCAACTAATTAGATTGTTAGCGAATTATAGATTGTTTATTAAACAGGGCTAGCATTTACTAAAGGGTTTATAAGCAGCTACCAACTCCTATATAGTATGCGGTGTTTTGTTTTTAGCCCTAGCCCTAGCCTAGCATACAGCAGGCTGTTGTAAGCAACACCGCTACGTCGCGGTTTTTTAATTTTCTAAATTTGTAAAATTGCAAAATATAAATAATAGTAATTTACCCTGTATAAATACAGTAAATAAACGCTGTAGATAGTAAATAAATAGTAAATAAATTGTTACAAAAGTGCTATAAAAAAGTTCCCTAATAATAAAAATATGCTACAATATATAAAAGTAATTGTAAATATAGTAAAGAAGGTAGTTGTATAGAGTAGAAAGCACATATAAATACAGTAAATAAATGCTGCAGATAGTAAATAAATAATAATTAAATTGCTGTATAATGTTGCAAGAAGGTTCTTTAATAATAAAATTATACTATAATATATAAAAGTAATAGCAAATATATTAAAGAAGCTAGTTGTATAGAGTAGAGAGCTGTTAGATAGAACAGCTATCTAAGGGATGAGTATATTAACTGTTACCTTCTATTAACTAAGTATAGACGACTATTAATTAACTACTATTAATGGCGGAGCAGGATTGAGAGAATAGCTATTATTAATAATTGTAGTTGACTATCTACTAACTATTATAAGAGGACGAAGCAGTATAGAATTTAGTCTAGCATATATATAGTACTAACTATTATATAACTATATACAAAGGACAAAACTAGCCTTCTAAGCAGTTTGTCCTTAACAATTAATTAATTACTTCTCTTTAAGATTAACGATTATTATTATCTAAACTTCGTAACATCTTATCTCTACAATTCTATTATCCTCTGTTAACTATAATTAACAGACTAGAATCTAATAATTAAGAGTCTTACTGCCTTAACTAATTATTATAATAGCATTAATACAATTAAACCTAGTTATTCTTATAGACTATACAATATAGACACTATAGCTATTCTAGCTAAAGATTAAATGCAACTTGCTAAGACTTTAGGATATTGTTAATCCTAATAAAACAGGAAGCTTTAAGCTAAAGCTTATCCTACTAATTGTCTATAACAAGCTACAAACCTAAGCTACCTACAATAAACACTAAAATGTTGAGTATAATTAGTGCATGTACATGCTATAGATAGTCTATGCAAGGTACAATTATACCTAACAGTCTTAATAAGTTAATGCTATGAGCGACAATATCTATTCTACCTTTCTATCTGTTAGCTAAAGGCCTTAAGGCATACAAGGATAAGATAGAACAATAAAAATAGGAACAAGAGAAAGCTAATAATAGAACTTTTATTACTTTTATTTAATAAACTGTCTCTCTGTATCTATAATAGACCTGCTGCTAACTATATAAAATAGTTAAACAATAGCTGCAGACCCTTAAGATTACTGTTAGAATTAATAATATTAATAAGAGAAAAAGAAAAAAAGCTTAATATCTAAACGCCCTTAAACTAATAAGAATTCCTAGCTCTTAGGAAACATAGCTTAAAGAGTATAATAAAGCATTAATAGGTGCAGAAATGAAAAAAGTGCTAGAAGCTCTAAATGTAGTTATTATAATTAAAGACTTCTTTAAAGCTATTTACAAGGTAGTATAAACCTAGACTATTTAGTTTAGAGATGTTAGCAGCTAAACAATAGGCATAAACTGCAAAAAAATAATAAAATGCTTCTAAGAATATATAAGTACTAAAAATACCTAGCTCTCTAACAACAGTTACAAATACCTAGGATTAAATAAAGGTGAACTCTAATTCCTAAAGCTTTAGATTAATAACTAAAGGGTTAAATTATAATGACTATTAATATTATATTTGTTATAGCATTATTTTAAGCTAAGTTCTTAGAATACCCCTTAAAATACTTATTTATTCTAGATTTAGGTTCTACTTGTTACATCTTAAACAACTAAGCATGTATCTATTATTTACAATTGCCTACTGTTAGAGATTATATATAGTTAGGGAATATATAGTTATAGATTAGAGGATATAGGATAGTTATCCTTAACCTAGAAGGGCTAAAAGGATTATACAGGTTGCATCTACGCAACGTTGCATAATGCCTAGATATCCTCTGCAACCTAGTGTTGTTTAGGCTCCTGTATTAGCAAGAAATCTAGTAGGATGATAAGACTAAGCTAATAGCTCTAAGGATAATAGACAATATAATAATTGTCTACCTTAAGGAGCTTTACAATTAATAGATTATTAAACATTGTAACTCTAAACAAACAACTATTAATTATTAACAATTAATAATAGAAAGCAACAGTTAAATAAACATCGCCCTAAATATATATTTGTCAGATGGAATGGGTCTTCTGAGGTTGATGATACTTGACTGTCACCTGACTGTTAGCCTTACATAATCTCACACTGAGGCACAAAACCAGCCTCTCATGCAACTCTCAGAATCAATCATCTTTTCTTAGAGATCTAAGATCATCTCATCTCTACTTTGTGATATCTCATCTCTACAATACTATGACAATACTACGATACATAGTATCTGACAACTTTTAACTACTCCTAATAATATAAGACTAAGAACTACAATTTACAATAAACTAAATAACTTTATATTATATTAAACTATATAATTCTATATAGAATTTACTCTAATTATTAGTATTCCACTTGTTTATAGCAAGTTTATTTTCTATAGTAAGTAGATGTGCATAGCAAAAATTGCAATTTTAGAAAATTGCAAAATTGCAAAATTGCAAATTTAATTAGTAGTGGTGTTGCTTACAACAGTCTGCCGTACTAGCACGTGCCTAGCTAGCGAGAAGCTGTGCTGCTCCTAACTTAATTTCTAACTTTAACTAAACCCTGTAACAAAAGAACCTAATATAGTACCTTATGCATTATTTAAATAAAATAGCTATGTACGTAGACTCTGTAGTCAAGCTGCTAGACTTTAGTTTACACACGGTAATACAGACATGATTTAAACCACGAACCTCGGTCTACTATATCTATATGTAGTATCCACCACGTGGCTACCAATTCCCCGTCACCAGCTGAAAAGTCTCATGCGCCTCTTCGAGCTAGCCGACAGCGACCCCGCGAAATCAATATGCCGCTAGGACGTATAGAGGACAGTAGATAATGGCAAGACTGCTTCAGCTGATGAGTGTGGCCCGCCGCCAAAGCCCGCGAGCGAAGAGGGGCGAAGCACATACATACATCATCGGCGCGGGCAGCCTTCGCCGCGTTGCCTCTGCTCATTTTGTCGCATACAGTAGCCGAACTGGAGTACCATCATGGTCCAAGTGACTTTCTTCTGCGACAGCTGTGAGGCGACGATTCCTCCCGACCGAAGCCGCCTGCGGTGCTTGACCTGCGCCGACTACGATCTTTGCGCCGAATGTTATGCTACCCAATCCTTCTCGAGTCCGCATCAGGCCCATCACAAGTATGAGGTCTACCGAAACGGCCAGAACGTGGAGGACGTGAAAGACAAGACAATTCCATCAGTCTCCGCCGCCCGTTCAACATCCCCAATGCCCCCAATACCAAAGCCACCCGGGGCACGAATCTGGCTACCGCGGGACCGTCGAGGAGCAGGAGGTCAACAACAAGCTCCCCTCTCCCGCCTTGCCACGGCCATCTTCGAACACTTGGACCCTAACGAGACGGGCGTGCTCGACCCGAGCCAGTTCTGCGCCTTTGTGTCAGCACTCGGCTTCACCGCCATGGAGTTCCCACCGCTCAGCGTCGCGCCGAATGGGAACTCGTCGCCCGCGCAACTTCACAACTGCGACGCCTGGCTCGCGAACTGGTACCGCTCGTTCGCCCTGGAGTTCACATTGTCGACGCGGCAGTTCGCGCCGCCTCCGCCCGTCCAGCCCGTCAACGGTCGTATCCGCATGCGCGACGAGCTGATGCACGCCTTGATGTATCCGCCGCCGCCCATCGTGCAGGGCGGGATGCCAATGCTCACGCTGCCGGGCCTGCGGCAGTATCTCGATTACCAAGTCAAATTGGACGCGGCGAATCTGTGCGGGCGGTTGACGCACCTGCTCGGAGCGGTGCCAGACCTAACCGACCCGGAGACGGGAAATCCTATCAGCGCGAGCTTGATCTCAGCTGCCTGCATTCCGCCGCCGGCGCCGCCGCCGAACCCTGCCGAGGAGCAGATGACGAGGTGGATGATGGAAAGTAGGGAACAAGCTGCCATCAATGAGGCTTTGAGAGTACAAAGGAATCATGCTATTGTCAACCAGAATACTATGGAGATGCTCCAGAATGTTCGCGGGGGTTGGCGAGTAGATGCATATAGCAACAGGGTTTATGAACAGGGCTTAGTGTAAGGAAGCTTAAGGATTTCCAACGAGGTAGCTAATGGAAAGTAGAGAGCAATCCGCCATCAATGACGCATTGAGAACACAGAGAAATCATGCTATTGTCAATGAGGCTGCGGCGCAGGCGAGGTTTAATTGTACTGGGGGTTGGACAGTAGATTCATATGGCAACAGGGTTTATAAAGCGGGTTACTTTGGGTAGCGTAAGGAAATCTAGAGAGTTTTGAACGGAGTAGCTGATGAAAAGTAGAGAACAAGGAGTGCTGTTTCGGCGATGCTCAATGTGGAGGCAACTGATATTAATGTATGAACAGGCTCAGCGTCCACCCTATATATGTACCGATGTATCCAGATTAGCAACGACTACTGTACAGCTTCATGGTTCCAATATTACTGTCGTTCGAAACGTGGGATGAATCTGTGCCGCTTGAGGCATTCACCACAACCCCGAAGCAGCCTCTTCGGGTTGATTTCGGAGTAAAGGATGCCGACTCTCAACGCCCCAGGTGATTAAGTCCTGGAAGCATAGGTTTATCTCTCGCGGTCATGGACCACTCTTTTGATTGCTCGTAAGATCAAGTCGGCAGGGCATTATCTCCTGATGGAAGTCGTGGCAGCGTTAGACAGTAAAAGAGTCAAACGCCTAGTAATACCCTGGTAATTAGCTCTTCTCTGCTGCAACATTTACGCCTTAGAGCTACAGCTCTACGCCGCTAAGAGGATCACGGCGCTTACCTGGCTCATCGTGGCGTAGAACTCTGCTGCGGAGAACCCAAGATATACCTATCGGCCCCGTCTGCGCCACGTTCCCACGTTCCGGCGCTTACTCACGTCTCGTCAAGCTCCCACCTCCGCATCCGCCCCAATATTTTTCTAGTTGCATCCATCTTAAACCACTGTATCCTCGAGCTTCATTGGCGGACAAAGAGATGCGATTATCTGCGTTGCATTTTTTGGCCTTCACAAGTCTCGCAGCAGCTCAGTATCCATCTCGTCCTCGTGCCCCCGGAATCGCTTTCAGACTGACACATGACTATGGGTGAGTGACCTACTCTTCTCTCCCTGTGTGTATTCCTTCATAACACGCATTGTATAGCGTTGCTGCAATTTACCTTGAAAATGGGACTTCTGTTCCTGTGGCCCAAGTCTATGGTTCACCAGGCTATCAGGAGTTCATGAGAAAGAACAACACCTCAGCATCTCCCGAGGCCAGCAAGTTCTGTCAACTGAGGTCCCAAGCGATAGATCGTCTTCCATCCGCGGCCACATCGAAAATAGACATCTGTCGCAACGCAGATGTCATCCACACCAAGGCTCTATTGTCAACTTTACAGGCAGCGACAGAATCATACCTCGGAACCAACATCTGCCATGCTGCACTCATCCTCGACGACGTCTCAAAACACAAGGTAAATGTGGCGCATGAAGCTCTCGCTGCTCTCGGCCTTTATCAAGTACTGCCCACTGTCCAAGCATCCAAATCCTTTGCGCTTGCACACAGGCCCAAGGACGCCCCCGCGTTTGACGAGAAGCCATGGCCTGTTCTCGTAATCGACTTTAGCATCCATTGGTTCAACATCGGTTTGTACACCATCGGGGAACTCGGCATTGTGGATCCGGTGGAAGGATATGTCAGAGGTCCGACGACTGACGAGGAGAACCAGCTGGACGCTCTGCGAGACACGCTGAGCCACATTTTCGCCCACCCTCCGGCGGACATGAGGCTCCCAGAGGAACTTCGCCACTTGATTGTATACGGTGATGATGCGAACAACGACGAATTTCGCCGCATACTCGCGGCGGCACTGCGCAACGTACAATTACCCACTCAACAGACGCGCAACGTACTCAGCTCGATTTTTGATGGTCCAGCCTACACGGCCTACACTGCGCATGTGCGCATGGATACTCCTGAATTTGAGACGCACGCCCCGTCTGCCTTTGGCTGTAAGTGGCGTTCCAAGCTGTACTCCGAAGATCAAACCGAGCTCTCGACATAAAAAACCGTTCGTTAATAATATACCTTGGTAATACATCTGCTCCTTCATAAGACTGCAGGTGAAATAAGAGAACAATGGTAAGGAAACGACATAACCGCTATGTTACCAATCTTGATTATTCAAATCCTAGCATCCGCGACTATTAATGCTTAGCTAGCTTGTAGGCTAGTTAGGGATTAAGTGTAACTCAGTAAGTCGACAAAATGCTTCTCTAAGCCGTTAGATTAATGTATGTAATGTTGTACGTTGCCCTGGTGCACAATGTATAGGAGCACAATCGGCTCCTAGCTCACAAACCATACGCGAGCACACTGAGGAAAGGAAGTTAACATATCTCAACGTGAGAGGCAAACAAAGCCGTCAATCCGTTGGCAGGCGTAAACTCTCCCACATAACGGTGCCTTCTACCAATGTTGAATCATTTCTAGGCAAGTGCTGATGTGGTGAAGTATCACAATCGTCGCGCTACGATCAACCATGCTTGTCTAGAATCCTTGATCCCCACGAATAGATTTGAAACATAGGAAACTAATACAGTAGGCCGCGTCGACGTCTCGTATACCCTCCGAGTCGACCAGCACGTTTAAGAGTCGAAAATCCCCTCCTCCTTACCCCCAACTCATGGCACACCACAGACCTCCGGGTGAGCAGGATGCGTCAAGCACAAAGTCTGCGCGGGGAAATTACACGGCTGGAACGGTCCCGCCGCCATAGCCGTCCTCTTCGTTCCCGAACATTGGTTGCCGCCCAACCTACTCATCTGCGAGAATATTGAACCACCTATAATACTCCACCCAGGGAAGCAAGACCCGAAATCCTGATACTTGTCCGCTATGACAAAAGCACAACCCTGATTCTGATAAACCACGCACCAGTTACTCGTGATGACGCCGTCAGCGTTGCGAGACTGGCCCGAGCGGATGCAATTGTCGCCGACGGGTTGTGATGAGATTATCAAGTCATTTGTAAGTAGTTCCCCCTGGACGGTAATGGAGCCAACAGGCCAGACACAGTTGCGCGAGTTGACGAAGCCGGCGCCGTCGTCGCGCGTGTCGCTGCACTGGATGGTGCCGTCGCGCAGTGGGGGGTATTCGGGGAGGAGTACGGAACCACCGTCGTTGCCGCCAGATTCAGGGTCTGGAATGCCGCGGCCGCCGCAGCTGCGGGACGCTTCGAAGGTGATTTCGATCTGGACAGAGGAGGCCGGTTGGCTGAGGCGGCCGGTGACTACGATTTCCTCTGATGAAGGGGTCAGTGGTTGATGGGAGGAGTGTTAAGAGTAAGCGCCAGTATGAAAGACATGAACGAAATATACATACGTGCAAGCGGAGACCTGGGAACATCGAGCGTGATCCAGGGCTTATTTGACGTCGAACCTGGACTGGGAGGCGTGTTTGACGTCGACCAGGACACAACACCCGGCGCATAGACTTGCATGCTGGCGCCACTCATCGATCTGCCGAAGTTTGGGCCCATCCCCATTATCTCGAACGCATTCACTCGGAATTCGGATCGGGATACGGCTACCACGCGCGTATCTCGAAGACGAACGGTTGAGCCCTGCCATTCGCACTTATCGCCACTGTTGTCCGGTGACTGACCCCATTCGGGAACGTCGTCACGATCGGGCCAAGAAGAGCCGATATCTTGGGGCCAGGTTGCGATGCATGCTGTGCAGCTAAGTTAGCAATCCGGCAAATTTCCTCTAGACTCAAGACGGGACCATACTTCGTTCTTCGTCGTTATCCTCCTCGTCCTCATCCTCGCCGACGACCACAGGTGGAGGAATCGTCACTGGAAGGGGTGGTCCCTGTATGACAACGATCGGAGGTCTGGAGAAGTCAGATTACGCGTTCGGATATGGAGATCTAGACTTACAGAATCGGTGGAAAAGGCGGCCCGCAGAATTGGAAACACACGGGGGGCGGCGGTAGAGGCATTGGAATTGGGGGCGGTAAGATTGGTAGATCTCCTCCCGGATCGTTGTTTGGATTGGTAGGAGGCGGAACGGGGGGAATTGTAACCATAGGGTTCGGTACGATGACGGGAGTGACGGTATCTCGCTCCGGTTCGTCGACAAGGATCGTTTGGACCTCGAGTGCTGGGCGAGTTATTGCTGGCGGGGTCACTGTCACGGGTTTTCCGGAGATAGTGGTTGTGAACGGTGGCGGTTGGATTGGAAGGATAGGCGTTGGGGGAGGCGCCAATATGCATGGAATGCTACAGTAGACTGTCGGGTTGGGAACCTCCCAGATCCAGTCTGGCAGAGGAACGACATTGGAGGGTGGGTCCAGTTCACCGGGCAGGTCGAAGCCGGACCAGCCGACAATGGTGCCGAGGAAGCCGTCCATATTGTCGGTTGCCCAGATATCAGTGCTCTGAGCTCCTTGAATCATGGAAGATACTCCTTTGGTGTACAGGTTGGCAATGAAGATGTTGGTGCTGTCGAAAACGCGGACAACGCGCTCCTGGCAGACTTCTCCGTTCAAACAGGCTTGGTTGTACCATTGGAACCAGCTAATGTCGACATCAGCACGATGCATACTCCCGTAGAATAAGAGCTCATCACTTACCTGTAAAAACCACCGCCATAGATCATAATGTCACGACTACCAATCACTTCCAATCCCCATGCGTACTGGCATGTCCTTGAATCAGAGCTACAGTAGGAAAAGCTGGGATCCGACGTCCTCTTATAAGCCACAGCGAATGGAGAGGGAGCCTTCGGTATTGGCTGGTAGTAAGGAGTTTCGGTTTGCAGGGTTGCGGCGAAGATGTTGCGTGACTTGTAGAACTGGTACTGATACAAGGTGCAGTGTTCCGATGCGACACCCCAAAACCACACAGGCTTGGTCGATTCGACGAGAAGGCAACGTGCCGCATAGATATTGACTTGGTTCTGGGTAGGAATATCCAGATCGTGGTCGGCGACCCATACCCAGACATTTTCGAAGTATCCGCTCGCGGAAGACGTGATATGCATGAGCGTTGCTGCCGAAATGCAGTCTGGGTTGACCGTCGTGTCTTCTCTGGGGCAGTTTGCATACTGCAATTCCGATCCAGCAGCGCCTCCGACGCGGAAATGTGCATCCCACATGGCCGCGGATCCTTGGCTCGACTCTGCAATATTCCATTCCATGAGAACTGCACCTGCTGTCGCTCCTTTGACAGTGAAGAGCATGTCGGAGATCTCCACAACTCCTGTTTGGCCAGGCTCTCCCACCTTAATCATGACTTTGGGCTTCATGATATCCGAGAAGGCGTCGCCTGCTCCCATGATCTCACTCCATGCTTCACCCACGATCCTTGTTCCTGGCGGGATGGTGATAGTGTCCAGGACAATGTAAGTGCCGTGGGGAAAGTAAATGACCCTTCCTGCTGCGGACTGAACTGCATTTTTGATGGCGGCAGTATCGTCGCTGACACCATCTCCTCGAGCTCCACGAGACTTGACGTTCAGAAATGATCCGCTGCCCAGCCCTTCGTACTGAGGCTTGGACTTCGCAAACCAACCGGAGCTGTCCCTCAGAGAAGGAGATGCGGCAGACTTTGCGGATGGGTTGTATGGCCCGTTCAGCACTTCCGCTCGAAGCTCTTTTCCTCTCTGGACAAAGTTATTGCCGGCTCCGTAATTGTCGATGAGAATGTCGCCGCCTTGAAGGACAGTAGGACCTCCAGAATACCCGACCGCTATAGGCACATTGTTCAAGCGGACATTTTCCAGCATCGTATTGGTTGTGCCCGCTGTGAGAATACCGATAGGTCTGCTGCATGTGAGCTGAATACGTGAAAGATTGTTGGCGCTCTACTGACACGTTTGTCATCTCTGAATCTAGCAAAGCAATGGCTGCTACGCCTTGCCTGTGCAACGCAGTGGAGCTAGTCAAGGCTGTGACGTTTATTCCGATCTAAACAGTTAGTGGAGACCTCGGTCGCGGTAGCATTCATTGACCCTACCATTGCATGGAAAATATTGATACCCTTCCAAGTCCAACCCCAATCCTACAATGGATATTAGAGATAATAGCAAGGAGAGCATAGAGTTTCTCTCACCCATATCATTTCAATCGCGGTTTTGCAGAAGCGGAATCTGAGGTTACGGGAAGTGAACTGCTGACTTCCACATCTCATCCCAAGTGCGCCTCCTTCAAATTCCAAGTCTCCAAGGAACCCGCCCGACCCATTTTCCATGAAGATTCCAATATGTGTGGTGTCTGAGGCTTGGCTCATTATGAACTTGATGTTTTGCAGGCTGGTGGCTTGTGCGACCTGCCAGTGAATACCCGTAGGCGCTTTTGCCCATTAGAACAATGCCGGAAATCATAACCTCAGGCGGACTTACCAAAGCCGTCCGGGGTCTTGTTTGGACATCCCGAAATGTCAATCACGAAGTTACGGACCTGGCGGTAGAAGTTGCTTTGTGGGATATACCACTGAGCCCCACTCGCTGCGCAATTGTCAGTCTGGTGTTGTTCAGTGAAGGCTTGTGTGGGGTCTCTACACACCTCCTGGAATATACACATTGCTATCGATAACAGCAATTCCAGCGAAAGAAGGCGCCGCTTTGAGTATCGGAACGCCATTGGGATTACCGACAAACTGAGTATTGTAGAGCTGTATGATAGGTTTCGAGACCAGGTACGTCCCTGAGGGGAAGTACACGACAGCGGGCAAGGTAGTTGAAGAGCCACATTCCTTACCACACCTATTACCATCCGAGACAGCTCGATTGATTGCCTCCGTGTCGTCTGTCACACCGTCTCCTTTGGCTCCGTAATCTTTCACATTTCGAAAAACAGCGTAGCCGCGCTCCCCGAAAGCTGAGATTCCGTGCTCCGCAGTCTCATACCAGTACCCACCGGCTCCATTTTGTCGCTTGGTAGAGTGGTCTTGTTTCGCCTCTGGAGCTGGATACGACACCGGGAGTCGATGAAGTGCATTTGTGACACCAAGAACAGAAGTTTCGCTCTTCTGAAAGGGAAGGGCCGTGGTGAGAGACGAGAAGAGTCCACTTAGAGCCAGTGGAAAAAGAGTGAACGTCCTCATCATAGCTTTGGGCTGATATCCATCCCTCGTGTAGTCCGTCTGCAGCTGATATATGTTGTGAGGGCTCCTAACTAGTCGTGCTGTATCAGCCGTGGGGATACCAGCCGATCACCCCGGTCGCCTGAAAAGCTTCGGGCTTCTGTGGGCCTTGTAAGTCCATCATACATGGTTGTTCTATGCTGATTCTCGACCGACACATGCTCAGGGTCATTTTCTTTGAAGGCCCAGACCCGGACGAGTTCGCAAACGAGGCTGAACCGCTACGACAGGGGTATCTGCATGGACTTTTTGATCCCTGCGCGTCAGCTGCAAGGTACGGCACCCTAAGAGGAAAAAGATAAATTGCCAAAATTAAACAGATACGGAAAACGCGCTACTTAGAGCAGTATCTTCCGTTTGTGACACCAAGGGTGTAGGCTTAAACATAGGCGCATCTCCAGAGGACCACCACCGTACAGTTCGATATGTTGTTGAAACGCATTTTCTTTCCGCTCGCTATGCTTATTGCTACAACCTCGGCCGTTGACGAAGAGATTCCTTCGGAGAAGGAACTGCCTGCGGAAGGTTTCGTTATTGGAGTCTGTGATACCCAGCTTTTTCCCGTGTCATCTGCTAACGATACACAGGGCCCAAAATCCGGCGTCGGGCAATCGGCTGGCCAGCCTGTAGCAGAAAAAGCTACGAACAAAGCAGATTCGGTCGAGACATTTGAAAACCATGATTTTGCCGAGGCTCTGAAAGATGTAGGCGCGCGATTCACTATCTGGTATGGTTCACTTATATCATCCAGCCGTACGGCGTTTTGTTCGGGCAGGAAGCCAAAAAGACTGTTTGGGAGAACTGCGGGGACTCGAATTCCACTGCCATATCCAATTCCACCGCCATATCTGGCACGAACAGTTCAGCTTTTTTGAAAACTTTGTGTCACCGTCCGGCTAGCGCATAGTGGAGCATTTGCTGCTGGGTTGGGATCTAGTGGGTTGACTGGTTGAGGGCGGCCTTGACGCAAGGAAAGAGGGATGTAGTTTTGTCTGATCTTCACAGTGTAATTCAAGCGAGAAGTTGTAGAATGGACTTGAAACCGTTTTCCCTTGATGCGCTCTTGGGATTGTGACTTGGTTCCACATTTAGACTATTACAAAAATGTCTACTACACCTAGCCGTATCTGACAGTACAAACTTCAACTCCTCCTCTCGTGACCTTCCCACTGCCTTTGAAGGCAACTTATCTCGTCAGCGCACCAACTGAGTAAAGTATGGTCACACCACCGATTGCTTCAGATGTTCGTTCTGGAGTTTATTGTACCTAGACAGCCTATGACAATTCTTGTCATGTTCTGCCCTCCTAGCTATACAGTACAACCGGAGGCATGAAACCGCAGTGTAGCACATAAGGCGCTTGCACACGGTCCGGAAGCACGTTGAACTGCGTGGAAACCCCTGAATCACACATTGTGCACTTGAAGGAACAAATAGCCAAGTGCCTCCAAGCCACTGTCAACTTCTATTGTTCTCGAAAAGGAGGTAGGGATAAAAATCCACTAGTTCTAGGCGATCTTTCGTCTAGCCATAGTCAAATATGGATACATCCCTTACGCCAGCATACAGACACGCGTTGCCTACGGTTTGATAGCAAGTGTAACTACCCTTGCAGACAAGGATTATACGAGGCGGACCTGAGGCTTCTGGCGTCCATGCTGATGGTTTTCCCAGCACGTGGATATTCATATTTTACATGGGCCCTGCATAGGGTATGTGTGCGTGAGGCGGTAGTACCATGTAGCTGGAACCGGAAATGATTATGTCAATATTCATTGATCAGTCAGCACCAACCACTGGAAGTGTGACTTTCGCCTCCCGGGGTTGTGTATACAATTAAGGAAGCTAGGAAAGCGCGGGAACGATTATGCGGTGCATTGGGCACCGTTAGGGGGTGCCTCGTGGGGTCCCGGACATGCACGCCGGATGGCCAGGGTGTAATTGTAGACAGAATCGACAGGGGTTAATACATGACACCAGACTCTTTAAGATAACGAGATAGGAGCGGCATTGATGATTGATGCTCAGTCATCAAGCTGTCTCCAGAAGTGTTGACGCCGTCACTTCACTGCGATATCCACCCCTGAGCCCATGCATCCCAGCAAATCTGCAAGGGCCTTCCGCAGCGTCACGGCAACGGGTGACCCTTGGTCAGCCCATGCCGGCTGACGGTACGAGGAAGGATACTGGTAACCAGTAAGGCGTTCTAGACCGCGGAAAAAAGGGACAGTGTAAGGTTTGCCTAGCAAGTCTTCATGGGTAAAGGGCGTTTTACATCTAAAAGGCTTCAAGACCCTCGATATGACATACTGCACCATTCGACCTTTGCGTAGCCATGATGGCCTTTCCACTTCTCCTTTTCGTTGTCGCATTTCTTACTCGGGCCCTCCCAGGCGCCGCGCAGTGGAGCCAGACCGTTTCCAACGGCCTCTATTACGGCACGCAGGTGGGAATTCCCAATCCCAGGCCAACGCTCACGTACAACTGCGCCCTCTTGCCCTCAATATGCCAAAATGTTCAAAACTGGATCAACCAAGATCCCGTAAACCGTGCTCTTCCCCGGACTTTTCACGTGGACCCCAACTCGCAGAGGCTCGATCGTCGAAGGGCAAACTCGTGTCCGAGCGATTGGAGCGACAACCATGACTGTCCTGAAATCTTGCAGGACCCCATTAGGGCGTGGGTTAGGACGCCAAGGCTTCTAAAGGATACCTGGGCCTTCCCAAGCACTCAACTCCTCCCCCGTCCGGCGAACTCTGGCTCCGGTTCTGGGGTACCCGGTGCTGGGTTCAAGTACGAAATAGCCGCTGCCAACCTAGTTGACTCCGCTGGTCTAGCATACACGTGCGACGAGTTTCCTCCAGCTTCGTACGTATCGCGGATGAGATTGGGACGTCGAACGTAGCACTGACGGATGTAGCTGGATTGAAGGCGGAAGCGACCTGAACGGGAACAGCGCGACAACTATCTGCGCCCCACATGGCATAAGCTGTAGTAGCAAGGAGTGGAAAATAGTGAAGAGCCTGTACAATGGAGTGCCAGGGACGGAATACCCCAGTGCACGAAGCGAACAGGACTGGCAGGCAACATCTCACTCCCATCTGTCAGGGTACGCGAGACGAAACCTTCCAGGTCAAATTATGCAGTTCGAATTCCGGACAACGAGTGTGGCCCCAGGCATCTCACCAAACGCCGCCACAATCCGTTTGCCAGGACAAACTATCACCGTTACCAAGCGTGGTGTGGCGGCTGTAGAAACATTTTCCCACGCTCTCCCCACACCCCTGGCAAGATCCGGCGTGCATATAGAGCTGATCGAGGAGATTGAGGTTTCTGAGATTCATGAGTTTGCGGCTCCGACACCAACCAGTTCTCCTGACCATGGAAAACGTGAGATGGTAATTGAGCACGGATTTAATCTGGTGAGAAATCTTACAATGGACGAGTGAGCACTGAGAGCTCGAGTCGCATGTACATTTAGTTGCTGGTTGCAATGAAATCTGTTGTCGTGGCATTGTTCATGTGTAAAGTCTGTTTGAACTGGTCTCTCGCAATACTGACTCTCCGAATGAGAGATGTTGGGTGTGGCGAAGTACAATGTCCCCCTGCAGCTTCAAGTCTGCTAATTCTTCATACGAAAAATTGAAGTAGATCGCAGAGCGTATAGTCCACATGGGGAGCGGATTTCGCCTCGCGTGCGGAAGGTAGGGTACCTATGGACATAGACATTTCTAACTCGAATCCATAATACTAATGCAGGTATGCCCAGTCTCCGCTAGTATACCGGAGCCGAAGACCCCTATTTAACCTAGAGTCCGTAACGAGCATTTGAATAAATTAACCCAGCCTTGGCCCGTACAACAATTTCGCTTAAACGATCTTAGTCTACATCCTACCGGACAGGGATATTATCAGTGCCCCGTTTCGGTAAGGCGCATGTCCATACACTCTACGGGCCCTTTCAACGTCCGCACCCTGCATCTACACTGGTACAGATTGGATTAAGCTTTCTTATGTTTATTGAATAAGGATCATCTCCTGTGTCAGCCGATGAACGCCCACATGAATTCCCAACCCTTGGGAACCCCTGGCCGCCTTTCTCGTCGATGTCAGCCTCGTTTTGACACTTCGTATTGGGATTGAGTAGGGTGTACGGAGTAGTCCGAATAGAATGATCATGCAGATAATTCGGCCTCGCCGGGTGGGTGGTGTACGGGCTCACCGCTTTCAAGGTTATTTTCAGTCCCTGCATAGAATTGGGATTTCTAAGCTGAAAGTACCTGTTTGCTCATGCAAACCCCAGGAAAGGGTCTATTGAATATTTTCTCCCTCGCTCAACTAACACGCGGCTGACGAGGCGGGTGCGCCTAGGCTCAAAGAACTGACATTACCGTACTCCAGTAATGGAATTCTATAAATCAGAGCCCCTGGAGTGCGAGCTGGGATTTGTCTCACGACAAAAATCTTCGAAGATTTTCAATGAACATGGTGTACCTTACGACCCTCCTCTCCCTGGCCCTTGCCGGCGGTGCACTTGCACTCCCCACGGACGTGGCTCCGGCCAACTTCACAACCCTCTCACCCATTGAGGCGCGAAGTCTCGAGCGCCGACAACCTGGTGGTGTAAGCTTTACATTCTCCTACCCACCCCGTTTCAACAGCATTGCGCTAATCTGAATCCTCCAGGTCTTCATCACAACAGACATCAAATGGGGCGGCCTACCCGGCTATGCGAAACAACCCTGGGACATATGCATCCAACTTGATGCCCCATGGTAAGTCAAGTCGCCCCCGAAACCTCCCCATCCCTCTCTCCAAAAGAGTTCCCTCGTGGACATGTGACATGAGTTGTGGAACACAACAATTGACCTCGGAACGTCTAGGTACAAGTCCATCTCCTCCATAGGCCCAGACTCAGGCAACGCCGTCGTCCTCTCCGAAGACTACAACTGCGGAACCGCAAACCGCGTCACAATCCTGAACCCCGGAAATGTTCGTAGCCCCTTCCTCTTCCTTAGTCCGCCCCCTCCGCATCTCTCAATCCTTTCTCTTCTCTGACCCCACTCCCTCCCAGGACGACCTCCGCAGCATCGGCTGGAACGACCGCGCCGGCTCCTTCATGGTGCGCCAGGTCGCCGTCGTCAACGGCCGCGAGTGCATCCGCAGCGTCGATCCGAGCACGTTCCCGGGGCTAAACTGCCAGTTCTGCTGTAATGGGTGCTCGAGGAGTGGGACGAGCTGTTGTCCCGAGGGCCAGATCTGCTAGTTTGGTATAATGTCGGATGATGTGCGGTTGAAATGAGTACGGGGCCGGTGATCAAGTTCGCTATTGATTGTGTTCTTCAAGGAAATCAGGAGAAGGAGACGATGCGGAAATGCAGCGAAAGGCTCTTTGGCAGGAAACCAAAAATGCTTCTTTGAGTAACGGACACTGCAACTCGAGTCAAATCGTAGACATGGCTGCGACTAACCAGACACATATTTGGCCGTGATAAAGATTGATAAGATCACTGAGGAGACGTGACCATCCATACACACCAATATGATCTTTGAAGATCTGCTAAAGTAGAAAGGGTATCTTCCCCGTACGTACCACAAGACCAACCCTGCCCTATGCCGCCAGAGCGGCGATGCTCAATGCCCACGATTTCCACCTATACCCGATACTGACGATCGTCCACCAAAACCCTAGGCGCCAACCTCCGCCAACCCCACTTCAACTTCCCCTCGGGTCGCCTCCCTCTCGCCTCTCCTCACCAACATTACCACCTTCTCCCGTCCCCTGCTCGGCTAACATCCTCCGTCGATGCTCCTCCTCCAATAAACTCTGCTTCTTAACATACTCCATCACAATCTCTTCCTCGGTCTGCTGCCTCAGCAGCGCCTCGAGTCGGCCATCTTCCGTCTCTTTGCTCTCCCGGAGTGCTCTCTCAAGCTCCTCTCCCTCCCCAGCGTTGCTTCCTTGTGCGGCTGCTGCTTCTCCGAGTATAGATTCCCGATATTGCCGAGTATACATATCGATGAATCGCTGATACTCTCCCTCGTTTCTCCCATCCATGGCTTGATCCTCGTCTGACATCTCCTCATCCCACCAGTCCCTTCCATCCCCTTCCTCCTCCCCCTTCGATTCCGGTCCAGGTATCAAACTCCTCCTTAAAGCCTCCTCCAACGCTCTCTGCTCTTCCAAAGTGGCCCCACATCTGCCTGCCTCCTCAACACTGGCTCTAAGCGCCCTTTGCAACATTGCATCCTCATCGTCCGCACTGGACACTGGGCGCTCCAGCTCAGCAATACTCGCGCGGATAGCTTGAGCAATCATTTCGTCTTCCTGGGTGTCGCTGAGCAAGCTGTCAGAGAAGGACGTGGGGGTCGTGGCCTCTCCAATCGCGCGTCGTGTCACTGCCGGGTTCGCAACTCTCTCCGTTGTGCCCTGGGTTGTCGACCCAGCTGAAAAAGAATCTCTCGCAGTTGGCAGCTCCACATAACTACCCTCATGCAAGGCCGGAGGGTACATAGGTGTCGTCCCAGGCGGATAGTTCGTCGATCCCAGCTCTCCCCTTTCCCTGCTCGACTCTTTGCTCTCACGCCCTGGCTTCTGCTTGAGTAAGGCCTGCAACGCTTCCAAGCGTTCTTTATGAATATTCTTCGTTTTGTTAGCACGCGCCTTCAGACTGCTCCACTCCCTGAGAATGTCCGCTCTTTCCTGCCTGCTCAAGCCCCGTGCCTCTTCATGTCCTTGCGATATCCTTGCGGCGATGATATAGTCCTTCACTTTTGCGCCCTTACTCTTCACCGCTTCCTGGTACAATCCTTTCATAGCGTAGCCAGTGAAAGCAAAAACACCACCCATAACGCGCAGATACACGCCTGCAATGCCGCGACCCATGCCTTTGATGAAGCCCACCCCACCTTCTTTCTTAGCGCCTTTGTAGGGGTCGACTACTAACCCACCTATGCCCTCATAAAGTCCGAGGCCGAGTTCCTGACATATAGTTAGTCTCAATGTGACGGACGCCGCCTAAAAAAAGGTTACATGCTTTCGTTGCGGTCTTCAAACCGCTGTGTAGGCCTGTCACCTTATCGACCGGCCGTACATCCTCTCCATAAAGCTTAGGCACATTGTGAAACCCTCTGGCAACATTGAGCGAGAAGTCCATAGGCGACTTGAAAGCTGCGCCTAAGATCTTGCCAAACCCCTTGCCAGTGTCGATTGCTGTTTCGGAATTCATATTGCGGAGCTTATCGGTGAAGGAGGGCCCTGAATCTAAGCGTTCGTCGCTTGGTGACGCTGTATGAGCCGTCGAAGCGGCCTGTGGACGGCGCTCTTTCGATACGGACCGGGACCTCTCCGCCGGGGTATGGGAGGCGTCGGACAAAAAGCGCCCCTGGCGCGAAGGAGTGTCAGGCAGGACAGACTGCGAAGGAAGAGCCTTTCGAGGTATAAGAATGCTGGAGGACATCTGGGAATTGTTGCTGTTTGCAGAGACATCGTTCTTGCTGACATTGTCAGATAGTTCAGATTCTGCCTCTACAACATGGACGTTGCTCGAGTTTCGCGATCCAGATGAAGGAGCGCCATCAGTGGAGGATTCGGGACGATCATACAGCCGGCCTTTCCCTTTCCACTTCTTGCTGTCGGGGTGGATATTCAGGAGCTTGAGCGTTTCCATTGGAAGGTCCGCCATTCCCATCATCATCTGCGTCGCTGTCCCCATTATTGCAGTTGCACCACCGGATATCGGATCCCACGGGCCTTCATCCGGCTCATACTCTCGGGGTCGAAACCTGGTTTGGTAAGTATGCGTCGATATTGATGTTGGAAAGATGCTTACAATCTGAGATCATCGTAGGTTAGCTGTCCATCTTCAACCAGGACGGCTGCAGCCTTGGCACTAAGACGAACTTTGGTCCGTCTCACTCTCCAAACAGCTGGGCGATGTGGATCAATCATGCACCGGAAATCGTCGTACTTCAACATTTGATGGAATGACTGCGCCCCGTTTTGGGAGCCTTGTTCTTGGGCGATGATGTTCGCAAGGTGTTGAGCTTGTTGAAGAGACTCCGGTTTGAGAGCTATTTCAATAGCGTCGGCCAACTTCTCAGCAGTCAAATCTTTGAAGGGAATAGAAGGAGGGCCGGCTCCGGCCTTGGCTGTCATTGATCCCCAGAACGGTTGGTCACCAAAAAAGGGAACGATGACGGTAGGTCGGCCAGCGCGTATACCTGCAGCGGTGGTGCCAGCACCTCCATGATGTACGACAGCAGAGACATGCTTGAAGAGCCAGTCGTGAGGAACATTGCCCAGCATGAAGACTCCATCAGGGATTCCCAGTAGATCGGCTCCCAGGCCGCCCCATCCTTTGGATACCAGAGCACGGCGTCCTGTTTTTCTTACAGCTTCGAAAATGAGACGGGTCATAGAATCCGGATCATCTACAACAATCGATCCAAACCCTATGTAGACGGGAGGTTCACCTGCTGCCAAGAATGCAGCGAGATCAGGCTCCGGCGTGTAATTGGAGGCTAGATCAAGGAAGTAGAATCCGGCGATGGATATATGCCGATCCCAGTCCTGTGGTTTCGGAATCAAGGCGGGTGACCTGAGACGCTGTTAGATTTGCCATGCAGAATTGATGTTGGAGATAATACCAGCAGTAGGTAAAAGGGATTTTCATCCTAGCAAGCATATTGGGACCCCAGAGCGCGCTCACTGGGTCTAATCCAAGGCTCGTTTTCCGGAATCTATTGATCAGATCACCTAGCCCTTGCCACGTGAGCAGATTGACCAGAGTATACGACATGTAATTTGTCAGCTTGGGATCGGCATTGGTAGATATTATGTTTGCCAGAGGATGAGGGAACTGCTGCGTTGGGGACCACGGCATACTATCATCTGATTAGCCGGGGCGTGATGAGACCTTTCTATACCGAAGACCCACGTAAACATCATATGAAGCGGAATGCCCAATTTCTCTGCACAATGGACATGTCCGAAGCTCGGCGGGTTTGCAATGATAGCATCGGCGATGAAAGGCGTGTTTCGAGCAGAGGGAGCGCCTTCTTCACCTGCCATCCACTCTTCGATTGTCGACTTCAGGGGATCGCGCCCCATACCGTCTCCCGGCTCGATGCAGGACCTCCATGTCCCGCGCAAGATCTCGGCGATTTCTTTTCTCCTCTTGCCAACGTCACCACTCCGTAAGGCCTCGAAGCCAGGCATAAGTCCAGGATTCTTGACCATAAAGGCCATGAGCTGCGCGGGATCGCCCCCGATACTGAAGAACTCTAGCCCATTCTCTGTGACAAAGTCCTTAAATACTGGATGCGTCGCGAGCCGTACCCGGTGCTTGTACGTCTCCTTCAATAACTTACCCAAGGCAATGAAGGGCTGCACATCGCCTCTTGAACCGACCACCTGTATAACAACGTTCAAAGGCGGAGGAGGTTTTTGGTCCGGTGCCCCGGTGAGTATCTCTGGGAGGTAGGGAGGCGGTGGTGCAGCAGCTTCGTGCGCCGCCGATGCGAGCTGTCGTTGGATCTGAGGAAGAAGGGCCTGGGACAATCGCGACGTCTTTTGGTTTATTCGGATGTTGACACGGCCATCATTTGTTACTACCGCATTTGCCCCTAGATCGCTGTTGTCGTCGGCGAGCTGGCCGGGAAACTCGGTATATTCAGGCGGTGGCAGGTCGTCGTCAGAAGGAACGGTTTCGGCCGTGTTGTAGGCATAATATTGGGTCAACGAGTCGCTGCTCGCACGATTAGCTGGATACAAACACACTGCCTTTTTCCACGTCCAACTTGATGACTCCTGTACCTCCACTCCAGGCTAGATTACCCATCCAAGGGTACTCCAACTGGGTAGTAGATTCTGATTATGACATGCATCCAGTCGGAAGTGGAGGAAGGCCACAGTAGAGCCAGCAGGATCCATACCTAGTTGCTCGGGTCTCTGGCATGTCCATGACCCGGTAGGAGCTTGCGTAGGCGGATCCCTCGGGCTTCTGCCACTCGCTGTCTCGGGAGCCCTCGCGGGAAGGGTGGCCTGCTTGATGTCTGGATGAGGTCTCGGGCAGGTCGCCCGGGAGTTCGGCAACATGCTGACTTGCGAATGGGCTGATGGAAGCCTGAGAGTTGAGCGAGTCTGCAGTTGGTGGTGGTGGGGATTGATGGTTTCCCAGAACCCCAGGCCGCTTTTGCTCGTTCGTCATAGATGAGGAGGTCGAAGGAATGCCGGTAGGATCGAACTTTCCACAGAGATAGGAAGGTCAAGAGGCCGCAAAGCACAAAAGCGAGAGAACATGGCCAACGCTGGAGACGCGTAAGTGAGAGACATGATGATGTGAATATCTGCAAACCAGCTGTGACAGGGGGTGGGAAAGGTGAGATTGCGTAGGCGGCAGGGTTACGCGGAAAGAACGAATGCTGATTGGTCGCAGGGTGGGGCTGGTGAAAGTGGCGCAGGGCTTGGCATTATGGAGTGGGGAATTTTCGTGCAGAAGGTGAAACGACAGGTAGTCTTCATATAGCACTAGAGTGCTAGTAGTAGACTAACTATATCTACGGAGTATTTATCATTAGTCTAGGTACAACGGCCCCGCATGGTCGGAACTCCGATGTTGCGCAGATACCGCACTGTTCGACACGACAACAGGGTTTAGGAAGTATTTCTTTGAGGAGACAACGGGTAGCTAACCTCCCAGTACCTTAGCTTCTGGAGTTGTCTTTGGACTCGACGGGTGATTGTTCAAGATGCTGTCTATGGATCATGGACTGTGTAGTGAGCAAAGCGTGGTCTGTCCACTGATCCGCACCACGGCCACCTAACCTGGAAGGACCCGGCGAGCGGCTCAGGAACCTCGTCCTCCGGCCGCACATGAAGATCCGAATGAAGTAGGCCATCCATTTACCTGCCAATCCATGTTAAACATCTAGCTCCTGGCCAAACAGGGGGACACTGATACCACAGATGCGGCCACACACTCGCAAGCGACGGAGGCTTCTCCAAGAGGGCGGCCGTGATGCTTCTTCCACCGTGGACTTTCCCACAATCTTTCGAGTCTGGACACGGAGGATCTCTCCCAGCCAGGTTCTTCAGGGGCTCCAGCGACATGATGTGCTTCAAGGTGATGGGGTTCTTGACAGAGGCGCCCGTCTTCTGATCGGCGTCGCCGGTTTTCGGAATGATGTCGCTGACACCTCTCCGAGTTGTCTGCTCAGTGGACACGGATTTGGACGATTTCGCACCGTCATAGCTCTCCTTGATACTTCCTTTACTATTGACCGTCGGGAGGTCCCTCAATGGGCGTTGAACCGTGGTTGCGATGATCGAGGACGAGGAGCGAGAAAGTACATGGCGGAGAGACGCTTGGTACACCATAATAAGTGCAGTTTGCGATCCTTGGTGGGAGACTGGACCTCTAGAGGGGGGTTGCTCTCGAAAAAGACTAAAAGAAGAATAGTAGCAGACTCAACAGTTTGTGACGTGTGCACTACGTGTCTCAATGGCGGGTGTGCTGCTGTTGTCCCCCTGCTAAAGTCGCAGTCGTCGTGGATGTCGTTCCACATAAAACCACAGAGAGGAAGGGCAGTTGAGGACATGGCAAGGCCATTGCTACCGCCCTGCGCGCCTTTCCTGCGTGAGACTGGTGATGGAAGGAGCCTCTACTGGCATCTCGTTTTGTCTTCGGCGTCGCAGCCCCCCATGCGCGTACAAACGATCCACCGCTCGAGTGTCGAGATTCACCATGACAATCATGTCCCATTCCATATTGCATTGATGAGGCGCTACTGGCAGAAGGTCGATTGTTGATTGTATTAACGAGATACGCCAGACTGGTTGGATGTTCAATATGAGGTGTAGCTGGATTGTTTCTTTGCCAAGGTAACGTGTTTTATCAGCCCGTGCACGACCTCGTGTAATGCACGCTTGGCACTATCTATCCTCTACAAACTCGAGGGTATTAAGCCTTATACAAGAGCTATTATTGTACAACTTTTTGGAAGAGTAGTCTATATAGTACATCCATTATTTTGCGCTATTGGAATCGTTTCGGCAGATTGATGTTGCGCTCGCGGCGGGACTGAGGTTGAGGACATGGGATGGCAGCACCTGTGGCAACTACCTCATCTACAGCAACACCGGCGGGAGCAGCTGCTGACTGAGGCTCGAGCCTTTGACGATTACCTTTTTGTGATAACTTTATGTCATTTTGGAGTTGTTTCTTGGCCTGGCAAGCGAGCTTTTCCTCCTCGTGTGCAGCGGCCTTTATGGCCTTTTCCCGATCCTTCATCTCCTTTGCTGCATTCCTCATATGACACCTCTCTTCAAGCAAGGCAGCTTTATTCTTCTTCTGCTCATCACGGAGCTTGATTGCTTCATTTTTTTGTTGTTGTATCTCCATCTCCTCGAGTTCTTTCTGGTGTTGACGAAGGTGGGTGTCTTGAATTTTAGATGGAGACCAAAACATGATGCCACCGTGATACTTATCGGGAGTTTGAAGCAGCAAGGGCTTACTACGCTGCTGTCGCTTCTTCTCATTGATGAGAGCTTCTTTGAGCCGCTTATTTTCATGTTGAAGTAGTGATTTTTGCACTGAGATGGTGTGGATCATTTGGCTGAGCTTCTTAGCTTGATTGTCATATATATCACTCACTACCTGCCTCAGCAACCACTCAACCTTTTGCCAATCTGAAGCACTAAGCACGGAGGTTGAGCTGTCACTGGTAGAGGGTCGAGAGAGCTGCTTGGTGTTGAATCGTTGCAGTATGATATTTGGATCGAGAGGTACAATACCGGTGGCTTTGAAGGCTTTGACTATTGTTTCTGCCTTGAAGGAGATGTTCCAGGCATTAAAGAAGAGCTTAAAGAAGTCACACTTGGTGATAGATGATAGCCCTTGACACTTATCCATAAACTCGGTGAGCTCTTTGGTGTAGTTTGTTGACAGAGGCTTGAACATAACAACATCCAGTGGCTGCAAAGTATGGGTCGAATGGGGTAGAAACACTATAAGGAGGATCTTATTTTCATCGCAATAGTTGATAAACTCCATCGTAACATGAGATCCATGGCCATCAACAATGAGTAATCAATAGAAGCGTCACACCTTTGCCCTTGTCTCACGATCGAAGACTTGCTTGAGCCATGCATGGCCAATTTCATTACTTGTTCACTCTGACGGAGATGAGGTGAAAAAAGTACGATGAATGGCTGGGTCGAAATCCTGTAACCATGTATCTTATATGTTATTTGAGGCAGCTTGATATATGAGAGATGGCGTGAAAGCATTCCCATCAGCACATATACAAGCCAGCAACGTAATCCACTCACGATTACCATCCTGGAGTGCTGTTTTGGCCTCTCCATGCTCATATCTCTGCCTGCTGAACACCTTCTTCATCTTAGAGAGTACACCGATGAGGAAGCCCTTCTCATCTATATTGTAAATATGGCAAGGATCCACATCATATTGCTCAATTTTTGAGCGTAAAAGTTCAAAGTACAAGGTGTACTTAAAAGCAGAATCAGCTTTATGGCGATTGCTGTTGATGCTGGAGGTCCATCGGGACATGAGATCGATGTGGCGATGTTTGATGAAGCGATCAACTCAGCACTTTCCGATAGGTTTTTGGGCAATCTCAGATATGAAATTTCGTATCATCTCTCTCGTAGGTGGTAGCCCTCGCTTGCAAGGGCCATCGATATAGCGTACAAGCTCATTCTCTTGTATGGTGTGGAGATTGCATTGGTTAAGATTCTTCTCGACACACGTCGTGCACACCCCTCGGTGCCTCCGCGACAACGTTGAGCACTCAACACCAAATTTTTTCGCAACTTGCATATAACTAAAAGATTCGCCTGGTCCTAAGCTCTTTAAAAATTCAAGTGCAGCCTCAATATCGCCCATATTCGTAGAATTACGTAGTGTTAAAAGTTGGGATGGAAACATGTGCACGTGCATTACGCGAGGTCGTGCACGGGCTGATAAAACACGTTATTCCAGATCCGGTTAGCCTCCTTGTGCTGTTGTAGCACTTCACAGTTCACAACCTCAACCGCCCTCAATTCATCATTGTTATGGCTCCCTAAACACAGCAAAGACCCACGCATAAGCTGTTAGGACGGACTGCTACTCGTTGGTCCTTGTCTTGCTCATGACTAATTTGATTTCGAGCGTGCTGTACATGGTTTCGTTGGAGTTGTTTGTCCCATCTCTCAACCTAGCTCCTAAAGATGGGCTTCAAAATCGCGCTTGGAAGCGTACTACTCGCATCAACCGCTGCCTGGAACACTGACGGTGACTAGTATTAGCTATGCATTCTCACAACCGCTAACCTGCTGTAGTGCACAACCAGATCGGCTTCATGGCCGAGCAGTTCCTCCATGCAGAAACCATTGCTGTTGTAGAGGAGATCCTCGAACCCCAGTATAATGGTTCCATAGGTAGAGCTGCCGCCTGGGCCGACGCCTATGCCCACACCGATGAAGGCCGATTCTCGTATCAATGGCATTGGATCACCACTCACGACTCGGCCCCCAAAACCTGCAACCTAAACTACACTGATGATTGCTCTCCTGGTGGCTGCGTCGTCTCGGCCATTGCAAATCAGACAGAGATACTCAAAGCTTGCATCCAAGACGTCAAGGCTGGGAGTCTGAGCGGAGGGAGCAACTTGACCTGTTCCTACGCCTTGAAATGGGTCACTCACTACATTGGAGATATTACACAGCCTCTGCACGCCTCGGGACGCGCCGTTGGCGGGAACCTGATCCCTGTGATCTTTGATGGAGAACGTGCGAATTTGCATGCTGTTAGTCACACCAGACAAGTCATCTTGCTAGAGCTTCTTAGCTAATAAATAGCACAGGCATGGGACAAGTTCATCCCTTATGCGGATGCTAAGGTGACAGGGTTCTCCAACGAGTCCATCGACCCCTTCTTCCAAAACCTCCTTACCCGCATCCGACAAGACCAGTTCTTCGAAGCTCCTTACATGTGGCTTTCTTGCAGCAATCCCAATACACCCGTCACGTGCGCCACGCGTTGGGCGGAGGAGACCAATGCCTGGAACTGCGACTACGTCTATAAGCACTTTGACAATTCGACCGACCTTGCAACCAATGGCTACGCTGCAGGCGCTATTCCCATTGTCGAACTTCAGATTAGCAAGGCTGCGCTGAGGTTAGGGACGTGGTTGAACAAGTTGGTCGAGGAGTCGAAATGGTATCGTCCAGGCCAGCAGGTGGTGCTGCTGAACGATGATGCCGAAGATGAAGAGTGATAACACACAATCGAGATCAACAAATCATGGTCAATCATCGAGCAGTTTCGAGAACAAAGGTGACATAACTCTGTTCTTGATGCGCTGCGGGAGCTCCCCGCGGGACCCCACATCGGCATCTCATGGTTCCCCACATTCTGCCCTGGCATCCATGTTAACATGCACTGTGTAACCGTCGATCTACGAAATGGAACCTTACAAGCTTTTCTCATACAGACATTTCTGCTCTAACCACGTTCCAGACTTCAAGCATGGCATTAAACGAGTTGAAGGAAAACGTCACAGCCCAGGTAAACGCCCCCCTAAAGAACACTCAGCGGAAGCCTATGGCCGGTCTACTTCATCCTGTACGCGACTCCAGTCATTGACTTGGATCATGTATGCATAGAACCCCTCGCGTGAGACGTCGCCCAACCGGGGAACATCGCTCCCACAAGAAGAGGCCATACCAGCAATCCGCAAGCCGCTCCGACAATGGCAAAAGGACAACAACATCGACACCAACGCCCAAATCAAGCTTCGGCGGATCGCCCACATGCGCTACCAACACCCAGACCTGCAAGAGATCACCACCTTCCTGCGTGACTTTGGCATGAGCGTCGCGAAAAAGACGGAAACGCAGAGATGGTTCAAGGGCTATGGCCGCGATCAATACGTCTACTACGCCCAGCAGGGCGAGAAGAAATTCCTCGGCGGCACCTTCGAGGTCGAGAGCTACGCTGAGCTCGAAAAAGCCGCTCGCCTCCCTACCGCAGGGCCCATAGAGGAACTCGTCGACGCCCCAGGAGGCGGGCACATGGTCACTCTCACAGACCCGCAAGGCTTCCCCATCAACCTACTCTTCGGCCAGACACCCGCACCAGGCGGCCCCCTCCCGGAAATCCTGGCAACAAACTACGAAACGCACAAGCCCCGTATCGCGCGTTTCCAGCGCTTCAAGCCCGGTCCCGCCGCAGTGCACAAGCTGGGCCACTACGGTCTCTGCGTGACCGACTTCCCGACCCAGCTCGAATGGTACACGCGCACCTTCAACTTCGCCCCTACCGATTTCCTGTACGTCGACACGCCCGAGGGCGAGAGGAAAGACGTCGCTGTTTTCCTGCACATCGACATTGGCCAGGAGTACACGGATCATCACACCTTCTTCATGTCGTCGAACCCGACCTCGCACGTGCACCACTGCTCCTTCGAGGTGCACGACTTCGATTCCCAGATCCTCGGCCACGAGTGGCTGGCTAGTAAAGGGTATAAGCTCGTTTGGGGCGTCGGGAGGCATATCCTCGGTAGTCAGATCTTTGACTATTGGTGGGACACGAGCGGGAATATGGTCGAGCATTATGCGGATGGGGATTTGGTGAATGAGGATACGCCCGTAGGGTGGGGAGCGGCGGGCGATGAGAGTTTAGCGGTCTGGGGTCCCGAGGTGCCGAAGTGGTTTTTGGATTAGAAGGATGCAGTTGTTGCTCGAGAGGGGCCAGAAGAGGATGTAAAACGAGGACTTGTTCGTAGTGATATTGCTGGGGAATCGTTGGTATCATGGTCATGTCTATCAGTACAACACCATGTGCGAGGCTTTCAGCTCTTTTTCCGCCCTTGCTCGGCCAGTCGAACGCCATCGCTGTTCAATTACTCATCGTCTGATTCATTCCTCTTCAGGTCTTCCCAACCCCGTCAACATCCTCACCCCCCATTTGACCCATCCCTCACCTCCGCCCTCGCTCCCCTTCCCCTTCATCCCTTCCAGCTGATCCACCCTCCGCTCAACATTCTCAATCTGCCTCTCCAACTCCGCCACCGCATCCTCCACATCCTCAACTTTCCCTTTCAGATTTTGAATCTCATAGTCCAGCTTTGCCCCCAAGGTTTCCAATTCTCTCACCGCATCGTGCAATTGCACACGATCCTGCGAGATAATATCCCGCACCTCGTCGCGCAGTGATTGGTATTCCTCGAAGCGAGCAAGATACATCTGCTCCAGCTCTTGGATGTCGGCTGTCGCTTGGAGATCGATCTCTTTGACTGTCTCCAGAGCGCCGGACGTCCATGCGGCGTCTGTGGTAGAGAGGGCGGTTAGAGCTTCGTAGAGGTGTTTTGTGTGGGTGGAGAGATAGTGTAGGGTAGCCAGCTTGGCGGCGACGTCGTCGATAGATTTTGGAGAGTCATCCCAGGCGGGCACAAGAGGCGCCCAGGTGAGAACGCTCTCTTCGGCGATGCTGAACGAGAGGTGCCGGGGATACCAGTTGTTGTCCCTCTGCGTAGCCCTGTGTTTCGTCATGGGCTCAGAGCTTTGGGTTCGCCGGAGAGGGATTGGAGCCGACTCTGCGGGCTCATAGGGAAGTTTTTCGGTGCCTTCCATCTCCCCATATAAACTGCCGGCAACAGATTCTTCAACAGTTGAAGCACGGGAGAGGAGAGCTGCTTCCTCCTCAGCTGCTGGTTGTCCGGAGGCAGATCCGGAAGTCTCCGTCTCTGCAGCAACTCTGGGGGTATCGCTGTCAAGCGCTTGAGCGGAGCTTTGGGCAGTCTCTGCCAGTAGCCTGGAGAGCGCAGGATCGGCAGTAACGGTTCTTCGTGGCACCAATTCCAAGTCCGTAACAGCCTTGCCAGTCTCCGAGGTGGTCTGTCGTAGAGCTTCATGACCATTGGTGCCGTCGTCCTTGGAGGTCTTATGTTGATGGCTTTTCCGTCCCACGGCGTCCTTGATGCGATGGAACCCTGTGCCGGATTCAATCTTTTCTGTCGCTCTCTTGATAGCCGCCCGTTTGGAATATATGTCCTTTTCTCTCTCAAACCCATCTCCAACTATATCATGATGGTTTCTGACATCTTCGTTGATGGTGTCACGCTTGGTCAGTTTACTTTCTTCCTGGGTCGGTTCTCTTTTCAAGAGCCTTGCTTTCGCGGCATGGTCATCAGGGGATGAGGCCTCCTCGCCCGGAAGGCGACTGAACATATTGGTCGTGGCAGTCTTTCTAGCTTTCCCCAGCCATAGCCACTTCGCCGAGTCGCCATGGACAAGTTCAGCGAAGCGTTCGATATCCACCGTCTCGACATCGGCAATGCCCGCCTTATCGCCAGCGCCCACCATACCCATGACCATTTCACCACCCTTTCCCCCCAATTCTGCGACGGTGGATTTGAGTGCTCTGGGCATGGTCCAACTCTCCTTGCTGGCGGCTTTTGCAGTGACCCGCCTGAGCCGCTCTAGAGTCGGACGATCAAGTAGGCCAGTTCGTGGAAGGCGTTGTGATTTCTGGAAGTGCGAGATACCCCGCTTTGTGCTCTCGATGTCAAACACATCTTTTCCAATAGGCGCATTCTGAGCACTAAGTCGATTCCGCGCGCCCATGAGCATTCCGAGCAAGCCAGCGACTGTAGTCGGTCCAAGAATGCCATCATGCGGCTCCACGGCGTAATGTTCCGCCCCGAACTCTACCCACCAGTCGCTAACAGCCTTCTCAGTCTGATCGCAAAGCAGGCCATCAGCATATGCGGGATCCAGCTTGGTAAAGAGGACCAGGGCAAGCTGACACATCCTGACCAGCTCAATGACGGCACCATTGATAGGAATTTTGTCACTTGTCCGATAAAGTTGATGGAATTTGGCGATTGTTGCCGTGTTCGGGGGCGCGAGTTTGATCCCAATTCTGCCCGAACAGCCCAACCGCTTCAGGTTGACATTGACAAAAAAGGGCTCCCTATTTTTCTTGGCGTCGCCATCCGGAACCGGTATGGCAGTTAGACTAGAGGGAAAGGCGCCCATGTTCGTGACCATGACCGTCCCAAGGCTGGTCTCCGCCCGTTTGGCATGAGATTGCTCCATTGCCTTCACGTATATTCTCAGGTAGGGCGACCATGCCGTCTCATCCGCGGGTACGCTCAGTATACTTCCCCATGCAACGCTCTTGGGATCGCCGCTGAATGTGGTAATGACGAAAGTAGGATGGGTGCGAGAACAAGCCCACTGCTCGATGAAATAGAGTTCGTAGCCTTCGAGTTTCTGGCGGCGAACCAGGACCGTGACGGAGGGGTCTTCCTCGAGAAAGCGGAGGGCGACATGATCAGTGAGGACGAAACGCCGGTGCGTGGGCGCGGTGGGGGCAGACAGCGAGACCTGAGACGGTTCAACGGCGGAGGCCCTGGCCTGAATGCTGTGCTTCATCGGCGTGCTACTACCTGCTCCGTCAACGTTGAATGAGGCCGTAGGTAAGTGAGACGATTTCCCCGGAACCTCCATGTCCGGAGCGCCCCGGCGGGACGCGATGGTCGGGAGGTTGGTAGACATAGTTGGCGGGTTTGTTCCTTGCAGCCGTGCGAGTGGCGTCCTGTCAAGGCCCTGACTGTGGCCTCATGATCACACCCCAGGCCTCTTGGAGAGGCTCCGGCCCCGCTACCGGGAAGGATGAGGTGGTTGCGCGTTGTCCAAAGGCGGTTGAGGATTCATGTCTGGTTGTTAACAATCCCTTGCTGGCGACCCTGTGAAGGTGTAGTTGGTTACCCTAATGGCTTGGCAGGGAAGCTTCCCCACGTCATCTATGTCGGAGAACCGCGGAGGTTTCGGAACTTTCCCCTCAACCATCACACCTCTCCCACCGCCGCCGCGTCTTTCATTGCTCATGAGAGTAAACACGCTGTTTACGTCTCGCCGAGAGTGTCGGATATGTGGAGCGAAAGCAGCCTGATTTCTATCACCCTCTTCCACCTTCACTAGTGGCGCCTTCGCTTCCCCGCCATGGACGACCTTAAGGAGGTGGTGGACCACCTGGAGAGCACGGCTAACCTGTCTCGTGCGATCGAAGATGTGGATAAGGCTATCGACCTTCTCACATCGGCACGAGATAAAATCACTGCAGGTGAGAGTCGCCCTATCTCCCTTGAGGGAATGTGCTTTGCTCAACGGGTGCCAGCTCAAGATCCCCAGGCGGCGGTTGTTACGCTGGCGCAACTGAACGGCCCCTTCAAGGAAACATTGGAAGGCGCGAAGAAAGATTTGTTGCCTATTTACCAAACGCTGGGGAGGTACAGCAAAGCTTTGGATAAGGTGCGCCCTCTCCGCCCCGTATACTTTGTTCAACGCACTTATTAGCATTACTATCAGAAATTCAAAGAGAAGCCTCTCCCCACGGCTGAGAACGACGCCCTTTCCTCCAAACCCTCGCTCATAAATCGTGCCATAGCCATGCACCTTCTCCGGGAAGGACAGTTCGACGTCGCCTCCAAATTCGTCGCTGAAGCCACAAAGCACCCCACCGCCCCGGAGCCGACACCAGGGATTCCCGATCCGCATGACGAGGGCTTGACTGAAAATAGCTTAGGGACGGATAAGTTCTCTCCTCAGCAGCTCCGCGACCATTTCGAAACGATGTATTCCGTGCTGGCCCGACTGAAGGAGCATCATGATATCCGCCCCGCTATCGAGTGGGCTGTACATCATAGGAGCGAGCTCGAGGCAAGGGGAAGCAACCTGGAGTTTGAACTTTGTCAACTGAGATTCATAGCACTGTTCAATGGGTGCATACAAGAGTCGTCCGACACGGTTGGCATTTCGGAAGCGCCCTCGAGGACTCCTGGGGACGGCCCGCTCCGTGCTTGGGCTTATGCACGCAGTGCATTTGGCAGATTCATGCCAAGGTATGCAAGACAGATACAGATGCTCATGGGTGCTATGTCCTTCTCAAGTAACGTTGGCGAATCCCCGTATCGACACCAACTTCTCAGCGAATCCCATTGGGAAGCAGTCGCTGCTGCCTTTACACGGGAGTACTGCTCATGGCTAGGTCTGAGTGCCGATTCTCCTCTTTACATTGCTGCAACTGCAGGGGCTATCGCTCTCCCTACCCTTCTCAAGGTGCAAGGCATCATGGCAAGGAAAAAGACCGAATGGACAACACAGCACGAGCTTCCGGTATGGTTCAATCTCCAAACCCCCCACCCTTGTGCGCGGGTTATACTGACATGTTATTACTAGGTCGAGATTCCTCTGCCCCCATCATACTATTATCATTCCATCTTCGTTTGCCCCGTCTCAAAAGAGCAATCCACCGACCAAAATCCGCCCATGATGATGCCTTGCGGTCACGTTATTGCAAAGGAGAGCTTGGAGCAGTTGAGCAAGGGGTCTCGATTCAAGTGCCCTTACTGTCCGAACGAGTCACACCAGAAGGATGCGAGGAGATTGATATTATAGGCTGCAGATTTCTGTACCAGTCTTTCAGAGACTCGGAATCACGGGGTTTGCCATGGCGGCTAGGCGCTTGGGGAATATATTGCAGGGCGTACCTAGGTAACGGATCTGGTGAGCATTTGTTCAGCACCCCTCATGCTTTTTTCTTGGAGTTCTAATTAGCTTCATTCCTTTTTCGTTCACATGGGCATAGTGAGCGGTCATTACGGGCGTTGGCTAGCATGGGAATTTTTGGGACAGGTGCGCTACCTGCGACCATTGTGTATAAACTCTATCATAATGATCACCGTATTAACGCGGCTGACTCTACTCCTCCGTTCCTCCGCTGAGATATCGATCCGGAGACCAAACGCTGGAGCGGCCGGAATATGCAGCCGTTACCGCCTTAACTGAGCCACTATTTTAGCGCGAAATTACATTAAATGTCAGACTTGCCCTTTTAGGCCTTTGGATATCAGATGGTAAACTACAAGGCTGCCGACGTGGCCAAACGCGCATACTAACATGGGTGGAAGTCAGTGATCTTTTTGTGATTCCAATTCCCTTCACCGTTCTGCAAATTGTACATGATGCTGCACTTTCGCGACCGCCCCAGCCACCTTCAGCCACACCCATTGCCACACCAACCGCGACGTCAATCGATCAATCCGCAACTGACACGCTCCTCGAATTCACCTTACCGCCTGCTGCACAATCACGAACTTCTCTATACAAGTGACCGTTCTTTGTCTTGGATGCGGCGATCGACACTCTCACCCGTGTGACGGAGGATAGCGAGACTTCATCCTGTGGACTTTGCCGACTTCAACCCTCGTGGAGGAAAGAGAGCATCATAAACGGAGCCTATAAGGATTACATTCAAACAAGCCGCACTCATGATAGACTCATGCGCTCACCGCATCCCGGAGACCCTGGTGCCTCAACTCGGGAAACGATCCTGCCCCAAGTGCACTCTTCAAACCAGCATTACCCGCATCCAGGCCATCCAGGAGGAGTTGCTAGCGCGTGGAGGAATCTTCGTATCAAGGCCTCGTAACACGAGACGCGACCCCAATCACCCACAATGGAAGGCCCACTTTGACTTACGGCGCCGGTGGCGTGACGCGAAAATCGACGCCCTCAACGCAGTCATGCAGTTCGAGCAGCTGGCCGCTAGCCCAGAGCGGGCTGAAGGGTGGGAAGTTCTTGACGAGGCGGTGAGGCTATGGGAGCAGCAAGCAGAAGACCTTGCCGAAGTTCCGGGATCAACCAAGGAGTTGAGTGAGGAGGAGGTGGGCGACATCGTGAAGCGCATGCTCAGTAGCTTCGGGGGTTCCGTTGGGCAAGAGGCGGACGGCGTTGAGGACGAGGACGACGCAGACGACTGTCCATTTCCGGATTCTGATGTCGACGTCGGTTCGGGTTCTGACTCGGATGATTTCGACATGCTGGATGCTGGACCACATGATCTTAGGGATGTTGAAGACGGCGACAATGATGACGCGGACCCCGAGTTCGCTGCCAGTGAAATGGAAATAGATTCAGAAGGTTCCGCGCAGCTCATCATCTCAGAAGACATGGCTGTCAAGAGAATGGGGAAGAGGGTTCGCTTCACGGACTTCGCGCACGTTTGCCCAGATTCGCTGGTTTTTCAACCGTCCCTCTTTCCTCATAATCCTGCGGGATATCCAGAACCGCAGAGCATTGAGGCGACATTTCTGTTTAGCAATGCTGCCATGCTGACTGCGTCCACTGTACTATCCGCATCTCCTCGCCTTTTGCGTCATCGGTTGAACACTGACGCGGCGCACAAGCGATCACGACGTCGCTATCACAGGCCATCCGAATCATATCTCCAAGGTAGGTGGGCTTCTCCGTCGGGGTATGAGAAACTTGACACTGCATGCTACAAGAAGAGCTGGAGAGAAGCTGAAGCGTACTGGAAGGGAGAGGTCCGAGAGATGAAGGCGGAGAAGAAAGTCTATGAGGGCTTGAAGGCGGTGTCTGGGGCATGGGTTCTGGGGCGTATGGTTCCATTAGCAGTTTGGAGCTATGAGGAGCAAAGAAGGCATAATGCACAGCAAAGTATGGAACTTGACATGGATGTTTGAGAATCACGTGTATGGAAGAGTTGTCGATATACCCCGTCATGATCGGACAGGTATACATTGCACGAGTGCTATTTACCAGAACCACTTCTTGGGAGGGAAAGCATTGCAATTCAATCACCGCGTCACAGTACCACTAGAGGTAATTTGACGGTATATATTCCACGTCTAGAAACGACCATTTTGCATCAGGATCGCCCTTTGCAAGAGCGATATTTGACGTTTGGGACCTTCCTCTATGCGGCAAATGATTTATCGGTTCGAATGTATGGGACTTTTCTGGCCTGCAAAGTCCTTGCAGTTTTTCAACATCTTCCCTCGAGACGGCGCAACAAAGTGTCAGCACGACGTTCCTCATCAACTTCCCACATGCCCGGCCTGTAGGCTAACGGCGCCTTTATATAGTATGGAGGCGGTGGGCTTCGCTTGGAATGTGAGCCACGAAGGTGTTCAGCATCTCTATGTGGGTTATGTTTTCGAGAGATGGCCAACATCAGTTCATCATTAGCCTGGGTATTGACCAGGACGGTAGCCCTCTCCCTAAGTGTAACTTCCGTTGACTTCCGGGCAACTTGACATTGCGTGTAGAAGTGTCGTAGCTCAGTTGAACCGAATCTTCTGGCAACAACTCATATCCTGGTACAACGGCAAGAGTCTCTTTCCGGTCTTCATAAAATGTATCGCCTTTTGACCCATTTCTTCCGACTCTGCATCACGATGATGCAACCCGTCCGCGGCCAACTCAGAATACATCCTTCAGCAATTGCGCCTTCGTAACATGCCATCTTTTTGTGACGCCCAGATAGAATATGACCTCGGCCCCGCGTCCGCCTGTCTTTGTAGCACGCTCTTTGCAGGCAAGGATGCCGCCATGGTCCTTTATGTTTGTCTGTACCTCACGAACGGCTTCGATACCCCGCTTCACGAGGCAGAGGGGACAGCGAGCCTCGGTTTCGGGACAATGTTTGACAGCGACGGCCTGGCAATCAACACATGGAGTAGGTTTCGCGATCTTTGACCGAAGATGGTCCAGAAGGCCGGCACCATGGGACCGAGGGTGCAGATAGATTGGAAGGTCCTTCGTGGGAATTTCTGAGCCCATTGGAAATGAGCAATCCCGCCGATCTTCCAGAGTCAGAGAGACACAGGGGGGTTGCGTAAATCGATTGAGTTGGAATCAAGTTGCGTGTTCATAAGGGTTGTGGCATGGGATCCACAGCTGATGACGGTTATATGCAGATACCCAAGTATACCTCATTGTAAGAGCGGTTGCACAATGCAGAGTACGGAGTCACGGACAGTGACTGCGCCGACTTCGAGCCTGTGCTTTCACAATGGTTGACAACTGACCAATTACAATGTAGAGCTAGATACGCCAACAACTGATTGAAGTTCAAGGGACTTTGGATGTTACCAACCGGCAGTGAAATACACGATTCAGGCATTTGAGAAGTCTTCGATGCCAGCACTCACTTGCATGATTGGAGATTATGGGCGGGATACTATGTTGGAAAGGTGCCCTAGGGCCGTAATTAGTCACAATCTGTAAGTTCACGGTGCGGGATTAAGCGATGGCTATGGTCGCTCCCTGGAACCTCCACTCGCAGGATGGTGAGAGACTCAGTCACGTGACTCATACCCTTCGCTTGCACATATTGAACAATTGGCTACTGATGTGTAATTGACTTGGAAGTAGAATATCCTTAGAGCGTTGATTCACTCTGGGAGTGTAAAGTGAGGGGGCAAGTTGAAATATTCTGGTCGACGCTTTTCCCAATTTTCAAGGTCGCTTAGTCATACCGAAAGATAACGTGTTCGATCACTCATCCGCCAGGATCACTCATCCGCCAGCCCCACCAAAATCACGACGCATCTTCTGCCAATAGCTCCACAACCACATAATAAAATATATCGAAATTTGATCTATTAGATGCGTGCTATCTAGTAGTACACTGAGTCCTCTTGTGGCCTTGCTCGTGGCACTTGCTGCAGGTTGGTGGTGCTCGAGGCCTACTTGGCTGCCCCACCTGCTCTACCTGCTGGAGCATCCTTTCAGCCTCTATAGCAAGCAATTGACCTTCATCTGCCTGTAGAGCTCCTCCACGGGCTATATACTGTCAGCGCTGCTGCTCCTTACGCTGCTGGCGCTGACTAGCCTATTGAAGCTTCCTATTCTCCTCTGCAAGGATCGTTACTGAATTCATTGCAAGTTGACAACCTTTCACAAGCTGGCAGATAGCCTGAGTAGTAGGACTCTGAGAAGGCCGATGAAGGCGGTCCTGGATAAGTCGAGCCTGCTGCTCTAGCTGAGCAATAGTATGTGGTGTCTCTGCCGTCCATACGACCTCAGTGTTGGCCACTGTCCCTGGTGGAGATGGCATCCTGACCACTGTTAACGATGATAAGATGCATTCTGAACAGGCTGGGACTAGCTCTGTTATCCGAAAGCCAGCCAGTATATTCTGCTCTGAGATAACTGTCTCTCTAATACCCAGGTATATCTGTAGGAAGTCTTGTTTGTCGATATGGAAGATGCTTTGCCATGCAAGCTCAGCTACCTGATTTCCGTATGTACATTTGAGAGGTGAGAAGCAGCCAACATCGAGTGGCTGTAGCAGGTGCGATGTATGTGGTAGCATACAGAGCATGATAATCTTGTTCTCTTTGCAGAACTGGTCAAACTCAGGTGTAGCGTGGCTGCTATAGCCATCAAGGATAAGTAGTCAGTAGGCTCCTACTGTACGAGACTCTGTATGTTGGTAGAAGTGCTTTACCCACTCAAGGCCAAGCTCATCAGTCGTCCAGCCATTGTTGCTAACGGCAATAACCCAGTCGAGTAGGAGGCCTTGATACCAGCTTGCTTGGTGCAGCTTTCTGAACAGGATTATGAAGGGTGGGATAGACCAGCCAGAGGCATTGATCCCCTCAATCATCGTTACCCACTCACGGTCACTCGGCTGTATAGTTACTGCCTGGCCGATTACCTCAGAGCTCATGATGACTTTTGACGTTGTAGCAATCCCTATCATAAAGCCAGTCTCATCAAAGTTGTAGATATCTGTATCGAGGATGCTGTACAACTGACATGTCTCCTCTACAAGCTCGAACCACGTGCGGATCATGACTGGATCCTCAGATCTCACACGCTGTGAGTGGAACTTGCGATTCCACTTTGTCTGGAGCTCTGCCTGATGGTTGACGAAATGGGATACCCATTTCTCGCTGACTGGCTGAGGAGGGGGTTCTTGGCCACATATGGTGAGTAGATTGTCTGCCATTCATCGTACGTCGATAATCAGGGGTGGAAATCCACGTCGGTCGAGGCCTAGGATCCAATCTACTAGGGCCTGCTCCTCTGTAGGGTATAGCTTTTGTTTTTGTGCATTAGCAGTAGCTTGTGGTAGGCTACCTGCAAGACGACCGCGAAGCGTTGAACGAGGAGTATTATATAGAAAAGAGGCTCTATTAACATGTAATTTTTTATCTCTTTGGAGAGCAGCAGTAGCTAGAGCTAGTCTACCTTTGTCTAGGGCTTGCTGAGTACGTTGTGGAAGTGGCATCGCGAGTGTTGTGAGAAGACGCGTCGTGATTTTGGTGGGGCTGGCGGATGAGTGATCCTGGCGGATGAGTGATCGAACACGTTACGCCTGGTGACGCTTCCAAAGCCTTCCATGCCGCACACAACGTTGGTCTACATAAACTGACTACATTTGCTCCAACATATGTCCGAGTCGCGGACCAGGTGTTGGCGTGTCTTCATAACTGGATGACTCAATGTTGAACAATCGCACGGCTAGTCTTCCTGGTGTATCAGCACGTTGAGGTTATTGACGAGCTCGAGACGCATCTCGCTGTGGTCAGTACGCGTTGACCCCTTTATCAAATCTCAGATCATCAACTACTCATTCGTCGGCCTTGTCGTTCGTCTAGCCGGCCTGTTCTCTGACTCCTATTTCAAAGAGTGAACCCCTTTAGTCAAAAGTGCGTAATAACCTCGAGGCGATGATCTTGAGGAGAGATCCGCCTTATTCGATTTGTCTTTGTCAAGCACACATCGCCCCTGGATCGCCGGCCTGAGGTCCCGACGGCTTCTTCCATCATTATTGGATTGTGGCCATCCTACTTACGGCCGACCTCTTCTGACGCCTTCCATAGCATCGGGACACTAATGAATGCTATTACCTCACTACTCGTGCGGATGGTAGCTCGTCCTCCAGGATGGCACACCAAGCTCGCAATCCACACGCGAACTCGCGACCTCGTCCAGTCACCGTTGGTCACCTCTAGACACTCAGCACATCAAGCTCGCCCAAAGTCCTCCATCGGTATGTCATCGAATGCCAGCTTTACATGCATAGCCTGACATCCCGACTACAAGGCCGTGAATGTGATATTTTCAACTATACAAGCGGGCGCTGGCTGCGCCAAGACGGACAGGAACGGCTATCGCGTGCCATAACTTTCGACTTTGAGACACTTTGCGGTCGTTTACAAGCGGTTTGTCCCGGTGCTCGCTCCGTAAAGTCATTCGAAAAGAAGGAGGGTGGTTTCAACAGAATATTCATATTCACAATGGAAAACAGCCGACAAATTGTTGTGAAACTGCCCTATACATTAGCAGGGCCATCGGGTCGAAATATCAGATCTGAAGTTGCAACCATCAAATACTGTAAGTCGATTCCGTGCCGGATTTTCCATGCTTATTTTCCCATACCTCTAGTGCAAAGACACACGAAGATTCCAATACCCTCGGTCTTGGACTGGAGTGACTCTGCGTCCAATCCAATTGGAACCGAATATATCATAATGGCGCATGCTTCTGGAGTGCTTTTGCATCTCAAATGGCCGCACATGGATGTTGAAAGCCAGATTCGGTGCATCGAGTCCATACACAAAACTTTAAAAGAGATGGTCGACCTCGAATCCCAGCATACGGAAGCCTGTACTCAGTTAGCTCATTATACACTGACTCGTCTTCATATTTGCTGGATGAAGGATATTGCATTGGTGCCCACTGTGGACCGATGTTTTGGGATTGTAACCCGTTACAACCGAGATATTATGAGAGAGTAGAGCCTAACCATGGGCCATGTAAGGATATTTCTTCCTCGCATGAGGCAGATTGCTAACCTAAGGTAAAGGGCCCACTTTATCCGCTTTTTGTGATGGACTAGTGGATACCGGCATCTCCAGAGTTCCACCCGCCGGCCCCGCTGGACCGCGGCCCCGATATCAAGGGTCCTCGCAAGATCACTACAAGCTTCTAGATCATGGTCGAGCTGTAATCAAGAAAATGGCAGAAGATCCGCGCATCCAGAATGCTGCTCGTCCCACCCTCTATCACCCAGATCTTCATAAGAGGAATGTCTTCATCTCTGAAGAAGACCCCACTAAGATTACTGCTTTCATAGATTGGCAATCGGCTAGCATTGAACCGGCCTTCTGGTATGCAGATGAAGTTCCGGACTTTGCGCAACCTCTTGCGCATCCTTCACGTGAGGACGCGTTTGAGCCAAAGAGTGAGGCCTGTGCTAAAGTACACAATATCTGTCTGCAATACTTCTCGCCTAAGTTGGCGGAGCCCCGGATGATGGATGAAAGTCTTTTCCGACCGTTCCGATACTGTTACAGGACATGGAACGATGGTGCCCCAGCATTTAGAGAGGAACTGATACAAACTGCCCGACACTGGGACGAGCTTGGTCTTCCGCAGCCATGCCCGTATCCCCTGCCAACCAGCGAGGAGCTGGAAGATCACCGCAAACAGTACAAGCAGTTTGAAACAGCTCAAGAACTACGGTTCACATTGACCAACCTGCTCAATACTGCTTCCGATGGTTGGGTGCCCACAAAAGATTGGGATGCGACCAAGGAGGCACACAAGGAGGCGTATGCAGGTTTATTGCGCGAAGTTCTCAAGGTAGATCCTACAGACGAAGAAGACACCTTACGGTCAGAAGCCGATATGCGCGAGCTTTGGCCGTTCGACCTGGATGATTTAAAGCCGTCAAACACATGTTGAGTAAACACTCTACGATAAAACACAGCTAGTACCGACATTGCACCTCTTTGGAGAATGCTAGGCAGTAGGTGCATTAAGGTCTGTGGCTGCCTAGGCGCATTGTGATATCCGGTTGAGTTCTCTGGAATTGGATTCCCTATCAGCTTCGACGCGCATGCGATTCCCACGGCCTGGGTATTCTACGCTCAAGTAGCCAGCAAGAAAGAGTGTGAGAAACTTGTTCTCTCATCCCCCTCCTCCCCGCTCAAACCTAACATCGCCGTCCCCATCCCCGTCTCCATTCCTCCCACCTTCAACTCGGCCCATACAATCCGCCTTGTCCTCGCCAATACGCCTCCCAAAACGTTTTAATAATTGTGCTGTACAAAATAATTGCCAGACCGACCCATATAACGAACAGGACGATCTTGAATCCGGACCATTCTTCTTCGCCACTGCGATCGTGTATGTTTGAGTGCGGGTCGTCTCCTAATGGGAGGATGGTTCCATAGTCGTTCATTTGCTGAGATGTTTGTAGCACTGGCATACCCATTGCTGGATCAGTCGCTGGGTCGCTGTATGTTGGTGGTGGGTCGTCGTAAGTGGCATGCTAGACCATTCCGTAAGCGACAGCTCTTGCGCGAGCAAAAAACACACATCTGACTTACGTCGACCATTTTTGAGGAGCTGAAAGTATAGGAAGATTTAGAGAGAGGCATGTCGAACATTTGGGACATATACTGAGAGGGTTGGTGTTTTGCGGGGGCTAGGGGCCAGAGGGTTTCAAAGCGCGCGGCTAATGGAGTTCGACATATGGATTGTAGTAGTGGCTGTGGAGGGGCTGTGTACACAAAAACACCGGGTCCTGTCATGGAGTTCTTAAATCAAGGTTTCAGTTGTAGTACAGCACCCTTGCGATCTACGTGAGAGGGTTGGAACAAGGCGATTTACTTGGAAGCTTTTGCATTAAACACTGTTCAGTGAATTGAGTTACAATCTTACGGCAGGTGTTACCACACAACACGAAAGTTAAGATTCTATCCAGCCGATCCCACTCCCCTTTCTGTCATGTTACAGGAACATAGAAACCGGAGCTCACACCCCACGGCTCTCGGTAGGTCTACTACGCTGTCGAACCGCTGCACTACGTCGCACAACAGAGTAGGGCAGCCGATCCTGTACCTCTGGGTATGAAACCCTCGCCGTATGCACCACTTAGGCAGTTCTGTTCCAAAATGACACAGTAGTCACTGAACAACACTGTGCCGTCATGGAATCTACTGTTTGTCCATCGCCCTGCTATTGCGGGAAATAGGCCATAGGAACTCGCAATGAGGGAACTCTCACGGCCTGTTTCTAACTCCACACTTGATCAATCTACAAACAAGCGGGACTCTGCAAACAGACGTTGTATGCTGCGGTAATCTTAGTTATCTTCTGACATTGCCCGGTATGTATTTAGGCCAGATTTACGATGCAGGCCATGATGATAAGACAAATGGCAATGATGACAGCAATGATCTAGGCGAAGGGGGTGAACATAACGGTGCCACCTTAGATTGATTTTCAATTTGCTTGTTTGTGCATAAGGGTTATTGTATTTGATGCATCCATGACTACCATCGAAGGTCTCACCTCGGCAAAGTCTGGAGCGAGGCAGTCCATTTTTCACGCTACATACTGTAGGTACATGGTATGTTGGTTTCTTTAGAAGAAATCCTCGAACTCCCAAACGACAGGAGGTAGATCCTGGCTAGCAGCAGCATCTACCCGGGCCTGCACAGTGACATTGGCGTCATTCGGACGCCTATCGAAACACCGACTGGTAATTCTATTCAGCTGTTCGCCAGCATACCGGGAAACGGCCCGGAGCTGGTTTTTCATGCAACTGAAATCCCCGACGTAGCTTCGAACCTTGGTTTGCGGGTTGGTGTCGTATGAGATCCAGACGCCGAGCTGGGCAAAGTCCTCGGCGGGACTTGAGTTTGCGTAGTTGTCGGGGACGCAGGTGTCGCTGTTATCTGGATTGAATGGCAAAATAAGTCAGCTTTGGTTCGATGAGGAGAGGATTGGCAGGGTCGAAGGTACGAAGGTATTCAGGGTTGAACGTACAGGCATTCGTGAACTCAGTGCTAGAGTGAAAGTTCTGGTCGGCGCTGTGCATAGCCTCATGCAGATAAACAGCGGGTTTCACAAGGCCGCGGAACAAGATGCGATCATCGGCTGAACCAGCGCTCGCTTGGTTCTCCCGAATGCTCATGGCGTGAACAACGCGGCTACGGATCCCGGGAGGGACTCTTCCAAAGTCCCTGGCCATCTGGTCGCGGCTGACATTGGAGTCTGTGCAGCGACACAGTGCCCAGGGGCGGGAAGCGCAGTCCCGGTCGTTGTACGTAACGGAGAAGGCTTCGAGGTTGCCCGTGGGGCAATTGACGTCGCTGGTTGTTTTGCTTCGCCGTGACCGGGCCGTGTCATAGCACCACCGGGGGAAGGTTCCTTTAGGCCATGTCTGGATGGAAAAGCCTGCGGCTGGGGGTATGCGGTCCAAGGAGGCATCGAGACTGTCCAAATCTTGCAGGAAAGCCCGCTTTTGAGCAGCGATTCCCTCAGCGAAAAGGGCGAGGAAGGCCACGATCTTGATCAAGGAATACATGTTGAATGACAACAGGATCCAACTCGAGGTCCGGAATAGACGGTAGGTTGTGATGGAATGAAAGAAATTCCAGTGGCAGAGAAGCGGTTTATATACTGGAGGCAGGCGGGGTTCCCTGTTGATTGATCCTTTCACTGCTTCCGTCCTCATGTCGGGAGGCCGGAGCTCAACGGGGGTCCCCTACCACATAATCCCATTTCAGAGCCAATCTGTTCTACCATACTAGGTGAAAGTAGACGGAGTTGGAAGCTCGCATAGGCACATGGTAGTCGTACCAAAAATGCAGGATCCTAAAGTGGATGACAGTCGTGTCGCGGGTGTGCTGCATGACGGAGGGTCTGCATGCTCTGTCGCCAAAGCACTTGTGCTGACCCATTTTCCTAGTGAATGCTTCAATGGCTACCCCCATTCCATACGGGTTTGCAACCAAGAGAACACCAACAAGTGTGAGATGAAAAGGTTATATATTATCTACGAAGAAAGAGTATCTAATATACTCTGTTTTGCTTGCTTCTAGGAGAACAATCTGACACCTTCTGCTTGCTTAGCAGTAATGCAATCTGTTTGTAATTCTTCCCATGACCTCTGTCGAACCTTCCTGCAATATATCCTCCGCACTTCGGTATGGGAGATTCGAGTCTGTTTGGACCCTAGGCTTCCCTGTCCCTTCCCAAAATTTTCGCCCTACTAGACAACCCTTTCACTGACCTCGTAAGCGCTAGCCAAGCATTAGGCGATTACCTATAAGAGTAAATTGATTGAGTCCTGGCATAGCTAGCGTGTCCGACCCCCATATCACCACACACTCAGTATTGCCACGCTAGTGAATGGCCTGCCTCGTCGGGCGATAATCCGCCTAGACTGCCATCTTCTTTTGCCTTCTCCCTTTACTGCAAATATGTTCTTTCCGCCGCAGTCAGGCCAAATTGTAGAAGTAATGGCTAAGCTTACACGTATGTATGTGTATCTATGTAACAAGCAGGTACGGGATTCTTTTCATTATTCTTTTTGACGCAAAAGAGGCAGTCGCGCAACTCTCGCTCCGGATGTTCCTCGAGCATGTGACTGGCAGCAAAGGGGGTGTGATAATATTCGGGTCAGACACGGTACTACTGAGCCAACCTACTAGCACTCGAGGCGCTCCGCGTGGTTTCTCGCACATTTGGACAATGTAACAATAGACATCCTCATGGAAACAGCCTACCGCTTAGGTTGGTCCATTTGGGGCAAAACCCTGAATACATTGCTTGATTACGGTTCGCGCTGGCCCATAAGATGTCTAGATGCAGTTCTTCGTCCGCTGCCCGTTATGACTGAGGCGGCAAGTGAGCCATCGGAACCACCATCACATCCTGCGTTCACACTCGCATGAGTGCTGGGAACTGAGTACAAACCTTACTTTCAAGACAGCCAAAATTCACGACAGGGAAATCGTGTCAAATCGTTCTCGACTGCGCACTCTTTGCGTAAACGGTTCAAGCTCAACCTCTCCGTTAATAATGTCGTTAAGGCCTTCAGATGCACTGTGGTTCAAGTACGGCAGAGGGAGTAGTAAAAGGCAGCAGTATTCTACAGGCCTTCCCTATGCATCCACCCCTGTTCCACGTCAGCGCTCCGGCTCACGCCCAATGGCCTCTGTCTCGATTCTACCGTAGTAAGACAATGATGGCTTAATAAGCGCGGCTGTCTTGGTCGAAAATCTAACTACGCGGCACGTGGCCACCAAGCATGAGGAGGTAAATAGGACTTGGGGACGGAGTGGAGTAGGATAACGCCTGGTCTGCTTAAGAGACCCGGGCGAACTGTAAGCTTACTATTGAAAAAGCTTAGTTAGATGCTGATAAGCATAAAAAGAGCATAAGTCTAGGCGGCAGCTTCGCTGTTAGATCTCGCATCCTAATCCGACCTTTAAACCGCATCTTGAAATTAACTGGAAACAAAAAGCAGAATTTATTTTCCTATCTCGGGTGAAAATATCTGACTTTGCCCTGGCAAACTCGCAGCATGCGCCGTATACGGGTATCTATAATTACTCTATAGGCTCCTTAGGCAAATCTGTATTAACATAATCTTTGCTACGCTAGACTTGGTAATGCGGATCTACTTTCTTACCAGGACACGCTTATTATTCTATTCCCAAGCAGGAAGATCACTAGACTAGAGAAGGTTTTACTAGGTAGGCAAGTGTCCGCGTGCGGAAGCACCGTGATTCCATCCCACCCTAAAAACTCAGCCACTGCATTTTGACCAAGATCAGGCCTACACCGCCAATGATACTCGGTGCAATTCTACGATCACGATTCATTGTCCGCTGGGCATGCAAGCGACCGACACGTTTATATGCAACAATCACCGCTTCTATAGCAGAGGCAATCTCTAAAGGTTGCTACGCTCCGGAAAGTCCTCTAATAGCTCTCTTTGCTTTCTATAGGCCGGGTAAAGCTTAAGAGATTTAAACTTTCCCAACAAAGTTTACGACACATACTACCCTACATGGACCCTCCGCACCACCTGTACGTGGAACAGAAAGCTAACTCTCCTGCCGCGCATGTACCACCATATCATCACCTATTTAGGTGCTTTCTGTAGCCTTGTTTTTATGAAACCAGGACGCAGAGCCCTTCTCAGATATCTCAGCAAATTGCAAACAAAAGGAAGGTAAGTCAAAAAAGAAAAATCTGAAACCCTGTGTTCCAAGATCGGTAATCAACAGAGAGAAACAACAGACGGAGCCGGCAGCTTGGATAGCGGCAGCGGAACGAGTGGATATCATACATAACGAGTGACCCCGCCAAACAAAGCCGACGAAACAAACCTTACCTACCGAAAGGAAGATAGATGAACGCATCGTATCATCATAGTAGCCTCAGCAAGAGTCGTGAACCGGAAAAAAAAACCCCCCAAGAAGAGCTCCCGAGAAGCCGGAAACCCAATGAAAGCATGGTGACGCTGCGGAATGCTACTGAATCTGCTTGCTTCAGCTACGATGCTCAAAACGCCAACGCCACGGACGCCTGCACGCAAATGCGTCTCCAGGATGCATTGTTGCTTCAAAGTAACATTCCGCTGAGCGGGCCGATGAGCCCGGGAGTCGTCGGCTCACTCCCAGGCGTGCCGACTTGCGGCACCAGTGTTTTCATCATACGCACAAGGTCAATCGCCTTGAACGGTTTTTGCATGACATGATCCTGGTAACTTGGATTAGAACATTTGACCTCGCTGCGGTGTACAGACTCACCGCCCCGGCCGACTTTGCCTCCTCAATCTGCTCATCTCTCACGTTCGCCGTTACGGCGATCATGGGCAGGTGGCCCGGAGGCAACCTTCCATCCTCCTCCCTTTCCCTGATCTCCTGCATAGCCGTCAATCCGTCCATAACCGGCATTTCCAGATCCATCAGCACGACATCAAACGTCTTGCCCATGTCGAGGATCTCTAGCGCTTCCGATCCGTGATTCGCGATATCGACAACACAGCCTGCTTTCCGGAGTTGGCGAACGAGGACTTGTTGGTTGATGAGGTTGTCTTCGACGAGGAGGACCCGGAGCTGCGCCTTCTCGGAATCGGAGCCGGGAGTGCCACGTGGGTTGGTAGAAGTGGCACTGTCGATGACGTGCTGAGGGATGCTGGGGAGTATGCCGAGAGACTTGAGGCGGTTCTCCACGCGCCTGGTCTTGATGTAGAAGCCAAAGGTGCTGCCTTTGCCCGGTTCCGACACCACCCCTATCTCGCCGCCTTGCTTTTCCGTCAACTGTTTCGAGATGAAGAGGCCCAGGCCGCTTCCCCCGTACTTGACGTGCGTACGCATGTTGGCTTGCTGGAAGCGGTCGAAGACCTTCCGTATCTCCCAGTTCGTCATCCCAATGCCCGTGTCCTGCACGATGAATGTCAGGTACAACGCCTCGCCATCACCCCATTCGGGATTATCCGTCATGTCCACCACAGTATCCTTACGGGTTGCCCAGTACATGTCCGCCGGGAAGAAATCTCGGGGATTGGAAAGGCTGGCACCATATGTGATGGAGATGCTTGGGTGTTCGCTGCTCTTCGTGAACTTGATGGCGTTGGTGATAAGATTGATGAAGATTTGGGTGACGCGGGAGGGGTCGAGGTAGACATGTCTGATGTTCAGTTCCGAGAGAGACGGGTCAGGTATGACATTGTATGTGATTTGTTTGGTTTTGAGCTCTGCCTCAAAGATGCTCACAATGGTGTTGATGAGCTTCACCGGCCGGGTGGGGTTCGGGTTGAAGGAGAGAAGCATGGAATCGAGCCGGCTGAGTGTGAGAACATCGTCTATTATGCGTTTCTGGTGCTCGGAGCATTGGAGTATGATATTTGCGGAGGACACATTGTCTTCTAGGAGCTTCGCGACTTTGGTGTCCGGCTGAGGCATGTCCTTCTGGGTGGCCTTATACTCTTGAGCCGATTTGGAGATCTCGTCGGCGCAGTGGACAATGGCACTGAGCGGGTTCCTCATTTCGTGCGAGACAACATCGATGAAGGCCTCTTGCTGCCGTTTTGCTTCCCGCGCCTCGGCCGCCAGCCGCGCTTGGAAATTCTGAGCCCATTTGAGGCGAGAAATGTCGGTGAAGGCCCCCATAATTGATTTGATGACGCCATGCTCGTGGTAAGGGAATACAGATATCTGGATGTGCGGATGCCCCTTCTCCCCCGAGGGGCATGTGTAGCTTCGTCTGAGCTCGAGCTCCATGTTTATTTTCTTCGTCCTCCCGCTCACAATCTCGTCCCACGCAGCTTCGCATTTCGCCTTGTCTTCGTCCGTGTAGAGGTCGAAGAATGCGAATGGCCCAATGTCCTTGAAGGTGTCCAACTCGAGGCCATGCAAGGCGCAGTACTGTTCATTGGCCCAGAGGAATTTGCCATCCAGCCCGACGTTGCACATGCCCACGGAGCCATGCTCAATGAGGTGACGAAGCTTGGTGTCGCTGTCATTGAGGTCCACCTCGAGTTGGCGCTGCCGCCGAGCTGCCTCGGACCTAGTTACAGCTATTGAGATGCTCTGGGATATGACGCGGCGGAGGTCATGTAGAAATTGATTGCAATCATCGCCGAAAGCCCTGCATGGATTTGTCCCAACCACGAGATAACCCAATACGCCAGAATCGCTTGCCAGGGGTAAAATCCCTATGTGATGGGCCGCTTCCCCATAGCCGCGCCACATGATGGAGCGGAATCTCTCGTCCGCCTCAATCACGAGAACGTCGTGCCCGGCACGGCGGCACTCAGGAATTACTCCGCGCTCGCTGGTCAGTGGTGCGCCATCAACTAGAAGATTGTGTCCGTCGGGTATGCCGATTTGCCCTCGCAGACGCAAGTGAGTGGTGCTGGCAACCTCCTCCGTCTTATAGAGGAGCGCCATGGGGATATCGGGGCCGTCGGTTTCAAGAGTAGCCAGGATGAGTGGCCAGGTGTCCGTTAATGTGGCATCGACGACCGAAGCCATGCGGTTTAATAACGACGTTCTGCGTTGAGAGAGGCGAAAACTCGTGTCTTCGACGAGTGAATTGTAGAACCCTTCGGGTTGGTCGGCAGGCCCATCACCTACCGGAACCACATTACCGGTATAGAATGTTCTGTTTCTGGTCAGTGCCAGTCGAGGAGGGGGAACCGGACGAAACGCACTCCTCTCGCCATCTGTCATGCTGTACGAATAAAGGGTGTTCCCGATTGTAATCGATTCCCAGGCCCGTCTTCCGAGCATGTTCAAAGTACCCTTTGCGCTGTGGCCACCGGTCCGGCAGACCATCCATGAAAGTTCCACCCATGAGCTGGGGATGCGCTCTGCCCGCAATGCGTTTGTACTTCTCATTATATATTGCAATCAGCTGCGGACCCCACCACAGACAGGCTGCACGAGAGTCGGCCATGACCATACGAGTGTAGTGTTGGAGCGTGAGGCTCCAGGATTCGAGGGGCCCCAGAGGGGTGCTCGCCCAGTCGGTCTCTCTGAAGAAGCGCACATGGTCTGTCTGGACGAGGTCGGCGGTCCAGTCGTGGGAATGAGGTTGGTGTAGTCGTGGAATCTGCGAATGATGTTCCTGGGAGGAGGAAGCCTTCCGAGAGTGGGTTGTGGAAGCTTGTTCCTGCACCGAGTCGATGCGCGGGCGATAGATCAGGCCCGAGCCTGACATGGAAGGCGAGACGCATCGCTCCATGATGACTTGGAATGGCGATCCTCGGGCGGCATTACCATTTATCCTCGATGCATTCCAACAGCATGTACCGCAAAGTGTTACCGGCCCAGAGTTGGAAGACTTTTGGGGAGCTGGGAAAACTGCGGGACGCATGAACGACTAAGACGACTAGATGGCTAGGCGGCTACTACTCTTCCGTTAGTATCGAATGGCCTCTATGCTCACGTCAACTCCATTCCACCCAGCTTTGCCTCATCACTCAATAGGGTTCCATCTCCCACGGGTCATGTGAGCCCATTGGACCACGGGCCTTCTCTGGACCATTCACATGTCGCTGCGATCAAGACGCCGTCTAGGGGAACTGGAGTTTGGTTCCACCGAATCTATGCACTCCGCCGTTCTACTAGTCCAGTCAGCCACTGTGATAAGCCTACTCCCTCTCCGCACTACCACTGATAGCGGCGACATGCGCCACCGACCCCTCCAGGAGCGCCATTCCCGGGCCGATATAGCCCTGTCCCTTGATGTAGAACCACTAGCATCCCACCACGATTGTGAGTCCGCCGGTAACGAGGGAGCTGTAATTCACACTTTGCTCATCGAATGGAACTGCATATGGGAAGCAGTAGATGACAATGAAGACACACTTGTACGCGGTTGCTAGCCCAGCAGAGGTGTAGAAGACGGGGCTTGGCATAGTAAAAAGGCCTGAGGCCTAACGTGTCGCCGGCGTGTGAGCACGTTAGGCACAATGAAATCGAGGTAGCTTGTTGAGGAGAGATTATGAAGCAGCCAACGAACCCAGTGAGGGCCGTCGAGTTGGCAACATAGATGGCACCCAAGGTAGTATTGATGTGGCCGCAGGTCAAGGTAGCAATCAAAGGACTGAGAAATCGCTTGTCAACCATGCCCCGATCCAACCGGAGAAAGGTGCGGCACCATCCCGCCACATAGGGTCCCGCCATAGGGTCCGGCCCGAGGTGATATACCCTCAGATATTCGTACCCACGGTGGGCATGAAATGTAACAATAAGTCCGAGGGAGCCGTTGCGAGTTTGTGGCTCGGCGATACAACTCGGCGAGCGGGAATGGCCAACGGGTTGGAAAACAGGGCGTCCAGATCACTGACCGAGTAGACAATGGTGGTGATATAGAGAAGGGCCGTGACGCCGCCGACGATGTATTGTGCGAGGATTGCCTTTGGATGTTAACTCGCGGGCGAGGCAGCTTTTCTGTAAGATGAGAGACACAATCCGGTATATGTTGTCAAACGGCGAAAGACGATACGGCTTCATGTTGCAGACTCACGGTGTGCCCAAAGCCATGGCACCATTTAACATGCCAGCACAGAAGACGAAACCATCGCTTGTCCATCCAGTCTGATTCTGCCATCCTTCCCACGCGAAGCCGTTGGACGCATGTCCCTTGCCTGTCTTGCTCGGCACGATGGCACAGACAATAATACTGACAAGGCAACCAGTCAAGATGAGAAAGAGGCCAATATTCGTAACGATGGGGAGCGCACGGGTTGCAAACATGACGGTGAAGCAGCAAGTCCAGGTGATGAGGATGTAGGCGACGAAGAGGTGCCATCGTTGATATGCGTAGTCGGGCGAAAAAGGTCATACATGGACACAACTTGCTGAGCTAGGATCAAGGATATGCTCGCCGTGTTGAAGATGTATCCAAGACAGCTCCACCTGGCCTCGTCAATAGTCACACTTAACGGGTTCTAGGATGAAATACCATCCCGCAAAGAAGCCGAGAGCTTTTCCATACTTTGCTCCGCCCGTGGGCGTTGGCCAGTGGTATACGCCTGCGCTCGATGGGATAGCGGACGCCATCTCGGCAATACAGGCGGCAATCATCCAAAAGAAGGCGGATACGGCCATTGAACTCGTATATGACACCCGGCGGGCCACCATTGTAGAGTGCTATCGCCTGCGGAGTGTCGACACTCGGTCATGTCTGCGTGCGTCTGTGGCATACGATGGAGCCTCCCAGAACAGCCCACACGTTGCCCGTCGTGATACCAATGGAACAAAGGGACAACAGGCTGAATTGTCGATCCAGCTCCTGCGCATTGCCTGACGCATTGAAGACTTCCCCGACCCCAACGTTGTCGTCGATATCATAGACAGTAGGTCCTCAGATTTCCGACTTCTCAGGATTCTCCATCCCAGCAGGCGGTCTTCGGTGAAAGGAACAAGCGCGTACTCAATGGGAGTGGGGAACTCGGGGACAAGAGGACTCGAACGGATTGAATGGAGTGAAGGGAAGGGAACAAAGAGGGCGAGGCACAGGACCCGCAAAGGAAACCCGGAGGATATACAGTGTACCTATCTCTTTCATAGTCGCTGTCGACACAGACGTAAATGGATTCCCTAAAGCCAGCCATCTTCCAGCCAAGAGATATGGGACGCAAAGGGAGTGGGAGATGGGAAGAGCGACCTGGGCAGGAGAATGTGAATTGATAGACGAGGCGGAGAAGCGGCTAGGGGTGTGTTTCTGCGGGTGCAAATGCGGTCGTGTAATCCTTAGACGGACGAGTTGTAGATAGTGTACTCCCCGTATCGCTGTCAAGGGTGTAGAGTGGGGAAACGGAGTGGCCTTTAGACGCCACTACCCTTTGGGATGCGACGTGGACGAGGAGAATCATTCTGGAAACGTACTGGCCCCGTCTGTCGTGCACGAACCGGCATGCTGATTCAAAAACCCAATAGTATAGTATGGTACAGCCCCATGGCGATGCCTATCAAGAAAGATTAGGTAAATGGAGATGCAGCGGGACTTATCGCCGCGACTCAAAGACGTATACACAGCCCGAATGATGTACATACCCTAAACACCCGTATCCGTCCTTATGCTTTTTGCCCAATGTCGTCCCAACGCGTGAGCGGCCGTCTTGTGCCGAAAGGCTTGCGGAACCGACCGAACTTAGGCACTCCGCGTCGCCCTATCGCTGCCCTCCACCTCACCCAACTTCCTCTTGCCCAATGCCTCATTGTCGTCCCCCTCGGTCCACTCAATCACCTCCCATTCCACCGTCACCCGGCCGTCACGGGAAGAGTGCCCCCCTCGCTGTTGCTTGATTCGGCCCAGATGTGTCCTCTCTACCAACTCCTCAAACCAAGGGGCGCCGCGTACCCGTGGTTCCGACCGGATCACCGTTCGAAGCTTTGCCGGTTCTTCCGTTTCGTCCTCGCTAGCATCGCCACTCGGCAGGAAACCCAACTTGCCCAGGAGTTCCTGGTCTTCGCTGAGCAGACTTCCCACCGTGACGCAGATGTGCTCCGCGTCGTCCCGCGTACGCTCGTTCCATGATGTGAGCTGGGTGCCACAGTAGCCACAGAATTGATGGCGTGCGTTGGCTGAGAAGGGAAAAGTGAATGTGCGCTGGATACTCGTTCGTGTCTCATCGGGGAACTGAGCAAAGGTGGCCGATGTGTACCAGGGGAGAGGGACGCGGAGCCAGAAGATGAGGGGGCTAGCAGCTAGATTGCCTGTACTCATCAGTCAAGGTTGCCTTCATCATGCGGGTGCACCTTGACAGGGTACTGTGACTTACGCGACGCGGCCGAAGTATCGTAGCGGATTTCCGCAAGCTGGGCCTTCTCAAGGGGCACCTGGATGACGTATCTGTTGCGACCGCAGGCACAAGAGCCGTGAAGAGTTTCGTATGCACCTGGCATGATGTCGATCGGTTGGGAGGCTGATTGTACGGGTCTTGATGTGCGGACGAAGCCGCAGAAGATGCGGATAGATGAGAGATTATGAGGGAAGTCCTGCAATCGGGAACAGAAAAGAGGTAGAGAGAGGTGGCGTCCTTCGGGGTTGCGGTGGTGTGTTTTGCCCACCTGCATGTAAGTACATAGTATGGGTGTGGGAAACACTAGCTTTGGCAGCGGGACGCGCATGCCAAGCTGCCAAGCCCTTACAAAATACTGTACAATTTTACAGTCAAGACCTACTTGTACCTAGGTAGTATAGGGAAGTAATAGGAATTAGGTAAACTATTAGCGTATAGGAATTTTAGCGTTACTATACAAATTTTGTATAGAGAACAGGAAATTCAATATCTAGGAATTTCCTTAGGCGCTACCGGCTAGAATGCAATAGTAGTATCGAAACAGAGCTTCCCAATTAGAGAGTCGACGTGAACTTTTAACTTTCTAATTGAAGTAAAATTTCTAGTTAGATCGCTCGAATAGCCGCATTGCGCCTCTGGTATACGTACACCCGAGACGGTGCTGTCCAAATCTACCAAACCAAACCCAAGTAATATATTGCCCCAAACGACCCCAACAGCAATTCTCAAGCCAATACTAGGTACAAGAGATAAACCGAAATGAACAATCACTGCCCTCATCCCTGCTTCAGAGACGCCTCGACCACGCCTTCGCTGGACCCAGACGTAGTAGTATGCGCCAGCTTACCCTCAATCCCCGCAATTGCGCTCTCCACTGCGCTCTGGACATCGATGTGGAAGAAGGGCCGGTTTTGGCCATGGATAGTAGTAACCTTGCTGGGAAAGCCGCTGCCATTGTTGCCAGCGGACGCACGGACGGCATCGTGCTGGGCAGCTTCGAGGTCCTCCTTCTTGGGATCCCGCACGCTACCATCGTCCAGAGCCGCAAACGAGTACACAGGAGTCCAGTGGGACCGAGCACGCAGCTTATCTGTGGAAATATATCCAAAGCCTGCCGCCGTCAGAGCTCGCTTCGTCCACCTGCTGTTGATGGACGCGAAGTGCCACTCGACACTTTCCGGGGCGGCATAGCGATCAAGCTGATTGCGGACGTCAACGAGCCCTTGGACGGAGGTGACATCGACGTGGTTGACGGAACTGAAATCCAGGACAATGGCACGCAGGAACGGTCGGCTGTCCTCCAGGTTTATCTGCTGCCCACGGCGGGGTCCGGGATCATTCCACGGGCGGTCTCCGATCTTTTCGTAGCGGTCGAGTTTCGTCGGCCGCGCGGTTGCCTGGACATGCTCTACCAACGCGTCAAGGTAATGCTGCTGATTGAGGTAGGTGAAGCCTTCGCTGAAGCGATAAACGAATACTCCGGGATAGGGAGTGTCGAACTTGAGGGCCGGATTCGACCCGTCGTGATGATTGACAGGGAGATACGCCTCTCGTGTGAGCGCCTCTCCGCCAGGTCCATACGCGTCTCCGTTGCGTGCCAATGCGTCAGGAGTGGCTCGGTAGACGGTGACCTTGCCAAGGAAGACGCCGCGAGACTTCAAGTGACGCCATAACATCAATGCGAGAGACGCACAGATGGTCAGATAGATGCCGTTTTCGATGTTCGTGAACACAGTAAGCAGCACGCCTGCGAAGAAGATGACAACCTCGAGAGGAGACGTCTTCCAGAACTGGTATACCACGTTTGGAGGGGTGATGAGATCCCCAACCGCGTGAATGATGATGGCCGCGAGACCTGCATTTGGAATGTAGAAGAAGACAGCCGTCAGTGCGTACAGTGCCAGGAGGACAATGACGGCGGTAAAGATACCGGCCAACGGGGTGCGGACGCCAGCCTTCGATTTGATAGCGGTGCGTGAGAAGGAGCCAGTGGCAGGATAAGCACCCAAGAAGGGCCCGAGCACGTTAGTGAACCCTGCCGTCCCTTGTCAGTCACGCTGGGCTTCGAGTCGGGCGGCTATTACATACCGACCGCTACAAGCTCCTGCGAAGGATTGATGGTATAATTGTTAATGCGGCCGAAGGACTTTGAAATGGCAATGTGCTCTAGAATGAGGACGATGATGGTAACGGGAATGTCGGGCGCGATTGCGGACAAAATCTCCGTGTTCATTTTGGGAGCGCCTGCGTGTTGGAAGCCTGACAATTGTAAGCGTTGAGCCACCCAAAGCCCCAGGTACAAGCTCACCTCTGGGTACCTTGCCCAAGATCTTGAACTTTGCCTTCTTTGCATCTTTGATGCCCCTGTTGGCAAGCCAGCTGATGAGAATGTACAAGAGAATGACGAAAGCCATGCGGAGCGTCGAGATGAAGAACCACATCTTCTTCCTATGCGGCTGTTTCTTAGACATGACGCTGCAGAAGATGCGGATACCATAGAGCATCGTCAATGCGGTCAGGCCCATAGCAGCATCCAGCTTCGTGTTCGGCAGCCCCTTGAGCGTGTTGATGATCACGAGATAGGTCGGATCCCGATTGTTGACGTTGGGAATGCCCATGAGGGTGGGCACTTGCCCAACACCAATGCTGAGAGCAGCTCCGGTCATGAAAGACGTGATGGCAGTGAGGGAGATGAACTCGACAATCCAGCCAGCTCGAATCAGACCGATGAACAGGAGGACAGAGCCAGCGATGACTGCAAGTGCTCTTGCAATCGCTTCAGCGGGAATTTCCGGACTTTCGGCCTGGACCTTGATGACGATGTTACCAACGATGGTTGACATGACGGCTACAGTCTGTACACCTGGTTAGACGCGCTGAAGCTTGCAACGGTGAAGGAGGGCGGGCATACTCCGATGGTGATGTCCTTGGAGGTTGCAAATGCCCAGTAGAGTAAAAAGCCGACAAATGAGGTATACAAGCCATACTCGACCGGAAGCTGCGCCAGTTTGGCATAGGCCATACCTTGGGGGATGACGACGAAGCCAACGGTTACACCTGGATAGGGTCAATACTGAAGCGGGTCCTGATGCGAACCAGTCTTACCAGCAATGACATCTCCGGCGAGCCAGGTCAAGTTGTAGTGAAAGATCCAGTTCCAGAAGGGGAAGAGGCTGCGGAAGTAATTCTTGGTGCCCGTAGCCGTGGGTCGGAATCGTGAAACCCATTCTAAGGTTGTCGGTTCCCGTTCAACGTCTGCGAGTAGTGGTCAACGCGGTCTGCATCCCGTCGATGTTTATCATCAAGACATACAGGTGTCAACAGAGGCCACGGAAGCTGCAGCGGACGCAAGTGGGCCCTCGTGTTCCTTGCGGTAGTCGAGGTCGATACCCAAGACTTTGGCCAGAAAGCGGCCAGCAGCATTGGGCGCCATTATTGTGGAGTGGGTTGAGCTGCAGATGGAGAAGTACCGACAACCTGGGATGGAAGGCTCATGGATATATATACAGTAGATGCCAGGCGCAGGGCTGAGGGGGCTAAGGAAGGCCGGCGACGGAGGTCGACAAAGGCGGAGGAGCAAAGGGCTAGTCTAGGTGGATGGGCACGAATAGGAAAGGAGTTCAGGTTCAGATTGCTGGCTCAGGCGAGAATTGGATATGCCTTGGCGTGGGAGTAGGAGCCTGAAAAGTAGAGGGATTGCCGTGAGCAAGATTGCGGAGTTGCTTTTGCGAGTATTCTATGACAGGACCTTTCCCAGAGCGGGCGCTTGGAGGCAGAAGATGGGGATCGAGAACGAGGAGCGGGAGAGGGAGAGATGTCCTGGGACTCGCCTGTGGAGATGACGTGCTGGGGAAAGCAGAGTGGTGGTGGCATTCACCCCAGGTAGCTGGAGCGACTGGGCCTGCGAGGAGAAGCCTCGCTCCGTCCATGGCGCCCGCCTACCGAGATCTAGGCTGGTGTTGCATTTATCCCGGGAGCGTGCATGTTGCGGAGCGCCAGAGGCGAGACCATACCCGGGACTCCGGACGAGAGGGGGTGCTTGATGAGGGTGTACGAAGTACGGAACTACAGTACTTGCAGCAAAAGGATGAGATCCGGAATTTTTTTGCTGGTGAATCGTAGTCTGGGATTTTGCATGGCGGGAAGACCCTGAAGTCGGTATTAGTGCGAGGGATGGAGGGGAATCGGGAGGGGGAACTGACATGGGGACATGGGGGGAATTCTAACGCAATTCTGCTATGCGATTGCGATATACTTGGCATCAACCTTGGCAGCGCCCTCAGCGACCTCAGCCCTCTTGCACGAAGCCACAACACCAGTCCTGTGGGGTCCGTCGAGGTGATGTGATTATTTCCTCTTCATCGACCCGTCTTGCGTGCTCGGTGCCGAAGTTGCCCTCATGCTCAGTTGCTGCTTTGGGCCCGAGTCCCCTCCTGCTGGACGTATGAAGTTGAGGCAGGGACATTCATGGAGGCGGTACGGAGGTACTGTATAGAATAGTACTCCGTAACATACCTGAGTACGGAGGAGAAAAGGGACGATACTGCACGGAGTACTCCGTCGGCTCACATGCCACGAGCTCCCCCGCACGGCTGATTGCCCGTGGCGCTTCCATCACAGCGGGACTCGGATCGCAAATCTGACTGCTCCCTAGGCCCTTGTGCCTGGAAACCCACGAGCACACAAGTATGGGGCCTTGGACCCCTTTCCCATGGACCACTGCGACGGGATTTGTGAATTGCGTATGGTTTCACACCCTATCCCTTGCCCATCTCCTGCGCAGGTGAATCTCGTCTGGACTGCATCAGTAAATGGCAGGCGGATGAAAGAAGGGGAGAAGAAAGAGCTACTCACGTCAATCCGCAGTGGTCATCAGTGCCACGGATTGTCCAAAGCTACCTACATAGTGGACTGCGTAGATCCCCCAGAATGTGTGTTATGGAGAATTCCGTGGTCAAGTTCAATCACCATCGTTGTGAAGTCGGCGGCGCGGAGCAACGTGCACAAAGGGTATGAAAGCCAACTGTTATCAGGTCTCTGTTGTTTGTCACTCGGCCCCGACATGCAATGCTTGGCCGAAGTCGCGTCATTGAGGAACGCCCTTGTTGCCGACCAGATGGACCCTGCTATCTGCACTGCACACTGCCGAGCTCGGGGCATCGTATGCTTCATCTGATTGATGCCGAGATCACGACAGCCGGCATGCCTACTTACTGTGTACCAAGTACAACCAGTGCGGCACCAGTTCGCATGAGACGCCTCGACTTGGCTTCATGTAACAAGCTCTTAGCGGCTGCGTGCCAAGTCGTCAGTCGTCAGTTTCGAGATGGGGCGACTATCCGCAGCCAGACAGCAGGTAGAGTACGGAGTACCGCAGCTCCTATCCACTCCACCATCATGCGCTTAAACCCAACCCATTTGTCCCATCTTCCGAAATAGAGATGCCAACGGGGACGTCACCGACGACATCTGGATGAAAAAAATGCTATGAGACTAGCTCTTTCTGGGCGTCATTCGCGATGGTTCTTTGAGAAGAAGTTGTTGTCGCGGCAGCATGCTTCTGGCGGCCACTTTCAATGGTCCCCTCTACCCGCGGGTACTTACTGATGAGTAGGAGGTGGAATTGTTGGTGACAAAGACAAGAGGCACAAAGACCACCTCGTTTGCACTAAGGATGCGCGGCGAAAGCTTATCAGGGAGGGCAAAATGTCCGAGTCAGCACCGAGGGGAGGGTGTGGCGGTGCGCATTCGCCTCTCTAAATTTGGAGACGTTATGATGTCATAGGTGTGGCGCTACACAACGGCATGCTTCCTCTGAGACTCCATACTTACTTGTACTTACTACACAGTATGCAGTGTTACTGTAGACTACTTGTAGATGCACGTCTCGTGGTAAATGTGACATTGCCATCGACTGCAGCTGGATTTGTTTGGATGATAACTGGCCTAATTCCACAATCACCCTCAATCGGTTACTACCGCAACTCACTCATCCTCGTGGACAACAGTTCAATGTTTCTTACTTTATTGACATGCACGCAATATTATTTTGCCCCGTCTAAGAAAAACAACCTTCTTGTTTAGGAATGTGCATCCAAAGGACCACCTGGGCATGGCCCAGCGTTATCGATAAACCCGACTGCCAAAAAGAAGTGGGGCTAGCTCTGTCGTATCGTATACGAGGTGGCATCTGCGAGAATGCTGCGGTCACCCAATTAGGGCAGCCATCCGGTTTTACCGACTATTGATTTTCCTCCCTCTTGCATTATTGAATGACTCAATGACGGGCTTCGTCATCGACGAATCCCCTCGTATATTGCATGTTTGTTCAAGTCGCTTGCAAGCAGAAGGCGATCCATGATCACACCAGAAGATAAGGAGCGTAGGAAGTTGGTTCATTAAATAGAAGCGCTACAAAGCTCAATCTGATCAATAGACTAATCGATCCAAGCAACTACACCATGTTCAAAAAAAAAAAAAAAAAAAAAAAAAAATTATAGAGATGAAAAGAATCGAAAAGAAGACCCACAGCCCAAACTCCAGATCTATGCAGCACAGTAAGGAATGGACGCTATGCACCATGAAGATCAAGGAGAGTCGTTAGATAGCCACTTTCCCCCGGCTTGCCGCATTAGCACTTAAATTCCACGCAACGCGAAACAGTGACAACCAAAAGTGAGTCGTAGTCTGAGGCCCGGAATTTACCATTTTCCAGCGTAATAGTAGATATCGGTCGGCTTAGGCCCTACACGAGACGTGCTGCTGTATTCGAGGGCAGAGGAGCTCTCGGTGGGATATGGGGAGCTCTCAGTGGGATATGCGGAGCTCTCGGTGGGATATGGGGAGCTCTCGGTGGGATATGCGGAGCTCTCGGTGGGATATGGGGAGCTCTCGGTGGGATATGCGGAGCTCTCGGTGGGATATGGGGAGCTCTCGGTGGGATATGGGGGGCTCTCGGTGGGATATGGGACGTAGCCGGTGGGGTGCGGGATATAGCCCGTGCCACTGGGCTTGCTGGATGTGGGAGGCTCAGGCTCGTAGCTGCTCTGGGGAGGCTTGGGCTCGTATGTCTTTGGCGGCTCCGGCTCATAAGTCTCGGGCGGGTTCGGCTTCTCGGTGGGATAAGTGGGATACTCTGTGGCGGGAATGGTCACCGTGATGGTGGTCTTCGTGCCATGTTCCGTCACAGTGTAGGTTTTGGTTTCGTACCCGTAGGGAGGATAGCCGGGCGTCTCTGTAACCGTCACGGTAACTGTGACTGGAGGCGGGCACTCGTCCGTTGGATAGACAGGTGGGGTTACAACAGGAGGCGGTGCAATGGTTGGGTAGACAGGCTTGGTGGTGGTGATCGTCGTCTCATACCAGGAAGCTGTGAGGTATGTGCTGTAGATTGCCGAAGGTCCGTTGTGGCCAACAGAGGTCGAGCACGGCACAAAGGTATAAGTAGTCTTCGTGATGGTAGTGGGGGTATACGAAGGCTCCACGGGGTAAGTGGGATAGACGGACACGGAAGTTGGCTCGTAACCGCATCCCTTCTTGCAGGACGTGACCGTGATGGTCTTCGTAGTCACAGTGGTGATGATTTGCGTACCATATGTGCTCGTGATTGGGTATTCGGTCGTGGTGGTATACGTCGTCGTGTCCTTGGTGGTGTGTGGCGGGTAACCGGTCGGGTGCGGCGGATACACGGGATAGGACGAGGGCGGAGGGTGTGGGTGATACCCAGTGGGGTTGGGTGGGTACACGGGGTATGATGAGGGAGAAGGTTCATAAGGGGGATAGGAACTCGGCTCATAGGGAGGATAAGAGCTCGGCTCGTAAGGAGGATAGGAGCTGGGTTTATAGGGCGTGTAGGAGCTGGGTTCGTAAGGCGGATAGGAACTCGGCTCGGAAGGCGGATAGGAACTCGGCTGGTATGGAGGGTAAGAGCTCGGCTCGTACGGAGGGTAAGAGCTCGGCTGGTATGGAGGAACTGAACTTGGCTCATATGACGGGACTGAACTTGGCTCATATGGCGGGATTGAACTTGGCTCATAGGACGGAACGGAGCTGAGTTCGTATGGCGGATATCCGGGAGTGGAGCTTGGTTCATAGGGAGGGTAAGCTGGAGTAGAGCTGGGTGTGTATTGCGGATATTCTGCAGTTGAGCTCGGCACATAGGATGGCGGCGTCGAGCTTGGTGGGTAGGATGGAGGTTCGGAAGGATAAGCACCGGTAGGGTACGGGTTGTACACCTGATACTCATTCTGCGCAAGCGGGTTCGCGGCAGCGGTGCCCAGGAGGGTAGCGACCGCGATCGAAAAAGACCGCATCTTGTACGACTCTTGAGCTTCTACCGGAGGCGATACAAGCCAGAAGTTGTCGAGGGGTTGAGAGAGGGCCGAGTGAAAGTGCGAGTGTTGAGATAGAGGTAAGTTGTCGAGGTAGCGAACGGCGGCTCAGAACGTGAGAACCAAAAGCGAACGTAGCAAAGAAATGGTATTATTGCTAATTGCTAATGATGATGGATCGTTCGAAGGAATCGAGAGGCCTTTATATGTCCATCCCATATTTCAAGGCTGCTGGCCACCGTCCTCACATGATCGCCCAAGAAGGCAACATCCCGGAGAATACGGTCAATCGATAGCTGACCGACGGTTCACGGCACAGCCCTATGGCCTTCACAGTAGTAGGTGTGCGTCTGGAGACCAGCCAGGACGCCATGATTGACTGACTACTGCTCGTGTGGCACCTCACCTCCGCTGTCAGTTCGGGTGTAACCCTGCCGCGCATGGCAACCGGCAAGCGGAGGGTCCGTGGCTGGCCAGAGAGACGGGAGAGCGAATGGTGTGTGGGCTGCACAAATATTGGGTGGAGACGGACGTGATGACGCAGCACAATGTTCGAAGGTTTTCTGGTGTTGCTGTTCTGGTGTGTTGCGCCCCGGATGCGTCGGCTGAGTGGTGCATGCTATTTTTGGACTTCTGCGTCCTCAAAGTGGCTAGCGCAGCCAAGCCGTCCCACGCTTCTTTCAACGTCCACGCATCGGATCCAAGTGCCTCTTTCAAATGTTCGCGTCACTAATCCATGGCATGCATGTCTCCGAGACCTTCAACCATGTCTAACGGTGTTCCCCCCCATCGCGACAAGGATACGATCCGTGGACGCCAGTCGGTGGCTGTTCAGCCGCCACTGGTCTCTCGACCAAAGAAAGGCATCAGTCTGCGCTCCGACCGGATGACTCGGTGGTTCCTCCAGCTTGATGATAATTATAAACTTGCAGCTGAGACTCTGACTTTGTCATCTCCATCTTTTCTATCGATATTTGCCATCTGGGAAACGGTCCAGTGTGAGCGCTGAGATTCCAATACATTATTCCATGCTGACATGCTGGCCACTGCACAAGCCCTATCCGTTTACGGAACTCCTCGCACGAGGATAGCGCGCCACCATCCTGGCACATGCAGTAGCACTACGATTATCAATACTACCGACCGTACCTCTGCTCTGCTCTGTCACATCAACACCACCATAATACCATGGTAATAAGCTGGAAGACGAAGAAGAGATTCCTGATGCCGGTCCATAGCACCTCACTGCATCTTGTCCACAGCACACCTTGGTCCCACCTCATGGTGCGCCTGGCTCTCGACCATCAAGTAGTTGGCCTACAAGACAGCGACAGCCGAATACGAGTTTGACTATCGCCGTATGCGGAGCTTCTCGTGAGTAGTGTCTTTATCAACAACTCTCTACCCGAAGAAAGGGCGAAGCGTCCAGTCCCGTGTCCAACGCCCAATGATGCTCTAGAAGAGTGGCCATCTGCTGTTCCAAGCTCTGCCAAACCGACCCACATTCGTTACCACGGTTGCGTGGCGCGCCCATGGATTGGCGAGAGTCGTGCCCGCTGCCTCAGTTTCCAGATATCCAGCCCCCTCGAATCAGGCATGCATGCTGCACCTGCTGTGGCCCATGTTTTGCTTGTGGGATGCCTACATACACTCAACGATGATGAAGAAGAACCGCGTTCCGCGTCTGTGTTTCTTTTGCATTCGCGTACTGTCATGTTATCTCTCACTGCTTGCATTGCAAATACTGGAAAATCCATCTCTCAGCCGAACAAGTGATCGCGATTATATGGTGGCCCCGACCAAATTTAGAAATCTATGCCACGCCATGGCTACTCCACACCTTACGCTGGGGCATCCGATCACGGTCTCGCTCGGCATCTGGTTTTCGCGAAGACAAAATAACATTGTCATGATTATGGTCATCTATTATCTACATAGTGTACCGCCGCTTTCTGTTCTCGTCTCCGTGGCTCGCCTAGGCAATTAGACTCAGCAAAATTAGGTCAGTTGAACCGGCTCCCGAAATGCAGTTCGATTCATGAGCACTATTGTCGTACAGGCCTTGCACGTCCGTGGCGCCGCTGCTATCAGAAAGAGCGCGGGAATCCGGCACTACTCCTTGGAGGGCATTCACAGCGCAAATCACTACCATCCAGGAGGTGGTCGAATGCACGAAACGATCCACCCTTGATACGGTCGAGAAAACCGTTGAGGAAATCGGCGACCTCGCTCTCTGAAGAGACATACTTGGGGCATCAACCCACAAAAACCCTTCATCGACTTGGTGCGTGGGATGGGCGATAAGTCTACAATAAGTCGTCATCGATGCCAAGAGATTCCTCCTTGTGGAAATGTGTGGGTGATGGTCTTCCACAAGGATGATCGGGTGAAGCAGTGCAAGCTGGACGTATGTGTCAGTGGCAAGCTGGGGGGCTAACATACCAGGTATTCCGATGGGAGATTTTCCAGATCGACATTCGAATCTCCAAAGTTCTGAAATTTGTCCTCTCCCTCTTCCGCCCGGTCAAGGGCATCTGGGGCGTCTTTCTGTCCCGCAATCAGCCGAGTCAGGGACGCATAACTTACCTGACGTTGTAACGTATATCAGCGATACACATTGGGTTGTGAAGCCCGGCGTGTCTACTGTCGTAACTTCGGCTCATCGCATCCGGTGTCTGTGTGTTTTCGTCCGCAATGTGTGTAAGACATATCCAGACGCATACTGGAGCCCTTGTGGTGAAACCCTACGTCCGCTTCGACCATTTGGCCGAAGAACGAAGACTCATTATATTCATTCTGGCGAGCGAGGGCGACAGCGTCCCGCAGCACACGGCGCCAAAGGAGTGCCGACATTCCAAGGAAGGGATTCTGAACGCCAGTGTCGACAGTCAGTCCGGGATTGGGGGCAGTGGACAATGGAACAGTGCGGATTGAGCTGGCCCCTTCATAAATCTCAATCAGGAGATCCCGCGTCGCAGGATCCCACCACTGGACGTCCTGCGCGTTGACACACTGATCCTTGCTGAGTGGGCGGAAGTACACTTGAGACGTGGGCGACTGAATTTCCTGGGACGTCCCCGATCCCGAGTCTGCATGTACGTGAGTATGAGATTCATGCTCTCTGGAGGCCTGCTCCATGGAGACGCCGGAGAAGTGTTCGACGGCAGAAGTATCGTTCTCACGAGCAACGGTCACTTCGGTAGGGCGTCCTGGAAGGGAAATGCAGGTGGGTTCAGAGCAGTCCACCTCGTCTTCAGCTCCGATACGCTCCGGCTGGGCAGCAACAAGGGCAGGTGCGACGGCGAATGCAGCTCCAGGGTCCCCATGAGTTTGCTCACTCGCACCCAAATCAGGGTCCTCCGCGTCAAACATGACGTCCAAGTTCCTAGGCATGACGTCGAAGCCCAAGCTCTGGACGTCGTTCGTGAAGCTGGCTACTGGGTCCGCCGTTGGCGTCATCGGATAGATGTCCTCATACCCGCGCAGCAGGTTATAAGCCCACCCATTGACGGATTGCGGGCTCTCTAAATCGACATCGGAAAACTCAGCATCGACCGCTGGAAGATGCCCGGACGATCCTGTTGCGGGATTGTAGTCATCGTCGTCATCTTCGTCCATGAGGAAGTTACCGAGAGTCGAATGCTCGAGCATAAACTCGCCGTACATGCCCAGGAGGTCTTCCACCGAGCGCTCAGGGCTCGTCTGCATGTAAAAGGAGGTGTATTCCCGGCCTGAACCGGCAGTCTGGGGACTACTCCTCCTTGCCTTCGAGCTGAAACGGAATTTGAGACCCATAGTGCCTGCTATGGGAGGCGCTGATGTCTCAGTGTAGAGAAGATGAGTGCTGTCTTACTTGTCCAAAGGTTCAAGGAACTGCAACCCCAGTATCGGGCGTGGTGATCCAGATCACCAATAGCCGGAGGAGGTGATAGTGCGGTCACAGAACCTGTGTGGACACTGAAGAAGCACTCAAGTGGGACGCAGGAGAAACGTCCTTGAGATTGGCAGGTCCCCCTTTATATGCGCCGGCCTCATTTGCGGTACATTGTGGGGACTTTGTTTAGGGAGGCTCTTAAAGCATTGTACAGTCGTTGAGCAATATTGCCATTGGTGAAAGAACAATCCAAGCCCGTCTCGTTGCCGAATGTGCTGTGTTCCAAATCCAGACAAAGGCGTAGGAGTGGCTGAGGCGACAAAGGGAGCATCGTGACCTGTACAGTTGATGTCCAGAGAGTTTGAACAATGTTCAGGCGAGCTGGATGATTCTACTAAGGGCGGTCTCCTCCGCATCAACGGCACCTAGGTAATCGAACATGGTAGCGTTTCGGTTGCGCCCGCCAAGAGGCATATGTCTCCCCGACATCAAAAATAATTACTTTCCTTCTCCAAGAAGAACAGCGAGCAGCGGGTTGGCGTTATGATATTGCGTTCCATGATCATAGATAGATAATTGGGGATATCTTCGGGTTGACTTCGGGCCGGGTGCCTGGCAGGAACCAGTGGCCCGTGCTGGTGACCTCATTTCTACTCGCTCACCACTTGTTGACCTGTCGCAATCCACTCGTCCATCTATTCTCCCCGAACGCCTACCCCTCGTCTTTCGCTATGTTTGCAAGACAAGTATTTCGCCCCGCGAACACCCTGCGGCAGGTATGGACCCATTTCAGGCTTCTATTGGCCTGGATTTTGCTGGCGCTCCATTTTCCGTCCTCCCACCTATCGTCTGCTTGCTGACAATTGCGCAGCATGTACGTCGGTACGCAAGTGAAGCGTCTGAGAAGAAGAAGGGCGGGCCGAACCTGCTAGTTCCCGGTGTCGCAATCGGCGGAATGGTCGTCGGTTACTATGTTCTGCGCCGGCGATACCCTGAATACGCCGATGCTGCCAAACAGACTGCAGGCGGAGAGCCAAAGGTCGCCTTCAAGGGCGGCGATCAGGGCTTCCTCTCGTTGCCGTTGGAGAAAACAGAGATTGTCAATCATAACACGAAGAGGCTCACCTTCAGGCTGCCCGAGCCGGACATGGAGAGCGGTTTGCCGGTTGCCTCTGCTGTCATCACCAAGTACAAGGGTCCTGAGATGGAGAAACCTGTCATTCGACCGTATACGCCCATAAGTGATGTTGGTGAGTAACGCCACAGGGACTGTTCTGCTTCTGTACTGATTGTTGCCTAGATCAGAAGGGATCCATCGAATTACTGGTCAAGCGGTATGAGAACGGGCCTATGTCGGAGCACTTGCATAACATGGCCGCGGGTCAGCGTCTTGATGTCAAAGGGCCTATCAAGAAGTACCAATGGTCTCCGAATAAGCATGAGCACATCGCCCTGATTGCGGGTGGTACCGGCATTACCCCCATGTGGCAGCTTGCCAACGCCATCTTCAAGAACCCCGAGGACAAGACCAAGGTTACCTTAGTGTTTGGCAACCTTACCCATGATGATATCTTGTTGAAGGAGGAATGGGCACGTCTGGAAAACACCTATCCCCAACGATTCAGGGCCTTCTACGTCTTGGACAACCCGCCGGAAGGCTGGGCGGGAGGTCAGGGCTTGGTTACCAAGGAGCTCCTCAAGACGGTACTCCCAGAACCCAAGGAGGGTGACAAGATCAAGATTTTCGTGTGCGGTCCCCCGGGAATGTACAAGGCCATCAGCGGTGGCAAGAAGAGCCCTGCGGACCAGGGCGAGCTCTCTGGCTACCTGAAGGAGCTTGGATATAGCAAGGACCAGGTGTACAAGTTTTAGATCTGCTAGTCCTTAACCCTGCTGTGAAGCGTGTACTTATATCACCTAGACGTAGATGTTGGATAATTCACGTAGATTATGGTTTACTGCACAGCAGGACCCCTCCGATGGAGTTTGTCTTTGTGAGTCTTGATTTTGCTTTCCGTCCTCCCGTCCCCTTCGGGATATTATCAGATAGACAATGGAGAACTTAACTCCAGTTTCCAGGACTTCGCTGTCGTTCTTCACTGGACTGGCAGGGGACATTCCCTCATGCTGGAGTTGCGGCAGATGAGGAGGCATGTGGCTATCAACATATGGAGCCCGGCCGTCTCGTATCCCAACATGATAATATGATGTTGGCATTGTTTTGTCCCTCTAAATACCCCGTACTCCGGTTAGCGGGAAGGTGTAGCATAGCGCATGTCTATTGATAGGTCAACCGAGAACCTCCCCATCATCGTCTGCGCGATTTTATAATGCGGCTCGTAATTCCGCATTCTCGTGCCATGGAAGTGAACCTTTCAATCTCCGCTCTCCGCTATGCCACTCCGCATGCCGCAGATGCACTATTCAAGTGGACATGTAGGTGCGTCGCCTGTGTCTGTTGGAACAAGTAGGCAGCGCTCTTTTATATTGGGTATGCGTGAGGCGGAAAAAGCGTACACTTACCAGGGCCACGATCGACTAGGAAGGCAAGTGAAGCCACTAGTGATGCGCAGGGCTTTGGCCGCGTGGGACACAGGGAAACTGTTGCTCATTTTCCAAGATTGATGGTTGTTCGGAAACGAAGTGCGCAGCTGGGTACAGCTTGTCGGATTGAGGGTGCAAAAAGTGCCAGGCACGGTGACGCATGTTGGTGGTGGCAGCACTGCAGTGCGGGAAGAGAGCATGAAGGTCTTGACTCATGCGGATGTTTGCGTGCGGGTGTGAAGGATGTGCGAGTGGTGATTCGTGTGAACAGAGCGGGAGTAGATACTGGTCTTCCAACAAGGCCCGGTAGGTGTAACGTACCGATTCGGGATTTTGTAGGCCTAATAAGAGACGGATGGGAAGGCTCAAACCGCATTATCATACTTTTGTAAGAGGGATAAAGGCCCGTGACACCATGGCTACTGTTCTCAGGAATTAAAGTTTGATTGTTCGAGTTCCCAGGGTTTTATTCACTATTGGCCTGTGCCGCTTACTTTTGTTTCCAAAGCGGCATATGACTGGAGAAATCCTGAGGGTGTAGATTTATGCGATTCCTCTATTTGCTAGGACGTCTAAGCTGAGGTGAGAGGGAAAACAGGGGTGGCTCTTGGGTAGCAGGTGGCCTTATCGAGTGTTCACCGCAAGCTTGACCGACTTAGAGAGACGTACTAAAAGCGGGCAAGGGATCGATCCTACTATGGATGATAACTGATTGTACATATCTTAACTATGTCTAATCGTATCCATATGAACGTAGCTGACAATCCCTCTATGTCTCTAATCCCCCCTGAGAGCATTTATAAGATCAAGGCCTTCAACGCCAAGGCTGTCACTCGGGTCCGCAGGAGCGGGCAGTACGTGCTCCAGTTGGTGCTCCAGTTGGTCGCATTGGAAGCCATGACTTGAAATGGTGTTTTTCATATCCTCAAGCTCGCGAACTCATGGGATTGGCAAAGCTCGATCGCATTATTTCCTGTGCTCTCGCCTTGTCCAAGGCCGCGTGTAGGATCCTTTGGTGCTTCGCCACTTCAATACGGACGAAGAGCTCGAGGCAGGGTGTGCACACGTACGGTTTCGAAACTTCGACAAGAGGTAGAGGGGACTAGCATTCTCTTTGCCTATAAGTATTGCCTGAGGTACAAATGCTTTCTTTCAATAGAGATCTTCCATCTCGGATTTCCCTCAGTTCACGGACACATCTGCTCCCATCATGAAACTCAAAACGACATTTACAGCATCGCTGCTGGCAAGCTCTGCGTTAGCCTCCACGTTGAGGAGTTTTCATGAAAGACAGGCTTCAGGATCGTTCTACCCCATTACCGGACCGACAGGGGGTGTTCATCCCCGTCTTGAGATACGTCAACTCCAGAAGACGGGAGAGATGTGGAACTTGTTCCTCCTTGCCATGGCCGAGTTCGAAGCCATGGACCAGAACGAAATCGATTCGTATTACCAGATTGCAGGTCAGTAGTTCCTGGGCCACATCCAAAAGTTTCGTTGCTGACAGAGCGAAGGTATTCACGGAATGCCATGGTACGCTTCCACAATTGCAGGCATGGGTTTTTCTCCCCTGACGGATCTTTAGGTACGACTGGGATGGCGTGAAAATGAACCCCGGCATTGAGAAGCCCGTCAAGCGGGGTTATTGCCCGCATTCTAACTTGTTATTCGGAATCTGGCATCGACCATATGTACTGCTCTTTGAGGTAGGCCTGCACATTCTTCTGTTGAAGTCAAAAGTCAATCCCTGATTCCGCCTAGCAAAAACTGCAAGCTATTGCTATCAATATCGCAAACCGGTTCTCCGGAGACAGCAAACCCAAGTACCAAGAGGCGGCGAGTAAACTTCGCTTACCCTACTGGGACTGGGCACAGAAGGTTGAGGCAGATGAGCCAGTGTTTCCCACAGCCTTCAGTACCGAGAGGGTGGAGGTGACGCAGCCTGATAACAACAAAGTTGTCATTGATAACCCTCTTTTCGACTTTGATTTCCACCCACTGGATAACAAGCAAATCAACGGAACAGTAAGTCCCGTGGCGAATGAGGAGGTCATAGCAGAGTTAATCTCAAGCAGGGATGCGGTTACCCACTTGCGGGTGGACCCTTGGACAACCACTTCAAGATGTGCAACGAGGCGCAGAGAACTGTAAGGAAAGCGCAGACTGCAGCACGGAACGTGAGCAACCATGTCGCGTTGGAGGCAGCGTTCAAGAACCTATACAAGCCACTTCGCTATAACCTGTTCAAGGTACTTTCCAGGTGGCAGCCATTCGACTCCTTTGCAAATAACGGGAATTGCGGAGATCCTCTGTCCTTCGACTCGCTCGAGGCCGTTCATGATAGTATCCATGTGGAAATGGCTCCAGCACACATGGTCCCCGTTGCTGTGTCTGCATTCGATCCCGTCTTCTGGATGCACCATGCGTGAGTGGTAGTGCGGTCGTGTTAAGTAAACCACTGATGATTCTTCCAAGGAATGTCGATCGTTATCTGGCTATCTGGCAGGCGATATATCCGGATACCTACGTGGAGCAGTGCAACGCAGGGAGCGAAACCTGGACAATCAAGCTGAACGATTCTCTTGCTGCTAATTCGCGTGAGGAGATGCCAGTCCCAATCTACTCAGATAACCGCTGACGGCTTCATTTTGCAGCCCTTACGCCCTTCCATATGAACACGGCCGGCGATTTCTGGACTGCTGCCAAAGCTCGAGATATTCGGCAAATGGGATATACTTACCCCGAGCTTGCGAGTAATCCGAGCAACGCGACTTTAGTGACGGAAGTCATTCGCCTTTACTCCGAAGGCTCAAATGGAGGTGCCCGCAGAGCGAAGCGGGAGGATGTGCCCGAAGCCAGCCAAGTATATCTCGCCCAAGCCGAACTGCCAAGTGGAGGAAGTCCGTATAGCATTTATGTCTTTCTTGGAGAGGTAACAGACAATGCTGTGACCTGGTCAGGCCTGGACTCGTTTGTAGGCCTCGCATCGACGTTGGGCACCCATGGTACGAACCCTTTGCGTAGTACTATAGACCTTACGCACGCGGTAGGAGAGAAGATCGCGAAAGGCGACATCAAGGAAGATGGCGCCCTTGATTACCTGAAACAGCATTTGAAATGGAGGCTTGTTTTTGTAAGGTACACCAAGTTTTCCGAGGAACCCTTTAGCTAACGGTAATCAGGCAGAGGAAGAGATCCCTCGCGATAAGATCCCAGGAGCGAAGGTATCTCTGGTCACGACGACTGTGGAGAAGGCATCCTCAGAATCGGAGTTTGACCGCTGGCTTGGAGATTTCACGGCGCATGGGGCAGTTGATTCCTGAAATTTGGCCGAGCCTGCAACAGACAGGAAGTTCTTGTGCGTCCAGCCTGGCATAACATAGATACCTGGCCCATTGGTGTATTGTACTGCGACGATCGTTGCGGCCGTCCATTTCCGTCGATGGCTCGTGTACGGTTGATTGTACGTGTAGATGTTTTGCCATAACCTAACCAATCAGATTTCTGTGGCCGAGTGGTGTAAAGGGCCCCACGAACGCAGTTCATTGTTGCTACACACCCATTCGGCACTTACCTGTTAGTGCATTTAATCAACAACCTCTCCGGTAGATCTAGGAGCAAGGGTCTTTTGGTTCGTCGAGTTGCACAGTCTAGATTATCCACCATACTCTACGAAGTCATCAACATTAACGGCTGCCCATGTGTTTGCAAGGATGTGAAGAGGGTTTTTGATTGCAGCTCCAACCGCAGAAGAGCATGGTATATTGCAGCGCACGATGCTGATCGAGTCTACCACATGGTAGACGAGGATTGAAGCTTTCCCCATGTCTCGGCATATAGCCTTATTCTTCTACTGCGGCAGTTCGTTGTTTACGGACTGTTCACCTTGGCCTGGTCAATCGCCGTTCCCGTATAAATACTTACACCACCCCTGGACGGGGATGGATCGCTGCCTCACTTCTCCTCATTTTGTCACTATAGAGTCCTTTTGCACAATGCTCTGGACCACTTTCTTTGCGCTGCCGGCGGCTGTGTCGGCGCTGGCCATGCCGCACTGGATGAAGAGGCAGGGCAGTCTGACTATGCTGCGGTTCGGATGTGCGCAGGTCGTCATTGACAGACTGGATCCTCTGGTCAATCCAGGGTCGATTCCATCTCCGCATGTCCATCAGATTGTCGGCGGCAACGCCTTCAATGCGTCCATGACCCAAGGGGACGTTTCGGCGGGGGCTTCTTGCACAACGTGCGCTTTCAGCGACGGTGAATGCTAACGCAACACGAAGGATGACCGAGACGCGAGCTGACCGGGATAGATTTCTCCAACTACTGGACGGCCAACCTGTACTTCAAAGCTCGTAATGGCAGTTACAAGCGTGTCAAGCAGCTGGGCGCTGCGTAAGATCTCCAGCGTTCACTCAATCGCTCTCGCTCATCCAGACCAGACGCCAGTTCAATGATGACTTCAGCACGAAGATCGGCGGTGGCGTCCTCGTTTACTATGTCTCCGCACAACCGGGAAAAATCACTGCTTTCAAACCGGTGAGCTCCTTCGTCTTAGTGGATCGTCGGTTTACTGATGAGGATGCCCTAGGGATTCCGCATGCTTGTCGGAGACCCGACCCGCCGTACTCCGGACCCAGCCATGAAAAGGCAGAACTGCTATCGCTGCTACACTGGTCCCAATTTTGGTGGTGACACTGCCGCTCCTTGTGCAGACAGCAAGTTGGTGGCAAGGTCGTGACCGTGGGAGCTACTGCTGACGCAATACTTAGGATCGATACGCAGGGTCTGCCGAAGGAACCATGCAAAGGCGGGATCCGCTCAAACATCCATTTCCCGACGTAAGACCATGGTAGAGCCGCTTGCTTGATAGAAGGCTTATTGGAATAGGTGCTGGGATGGCAAGAACCTCGACAGCCCTGATCACAAGTCCCACGTTGCGTACCCGACGAGTGGGCCGGCCAACTTCCTGAGCTTGGGTGGAAACTGCCCCTCTACGCATCCAGTCAGGATTCCACAGCTGATGTATGAGGTTGTGTGGGATACCACTGGTGAGTGGAAAAACACACCTCAATGATTTTGACTCTGAAACCAACGTCCACAGAATTCAACAACAAGGCGGACTGGCCCACGGATGGGTCTCAACCCTTCTACTTCAGCTACGGCGACAACACTGGTTACGGCCAGCACGCCGATTACGTCTTTGGCTGGAAAGGCAACGCGCTCCAGGTGGGCATGGATGCGACTGGTTGTATGGGAGCCAAGTGCAAGGACATGAAGACACAGAGCATCGATGCCGCCAAGCGATGCAGTGTCAAGACCAGGGTCAACGAGGATCACGACGGATGTGAGTTCTTCCTTTTCCCTCTTTGAACAAAGGTCATCACTGATACTGTTTTAGGGCTCGACAAGCTTCCCGGGATGGAGATGTAGAGCGGACTGGGGCCTGGGTTATTCATCTTCTGCCCGCTCCAGTTGATATATTAGTGTTTCGTGTGCACGTGGTCCGAGAGACGGCCACCCCTAGAAGGATAATTAGTACATTCAACATCAATCGTTGCTGATATATTCGCTCCCCCGGAGAGAAAGCTGCTCAAGCAAGGGGCTATTGTGCTTTGCCATTCTGTGATTCAAGATCAAAAGGATGCGAGTTCCGTGCCAGTATGGTAGTCGCCGCGAGTAGATGCGCGGACTCTGTCCCTCAAGCGTACATACGGGGTAGGAAGCACCGATGACGGAGAAGAAATATAGCCTCCGGCTGGTGGCGTGGGGATGGGGGGGAGAGGAAGTTCAGCAATGAAACACCGTCTCAAGGGAGATCCATCGAACTCAGCCGCTTATGTCAGCGGTCAGCCACGTGGCGCAGTCCACCTCTGTTAACTTCCCGCTGTACAACACCACGCGTCTCGACAACTAATAACCATGGCGATCGAGGCAAAAGGGTCTTTCGACTCTGACACAATTACGGCCTTTATTGCTTGGTACTTCTTGATCCCTCTGGTGAGCAATATCCCAAAGATGCCATTCTGCCGCTGCTAATGACAGGGTTAGGGTGCATCGTGGCTACAGTCAATCCTCTACAGCATCTTCATACGCGCCGGTGACCCTCGACCTCAGCATGGCTCCCCTCGATTCGCCCGACACCGCCGACAGATCCTCCTTGCCATCTACGTAGCGTATTTCGCCTTTGTGATATACGAAGTGGACTTCAAGGTGCACCGCTCGGGCAATGCTTATACCCATTTGGGGGTGCCCTTTGATGTTGAGGAGAAGGCACTGGCTTCGCGATTCCGAAAGCTTACGATGCGGTATCATCCAGACAAGATCCAGGGAACGGCGGACAGGGAGTCGGCGAACGAATACTATGTGTTTCTGAAGCATGCTCGGGACCTGCTCATGGATCCCTCGAAGCGGTTCGCCTATGACCGGTTCGGCCCTGATATCATCCGGCAATGCCGAGACTGCTTGACCACCGGGGAATACGTCAAGCATGCGCTTAGATCCATCGCGTCGAGGTATGGTGCTCTGGCTGCTTTCTTGCTGGGCGCAAATGCCCTGGGTTTTCTCAAGGAGGGCGCATACTGGAGGTGTCTCAGCCTTGTTGCGCTTGCAGCATACGAAGCCCGCACGGCCATGCGCCCCGACCATGGCCAGATGGTCGCAAACTACGTGAATCCAATCTTGTTTTCTAGATTGGGCAGGCAGCCATACCTACCCTTCCAGGTCATCATTCTGCTACGCAAGTCTGCCCTCTCCATGGCTCAGTTTCTCGGACTGGCGGTGCCGTTGTGGCGCGAAGATGCGCGGAAGGCTGCAAAAGCGGGCGAAGACTCGGACGAAGCTCGCCAACAACAAGTCGACAGGCTCGAAAGGGTTGTCAGGGAAGGCTCCCAGCTGGCCTCGCGGTTGGTGGATATGGAAACGATGCCATATCGCCACAACGAGCGTGCAAAGTCGGATCTGAAGGCTGCAATGAAGAGATACATGATGACCAATGCGGTGCACATGGATCGAGAAGTGCGAAATGCCATGGGCCAGAGCTATGCGCGTCGGCATGCCCGCGGTCGGGGCGGACTTGCAAGGGGGACGTGATGAAGGTGGTATACATACATACCTCTACTGTACTTGTACTTGTTGTCGTTCGTGGTCTGCCGGCTCGTCTGTTAACCAGGTACGGTGGTGGTGGTGGTGGCTATGTTCTTGACGTCATGCGCGCGTTGCCTCTTCACCCCCCGGGGCCCACTACCACAGTACTTATGTACACACGGCCTTCCTTCGCCTTCCACACTCGATCCGACCAGTCTCTACGCCTTTTTCCGAACATCACCTCTTACTCTACTTGTACGCTTTGGACAATCACAAAATAATGGCCTTCACTGTGGTCCGGTCAATTGCTGCAACCCGAGCCGCGCTCCCTTCCGCAAGGCGGGTTGGTATGTCAAGAGCTGCCATAGCGTTTTCTTAGGTGAACAGTACTGATATGGCTGACAGCAACGCTCCCTATCCGCACCTACGCAAATAGCCCCACTGGTCAAAGCCGTGCCAGCCCGGGCCAGTCATCCAATGTCTCTGGCACCAATGCAAGCAGTCCAGAAGGCCAGGGAATCCTCAACTCTCGCGCCACCGACGGACGTTTGCAGCAAGACACCAAATCGACGCAGACTCCAATTAGCCACCCCGAGGAAGGTGGCCTCGGTGGCCAGGAAGAGACAACCCCAAGCCAGGCCGCCATGAAACGGGACCCCAATGAACCAGCGGAAGAGAAGAGGAAGAAGGTTCTGGAGTATGGCCAGAACAGGAAACTCGATCCGGCAAATGATTTGAAACCGAACGAGGGCAAGGCCACAGGGGAAAGTCCATGAAAGGCCATGTATTCGTGGATGGCTTTAAACCGGCTGTACGTTTTTAAGCCATTTGTGTACATATATACTAGTCGCTCATAGTGCATCTTGGTTTCCCGAGTATCGGCTGCATACGTTCATATCCTTGGTCACTGTCACGCTATAAAGTAACGAAAACGAAGGGTTTATCCAACGCCGCGCTGCATAGCAGAACCTGGTACCGGAGCTTTGGGATGGACTCTTGTTCCACACAACTGCCGGGACAACGCAGAGGACCAGTGCCTTAAGGGAACTTGCCAGTGCAGACACAAAAATGAATATTTCACGACAGAGTATACAAGTAAAACCTCCCTTGACACGGTCGGATATGAAGAACCCTTTCGAATTACGGCTACTTTCTTAACAACTCGCATCTACTGGGTCTCGCATTACGTGATGCCCGCTCCTTACGACACTTTAAAACTCCGCCAATTCAGCCCCTGACCAAAGAGCGGGACCAGGAATGGTGTAGTTGGTATTGTTGTTCGGCATCACATGAATGTTGAGGGCGAGGCCAGGCTCATCACCCCGATAGAGCGATTTTGCAGCAACACCGCCCGTGATAGCCTTCGTCCCCGTTCCGTCAATCTTGATGCTGATACATTGAGGGTAGAACTCCGCGCCGTCCGTGTAGTATGGACCTTTCCCAATGGCCTCGTAGGCGATGTGCAAGGCAATGAGTTCATGTCGAATCACGTACTCGCCAGCTTTGAGGCCTGAGGGGATCCTGATGGCCCAGGTACCGTTATTGGCCACCATTTCGTTGGTTGCCCAATATCCCTCCGCAGAGCTGGTGGTTCTGATAAAGCCACGTTCAGCAATCTTGACAAACTGGAGATCCGCTGGATTGACGCTTGAACAAGGCCCATTGCATGGAGCGATGTAGTCGATGATAGGTCCCCAATGTCCATCCGGGAATGGGTATCCACTCATCCACCACTTGACGGTCAGTTCACTGCCAGCATCGATTGGTGCACTCATGTTCGCTGGACTGGCCCCTTTGGCGCAGATGATATCGTTCGTTTTGGCCATGTTAGGCTTCAAAGGGTTGCCTCCAACATTCGTTGTGTACCAAGATGGCGTGTCGCTTGGATATTTGGCCCCTATAGAACCGGCGTTTGGGTCCCAAGCTTCGTACTCAACATTGTTGGCCCAGAGCTTCTCTAGATGACTGTGGGCCAGTCCCGTCGATGTGAGCGCGGAAAGGAGCAGGAAAGTGGGTGGGTTAACGAACAACATCTTCGCTCCAGAGCCCGAGACGTCGCCACCAGAGAAGCTAGTGTTGTGTCGAATGGAAGAAAACAGAAGGAAAGGAAGCAGAAAGGTGGTCGGGAGTAAAGAGGCCGCGTTTAGGGATAAGATCTGCTGCTTCATATACAGTCAATATACGCGCTTCGTATATACCCATTTGCACACTCTACCAGACCTCTTCACTCTTCGGTCCGAAAACACCGTCAAGCTACCTTGCACTGGGCCTTGCATGGCCACAATAATACAGAAGGAAAACCCAATTTCGAACTGCGTAGATAGTGGAGACGTACCGGTTAGGATCTACTAGATATTACATGTTGCATTTGTGGTTGGGCGTAGACAAAACCCCTGCATGACCCGAACACCAAACAGCAACGCCGCCAACTGCAAGCATTGAGGCTATTCTCCTACTGTACGAGCGCCGCCATGGAAATTGAGAGCGCTGATTCGAGCAACGGGCTTCGAAGATGGTGGAAGGTCAATAGTGTTATATTTTGAGGAGCTAATAGTGCGTCTTACGATTTATGAGATGAGACACTTACTGCTAGGCAGAGTTCTGCTCTTTACCGCGATAGTGGAAAGCATACGCGAAACAACCCAAGGCAAAGTTAACGAGAGAGTACATTGGGCCGAGAGTGACATAGCACGCTCACTACGCGCAGCGGAGAATAAGTAACTTAGCATTTGGAGGCATGGCGGCCGTTCCACGTGGATCACGACTCTGAGGGAGCTGTATCCCTGCGTCTGGCGCCGACACAATGGCTAGCCCAATCACAGTTACGATGGCTTGGGATAGAGGCATAAACATGGTTTGTTTTCGATGGACGTTTCCTGTTCTGCTTAGGAGTTTTGATGGATCTGTGGCCATGACGAAAGTAGACCCTCCATTTGTTGTCGTGCTGGACATGAGTTCAAAGTAGTCGCTGTCGGTCGTCTGGGCGTGATTGATTGAGGCTGGATTTTAGCTTCGAATATGAAGACGGATGACTGCCGTGTTGGTTTTATGAGCTCCAATGTTGTGACGCAATTTCTGGCTTGTGGGACGCGCAGCATCCGGTTTCCGGTATTGATTGGTGAGGTGGTGACTGTGGACGAGCAATAAGTTTCTCGCCATGCTCGCCTTCTTCTCTCCAGTCCAGGGTTGGGATGGGGAGAAGCCCAGACCGGTGATTGCGGGGCGCTTCACTTCCAATCGTGAGGGAGGCTTGAAAAAGTGAATCTCATTCGTGCTTTTTGGTTGCTTCCTTCACTCAGGTGATCATTGGCACTCAAAAACTGGGAAAGGTTGTACAAAAGTATATTCAGCAGTGCTGTTCGAAGGTCCAATGGGCGCATATAATACAATAATAGAAGTATGTGCATAGCAAGAAAATGAATAAAGCTCCGCTAAGGGCGAGCTCCCAGTTCCTTTTGTAGAATGGGCATTCACCATTTAAAAGGCGCGAGCATGACGGCGAGTCGCCCCCTTGGGCTTGCCGACCTTCTGAAGCCAGGCGATGAACGTATCGAGGGTGAAAGTCTCAGGAAGGGTAGAGTCGCCATTACCCTCGTTTCCTCCATTGACGGGAGATGAGGTCGCAGTGGCTGAAGGCGCCGAGGAGGGCACGTTGACAACAGTAGTTGTGGAGGGCGCTGCCGGGGTCGGGGAAGAAGAAGGCGGGTTGCTTGGCTGGTTGGCAGGCTTGGATCCGAAGAGAGCAGGTCCAGGAATCTTGTACTCTGTGATTGTGGTATAAGGGTTGAAGAGAATTCCGGCATCCTTGGAGGTGTAAAGCTGTGTACCAAGCACGCCCTCCGGATTCTCAGTACCGGATCCTGTGATTTCGATGTTGAAACACTGGGGGTAGTTCTGCGCGCCATTCTCGGACCCGGCCCCATGGAGTGCAATGATCTCGTGCCTGAAGACGTAATTGCCAGGTGCGATGTTCGCAGGTACGGTGGTAGTCCAAGTGTTGTTGTTGGCAATCATATCCACAGCAGCCCACAATTTTGTAGTGGTATCGTACCCGGCCTCATCAATCTTGACAAACTTCAAAGTGGTCTTGTCGACATTCGCGCAATCGCCGTTGCATTTGGCGATATAAGTTATAACGGGCCCGATGTGAGATTCCGGCCAGTCAGTCCACTGGAAGTCTACCTTACCGCCGGCAGCGACCTTTGCAGTAGCAGTGGCAGGTTTGGCGTTCTTGTGGCAGATGATATCGGGAGAACTGTACTTGCTCGGTTCCACAAATCCGTTATCAAGGTTTTCAGCGTACCTATCGCAATGTCAGGTCTGTCAAGGAAGAAGGGATAACATCCGCTCCGCTAGGGTGGGTAGAATACATACCAGCCATAATGCGCGGGCGGCGTCTGGCCATTCTGCCCCATGTAGTAGTATTGTAGCAGAAATCCCTGGTTGAAAGTACCGTCCGTCAAGAAGCTCTGGACGGTTCCATGTCCAAGGACAGTGGCAGCGAAAGCCGAGAAGAGGGCGGTCTTGGTTGCAAAGGCCATTGTGTCCTGAAGCAAAGGAGGGCGATGTGATGCTAGCCGACGCAAAGAGCGAATGATGTTAGAAACCAAGTAGACAAGGTAAAAGAATGTCTGGCCTGCTTCACACAGTGAAGTGACGAACGAATGTAGGTGAGAAGAACGAACGGGGGTGCGGAAGACTGAGACAAGAGAGTGAGCCTGCCGAAGGAGAAGGAAACAAATAGCGAACGCAAGGCCTCTACTTATACTTGGATAGAATGGGGCCAGGCACCCCGATCCGGCGTCAATTGGAAACCATGACTTCACAGGTAGAACAAGCGGAAATGACATTCGCGGAATAATAGGAACCGGAACCACGTAGCCCCACAGTTGTTGACTCGGCTGCATTGCTAACAATCCTGAGGCCGTATACTAAGCTCCTCGATATCAGTCAACTGGTGTCGTTTCGAAACAGCTAGCGTGTCGATGAAACATCAGGGAAAACCCTTTCATCGGACGCAAGCGCTGCCAAGAACCGCGGTCGTTTTCATCAACGTTTGTCAGTCGTCTGATGTTTCTTCGGAGTACTCCGTAGATTCCAACCAAATGATTGAGAAAGCGCGATACTTCTCGTGCATCGTTAGACGTCCTTGGTATCAGTAGAGCACAGATAACACAATCCTACCCCGTTCGTCGATCTCTCGAAAAGCGAGAGATAGAGTAATACGTGCAGTCCAGACATCGCGGTTAACGTTAGGGCAAGACTCCGGAATTTGCAAAAGGTTGGATAAGGCGAAGGTGGTAGCGCGTATTAGGGGGAGTGGTATGGCTGTGTCTCACTTGATTGGAGGAAATAGTCGATGTTTCGTGCTCCGCGTGAAACGACATACCTGAGCAACGCTAACCTATTATACAACAATAACAACACCAGCAACGCTATTTTTACCCTGCGGTGCAAAAGCATTTCTATATTCCTATACAGTGAACGAGCGATACACACGCGCAAACTAAGACTGTTTCGTAGTTAGATGCGCATAGTAACTTAATCATATTCTGGAATGATTGCTATTATTGAACTCGCCCACACTGTCCAATAGTTTCCATGCCACTCTCTGATCTTAAACCCCTTACGCTCCTAGCATGGTCATTAATGACACTTCAGAGCTCTAATGGTAGGCAATGTCGCTCTGTGACTTCTGCCAGGGTTTATCGCCAGACGCACCTGGATGATCCGACAGTGGCATGGATGATCCGTACCCGTGGGAAACCTCCATCGACCACAACTTCAACAGTGGCGCGCATGCTGGTATACATGCGCAGATAATGCCAACGGAGAGTTGCACAACGATCCAGATAAAAGCATCTATGTCATCCCACGCAATGTCTCCTCCATTGACTATCTTGGCGTGTATGTTGATTCCTACGATATTTATAACTTGACAAAAATACCGAAACCGAAGGTTATTGTCAATGCCAGCTTCTTCTTCCACGGCAACCGCAGACTCCACAACACTTTCGCTGGCAAAACCAGTATAACAATTTCGTTGACTAGATCGAGGGATACAGGGACAACAAGTTGTGTCAGCTGATCCATACAATAGCCCTCTGTCGTCCCGTCCGGTACGGCACCACTTGGAAACAGCATATATACTCGGTTCCAGAACACAGGTAGAGGAACGCATTGTACACCGGCAGAGCATTATTCTTTCTCATTTCCAACGCCAGAGGCGGAAACTCTGTGGTCAAAAGATATCGTTTCGGGAGAAGGAACAATTTCAGTCGGCCCTAACATCCTATGGCCTACGTATATGGAACCCGCCAACCCAACAATGAGTGCCTTAGTCCAAGGGTTGGGTACCGAACAGGTCTTGCCTCTTGATCAGACATTGGTTGAGACTATTAGCGGTTCGGAAAGTCAGTCTGTGAATCTCGTAAGCGCAATCGCGGACACTGCACTGCACAAGCCAAATGAGCTGGACAGCTTGCGTCTGCTGCCACAATTGAGACGACCGTCAGCACAAGAACCCCCTCAAAGCAGCTTCCACCTTTAATACGCATCCTTCAAACTTCGCAAATGTTGACAAAAATTTTTCACTTGACCAAAGACTCTTGTCGCGGACACGAACAGTCAGGGTCTCATCCATTACACGATGCTGATCTGGTTCTTACGCTGTCATGCTTTCTCAAGCTGCTCGGTCGCTGCGACACGATATTTCGCCTTTGGCTCGATGTTATCGACCATTCAATGGCCTACCATGACGACGCACTTCCGTCTCCGGCTCTTTTGTGGTTACGCGGAGACATGATGTGGCTATTGCCCCCAGTCACTATCGGTCTATATGCGGCGCCCCATTTCAACTTCTCACAAATCCAACTCACACTCGACGTCTCGGCAAACATGATGCGAAGGCTGGGTGAAGCTCTCGAAAACCTAGCTACCAGTGTGACTAGAGGGAACCGCAAGGCAAATGTCAATGTGCTGACTCATGCCGGCAATACGAAAATCGAACTAGTGATGGAGAAGATGAGGGCTGTCGTGGGGAGGAAAGAGATAGTCATGAAGAAGATCGACGATGAGGCTGTTGGACAGCGCATAGCGGCTCCCTTTCTGGCTCCAGGAACTTAGAAACGCACGTTTCCATCCGACAGGCATGAGCTGCGTGTAGAGTATGAAGAAGATTGTTTCGCTACACGTGTATGTGGCAGTACACAACGAGTACACGTGAAGTTGTAACCTCTTGTATGCCTTACAATCCAAGGGAGGTAAATTCGTAGGATTTCTGACTAACGAAACAACTCATCGAAACGCGACACACCGCGGAGGACAGATTCTGGACTGCTGATACTGCTGATCATCGTCCCGTGTCCTTTACTATTCCCGATACTCTAGAGTACTTTTACAATCTCGGCCACCCTTATGGCTTCGAGCTGATGTGACGAACCCTCCTTATCCGCGTTGTTCGCGGTTTATGTGCGCTTCTGCCCCTTCTTCTGCATGCCAAACTCAGTGCGGAGGACTTCCTTCAAATGAAGTTCCCTCCTGAGGAATGCTGTTAGGACGCCCAGTACTCTGAATGGAATAGCAATCTGCTAGACTTTCTGCAGTGCCTCCCCATACGTCTAGATGATCTCACTCCTTGTTGGCTCGTCACGGTCCCTTCCACTGCGGTGAGGAAAAATGTTGCGCAAAGGCTGGCTATGATGAGCCAAAGCCTCCAACCGTAGCTAACATCGTCGCCAGCCTCATCAGTTGCGTTTTCGACATCGATTGGCTCCTTCGAGTCTTCGTATTATCGTCCCTCTGAGGATCTGTCGGCTAGTGAGAGACGATCGTCTTTCCGAATCGATATTGACGTCCATGAGCTCAGCGAAGAACGATTATGGCTTCTAGCTTGTTGCCGTTCTTACTGCCCGTTTTGTGAGCGCGTTGTGTGTAATCTTGGCTTCTGAAACAAATGTGACGCATGAGCTCGCCCGCCACCATGATTCGGAAAGCTTCCAATAAGGGAATGATGATTGCGGCAGAGACAATCTAAGCGCCAATTGGTCAATAAGGATGGCTGCAGTTCCAGCAGCGGTTGCTGCAGAAGTTTCGATATATTGCGAACTCGCCGACCTGCAGCTCCGCCGCTCTCAGTTCAACCACTGTAGCCGGGCAATTGCACCTGGACATCGCCACCCGCAGACGCGAATCACGGAAAAAGGGTGTTGATTTGAATCTGCTGTTGGGTGCCTTGCAGAAGGACAGTACGAGTCAACATGCATAGATTTTCAAATCCGAGTTGTTCAACTTCGAGTTTCTACGCATCCTTATTTCTACTGCGCCATATTGTAGTTGCGAAATCGGCCGAGGCTCTACATGCGGTGCCGCAAATAAGAGATAGCGACCCAGAGTCCTAGAGCAAGGCGTGGGATGAAGTAAGGGCGTTATGCGGAAGAGACGGCGGAAAGCGCACAAGGCGTGGGTGTGGTAGACATGGTGCCGAGCAGCCTTCGTTAGGGCGTCTAACTACTATGTACGCGAGGGCAAGTTAATACATGCTCGGTTTCCTAATGTTAGCGCGCGATCCACGAATACTACCTAGGCTGGGAACCAGTCGCGGACTCTTTTGCAAAGGTGTGTCAATACTGGAATGTGCAACCGCCTACCCATTAACTATCTATTCCGTTCGAAAGGGCAGGCTTGCTAGCATATCCATATACCAATCCCAATATAGGCTCCCTGTCCGCTTATCGTGAGCCTTACGGGCGGAGACTCAACGAAATAGGAGATCTTCCTTGGTTGCACATCGGCTGCGTTATTAGCTCGTGGATATGCGCTCCTTACATCTGACGGTGACGAGGGCGCCGCGGATGTCCATATGCATGGCGAGGTCGATGCCGACAAGCTGGCGAATGGAATAGTGAGTACATTGGTAGGTGCGGGAATGACAAGCTAAGCCTTGGGTCTTCCTGGTTAGAGTCCTCGGCGACCGTTGCGGACTTATTAGACACGATCGAGTTGGAAGCAGAGGCAACGAGCTGGGCGAAGTTCGCCGGACCACTAGAGACGGTGCTGATAGCCTGGACAGGTTGAGCCCCTTTTAGGCAGAGTTTCGGTATCTAGGTTTGAACTCATCGCACGTGGCTAGTCAGTACATCTCCTCCTCTCCCGAGGGTAGTCTCTATGTATGCTAACAGGGGCATTGTGTCGTGTAAGGCCCGCGGTTGAGAACAATACATACTCTCCTGAGCTTGCAAGTCCAGCAACCGCTTCTCAGCTTTTGCCTGTTCTCCATGTTTGCTCTAGTGTTTGCATGTCCAGCTGCCGAGCAACGTTTTGGTTCGATTCTAATAGGGAGCGTGGAGGAGAAATACCACGAAGGCTAGCCGTTGCCTACGCATCTAGCAACGCGCAGATCTGAACCGAGAAGCCTTACCGCCCCACAATACAACTGTCCCTAGCTTCTAACCATGCAACCACTCTACCGTACAAGTATGTAGTAATGATGTCAAAATGGTAGCGGCCAATCAAATGCAGATCCCGAAAGTCATTACTGTACAGTAGACACTCCCCCCTGTCCAAAGGCTGAAGGTGTTTCCCGAACTAAGTAGTGGGGTAAGGTCCACAGGGTAGCTACTACTGGTCAGGAGGAACATTCCGTACCTGCGGAATTGCCGGCACCGAGGGACTAGCTCGTACTACTAGCGAGGTTTTCTAGTCAGTGGTGGCATACTGTACAAAGTGTGAAATCAACTCCACTTGCGGACCCAACTTCTTACTGCGGGACTGCTCCTCCTGAACAAGCACTCCCTGGTGAGTTATCCTTCTTACAAAAGTGGCGCATAACTCCTACAGTACATAGTAGAAAGGCCTCGACGCGCCGCTAAATTAATGTCAAAACTAACTCCACTCTCGGCCCCAAACGCCGAACTCTCCAAGGCGGCCAAGATTGAGCTCAGGTCGTTCGGCTGCATCGTCATTGGCGCCGCCCGTCTCCACGATGACGATAGGCCGTTAGAACGAGTCGCGCTCTTTTACAAGCAGCTGTGCATTAATATTAGGTAGGGACTTCCTTCCCCATCACGCCGCTATTTCATCCTAGACAATTGAGCACATCATGGCACGCAAAGCTTGCTCCTTTCTACAGCACTTAGTATGTGACACCCGAGGGTTGGTGAAACGAAAGAAGCCGACTAAAGGACCCTCGGAGTGACCTCATCGATCCTTCATGCGGGAAATCGGTTATCAAGAGTCGCCAAGTGGGCCACGCTAAGCGTAGCTGAAAAAGGGTTGCTGGGGAAGTGTGGCGTCTGTTTCCCAGCACGTGGTTAGCTATTAAAAAGCCGTTGGAGCTCATGTCACAATGTTCGATATTGGAAGACGGGAAGAACGGCCCATCATCAATCCTACCTTTCATCCCCCGGCATCATGTCGGGCCCAGCATGGCCGGTTCTCCCGCCTGAGAGAGCAGCTGAGAACAATGGCCCACGCATACTGACCATCGGATGGGTTTTTACCGCAGTGGCTACGCTCTTCGTGGACGGGAGGATCTTCTCCCGGTTCAAGAAACTACGCAAGATAGACACGGGAGATTATCTCATCTTGATATCTTTGGTAATACTCCGCCGCCTGCCATCTTCTCTGCGTACCCTACTGACATCCCTCCTTTGTTCCCAGGCTTTCGGTTACGTGCATATGTCCATAGTAACTATCGCCGTACACTCCGGCTCGGGCCGTCACGTCGCAGCCCTCACGATTCCGCAAGCCGAACGCGCCCTCCTGTTTACAACCATCTCCTTCATCCCGGGTATCCTATCCTACACACTCCCCAAATTTGCGGTCGTGATCCTCATCAAAGACCTCCTCCGCCCGTCCCGCAGACATGAGATAGCTATTTGGGCTCTGGCCGGCGTCAATGTTGTGTTGATCGTACTGTGCATCACCTTCGTGTACGTGCAGTGCGATCCGCCTCGCGTTCTTTGGACGATCGGACTCACTGCCCGGTGCTGGGACCCCGTCGTTTTGATTGCGACTAGCATCGCGGGAGCAGCGAGCTCCGCATTGTTTGACTTCTGGTTGGCGCTTTATCCGGCTGCGGTGCTGTGGAGGATGCCGATTAATCTGAGAAAGAAGATTGCGATGAGTACGGCGTTGGGGTTTGGGGTTTGGTATGTCTTCGATCTCTATCATCAACGGGTACAAGATCTGACCTCTCTATTCTCAGCGCCGGCAGTGTGGCAGTGTATAAGGCCACTACATTCGTTGGAGACTGGAGCGACTTCACCTGTGCGTTTCCTCTTTGCTTCACTTTTTACCACCCCCCCACCATGCTGACACATCAACAGACGCTGCCGTGAATCTCGTCATCTGGACCAGCATTGAAGCAAACTCCGTCATCATCTCAGCCTGCATTCCCATGCTCCTGCCCCTGGTGGAACTCATCTTTGGCAAGAACTTCCTAAGTAGTGCCAAGCCTCGACTCCGCGCGATCCAGACGTCCTCTGAACTCGAGAATAATCCTAGTAATGTTGAATTGGGGACAGAGGCCGGAGCGACGGAGAGGGAGGATTGGCAACAACAGTTTCAAGGTGCCGGCATGTTTTCTGAGGATTCAGCTCATGGCTCCGAGCGGAGCGGTAAATCAGACGTGTAGTCAATCATGGAACGGCTTCCTTAGGCCTAGCTGTGCACAGAATCAGGACGGCCGTGCCTTTACTGCGCCATCAACTCCTGCTAGAATGAACAGATCGGTGATCCGTGACGCGCCTAGGGTATGTATACTCGGCACGACTCTAGTTTAGCTAACAAGTCTATTCCCAGGTAGGTACATATATATAGGATGGATGCAGAGCCTGTTCAGACATTGACAACAGTTATCTCCGCAGCATTACTAAACTAACACTCTAGCATTGTCTTTTGTACCTGTGCGTAAACATGCAATTGTCTTAATATTTTTAGAATCTACTGCCCTTAGGCTTACTAGTCTCTGCCTTGGCTATCCCTCGCGATACTATTAACCTAGACAACCCTAGGAATGCTAAAGCCTTAGACCCTATGACGCCGCTAAAGAGCCTTAAAAGACCGCCTTATTTAGGTAATCCCTTTATAGCTAGATTTACAATTGCTCCTTCTTCGTGCAACGACTTTATAAAGCCCTCTAAACAATGTATTAAAGATTTGCAGCAGCCTAGAGGCGGGAAATCTAAGTAGGACAGCAACTACAGATGTAACGACGAGCAATTCAAGCTATGTCCTGTGTATTACCAAGTAGACGGCAGCATGGGATGCTATTGCATTTTTAGCTGTTTTTGCTGACCAGTGCTCTCCCCGTGCTCTCCCCGTGCACCTAGCCAAGCACGGTGACTGTTATAAGCAACGCCGCCAATGCGCCCAGCTGCCTTGTTTCCTCTGCCAAGTGCGCCAGATCGCCTTGTCGGGCGATCGCGATGGAGATGTTAAATGACCTACAACTAAATAATAAATGACCTAGACGTAACACCATCTGGGTATAGCGCTTACGCGGTGGCACGCTGGCGCCTAGGCGACCAGCCTCCCCCTGTTTTTGCACTGTAATCTTCAATTCTGCGGTATTGTAGGTGCCGTAAGATAACTGTAAGATACTGCAGGCTACACTCGCAGTGACGGGTGGCGAATATCTCTAGATTCCGGCGTGGAGGAGGAGTCTCAGGTGACGGTGGCTGGAGGTTACCTGACAGTGGCTAGAGTCAGGCACCTAGGTAGGGACTTACCTGCAACACCAGGAAACTCACTAAAATGGGCATCTCCATATATCTAAATAGCCTTACACTTGGCTGAACATCCCCAGGCATTTTTCGATTGCCGAGCTGACAGCGGAGCTGTTTTAATTACAGCTGAACGCCTATATATTTCGCACGACTCGCTGGTGGGGCAGCCAAGCCGCTAGTGTAAGCACTATACCTAGATGGTGTTACATGTAGGTTATTTATTAATTAGTTGTAGGTCATTTAACAACTCCCGATCGCGATCTCCCCGTCCTTCTGCGCATACTCCCCGTCCTTAAGCGCGCGTGCTATAAGAAACAGGGAGTTGTTGCTGCACGCACTTGTAAAAGTATAGGAAAAAAAGTAGTAGAGAATAAAGGTCCGCACTTAACATAGGGCACAGGCACTTTAGCTAGGTGCACAGCGCAAGGGCCGTGTAGGATGGCCCTGTCCTAAAGCTACGCGTATTCAATTGGGTAGATAGGCGATGACGGAGGAAGTTGGAACAGAGGAGGAGCTTGGAAGAAGGCGACCGAAAGGCGGAGGTTAGGTGAGACCTTGAGGCGGAGGTTATCAATCGCCGTGCGGAACTTATACATCGCCGAGCGGAAGTTACGGGCACATCTAATAACACACATCACTGTCCGCTTAGGACCCAACGCACTCCGACGGAGCATTGGTATCCAACAGACATATTATATTAACTTCCAGGTTGGTTCACGTTTAAAAGACATCAGCATCTTTTACTGCACATACTCCCCAAGGCAAGCCAAGCTTTCCAATCTTGTCTTCTGTTTGCAACCATTTTTAATCAAGGGAAGCAACATGTCGCGGCCAACGACTCGAGGCGCAACGGACTTGGCCGCAGAAGATTCAGCTGACTTGGAGAAACAAAAATCTAGCAATCCTTCTCGCCATGATACGCCCAAGACAAATCAGCTGGATGGAACAAATTCCAGTCAGCAGCCGTCCACCTCGACCACAGCCCTCATTTTGATCTCGGTCTTTCTAAGCCTCCTCCTCGTTGGGCTTGACAGAACAATCGTCTCAACTGTGCGTATCCACCGTCGAAACAAGCCTCGCCTTTCCTTCCCCAAGTGCAGCGTGCTGACATTTCCTGTTCTAGGCAATACCTCGCATTGCCGATGAATTCCATTCGCTCGACGACGTGGGTTGGTACGGTAGCGCATACCTGTTAACGTGCTGCGCGTTCCAGCTTCTATTCGGCAAAATCTACGCCTTCTACTCTGTGCGAATCACTCTGGTAACGAGTATCCTGTTATTCGAGATCGGCTCCGCTCTCTGCGGAGCTGCTCCGAGCTCGTCTTCCTTCATCGCCGGAAGAGCAATCGCAGGGGTTGGTGCCGCTGGCATCTTCGCAGGCACTGTGCGTTTTTTGTGCCCCTTCCCCTCTCATCCTTTGCTACGACCTTTCTGACATCTGTCTTTAGGTTGTGTCTATCGTCCATGTGGTTCCTCTAGCAAAACGTCCAAAGATCCAAGGTTGTATGGGCGCCGTCATGGGCGTCGCCACGATCGTCGGTCCTCTGGTTGGCGGCGCCTTTACAACGCATGTAACATGGAGGTGGTGTTTCTACATCAACTTGCCCTTTGGGGCTGTGGCCATCGCCGTCATACTCGTCTTCTTTAAAGTCCCGAACCGAGATTCAAGTAAGCAGCCCTGGGTGGAGAAGATCAAGCAGCTAGACGGGCCCGGGACGGCATTGCTGGTCCCTGGTGTCATCTGCCTCCTGTTAGCGCTTCAGTGGGGCGGCCAGACGTATGCCGTAAGTTTGTTCCCGTCCGCATTATGCCCCCTCCTCATTCCAGACGTACTGACCACCTTTCAGTGGAGCAATGGACGAATCATCGCATTGTTGACTTTGCAGGGAGTGCTGCTCCCTGGATTCGTCGCGGCCCAGATATGGCTTCCAAAAACCGCGACGGTGCCTCCCCGCATTCTCAAATATCGGAGCGTTGCGGCTGGGTTATGGGCAACGACCTGCATCGCTGCTTCTCAATACATATTCAGTAAGTCGGGCTGAATTGCTCAATCATGAATATTTTTTTTTACTTATTACTAACTCTTTACGCAGTCTACTACCTCCCCATCTGGTTCCAAGCCATCAAAGGCGTCCCCGCTGTTGACTCCGGTATCCGTATCCTGCCGCTGATGCTGGCCTTTGTCCTCGCCTCCATCCTGGGCGGAGCCATAAACCAAAAGATCGGTTACTACACGCCTCTCGGCATCGCTGGCGTTTGCATCATGGCGACTGGATCCGGTCTGCTCACGACCTTGGAGATCGACACCGGCAAGGGCAAATGGATAGGCTACCAAGTCGTCTACGGCCTCGGCATGGGCTTCTGTTTCCAAACTTCCAACCTAGCCACGCAGACGGTTCTTCCGAAACGCGATGTACCCATTGGGATGGCACTGATGTTTTTCGGTGGGCTCATAGGAGGCGCTGTCTTTGTGTCGGTTGGGGAAAATGTGTTGGGGAATCAGCTGTTGGAACGGCTTTCTGGGCTTCCCGGATTCAACCGTGGGCTCGTCACATCGGGCGGTGCGACCTCGTTGATTAACTTGGTGCCTGCCGATCAGAAGGAAATGGTCCTCGTCGCTTATAACGAGGCGCTGCGGAGGGTGTATCAGATTGGCGTAATTGTTTCCTGTCTGGCTGTCCTTGGTATAGGCTCATTGGAGTGGAAGAGCGTACTGAAGCAATCGGAAAAGAACGATCGAGCTGAAAGGGATAGTGCGGTCAAAGAGAAGGTAGAAGGAGACCTGCCCGACAAAGTACAATCTCAGTCGGCACAACAGGATGTTAAAGATAGTAGGGTGTAGATTAGGAGTATGTAGGGAGCGCTGATTACCCGTAGACTCTGTATATTTAGGCCTACCATCCTTCTCAAATTTTATATCTAACATGTAGATCCCCGAAGTCTCGATCGTTGATTTTAGGCACTTGAAATCAGATGTTTCAAAATCTGGATGCACCACAGGACTTATAGTTTCTGCAGGGTCTAGCCTCGGATACTATAGTTTAGCGTCCAAGCTTCAACCTTACTAATCTATACGTTCTGTCGCAAATATCATTCACACCCAAGGTCCTCTGTAGCCATTTCAAACCAAAAAAAGGGAGGCAATGAATGCTCCTAGGAGTCAAAAAACATACAACACCACGCTATTCGCACCTGGTCACCCACGGTACTACTCAACGGGCGCTACACGGCTTGTGTATGGTCGATCGGACGAGAGGCCCAATTTTCCGTGTGCTATGGTCGTATGTGGCAGATATCGTGCAAAAGAGACCTATGTCTCGAGTACTTGTTGCTCAGCTTAGGCCTTAACACACCAGATCAGAGACCACGTTATCATCTGATAACGTCTCTTTCAGGTGACAAGCCATCTACACCTACAGTTAACCATGTCTACTGTCAAGTATCTGGGTGACTGCCTTGTTGCTAGGTGAGTCGTACACTCCCCAGGGTCACACGCTTGAACGAGCTCTGGTTCGGCAACCTGGATTGACTGCACTAACCCACCTTCGTGAACACAACATAAAGGTAATCTCCCCCCTGCTATCAGCCGCACGTAGGTCGTCTCTAATCGTACATGAATCTGATAGAGTAGTCTGTGGGTCCCAAGGTTTCGTATTGGAGTAACCCTTCACAACAGCCAATATCTGGTTGCAATAAAACTAGGCTGAGGGACCAAGGTAAATGTCCAAAAGTTCCTAAAGGATGGATGGGATCCGGCTAGCATCTGGGTAAGATATGCTATGTATAGTGTCGCAAATGTAGATCTACAGTTGTCTTTGTTTCATTGACGACAGTGATGCGGCGGAATGTCCTTTTGATATGTCAGAGAGCTCTCGCAATTGACAGCGCGATTGAGCTACACTCTTTGTAATACCGCAGATACCGCCTGAATACACGCCCTACTGTTCCAGAACTCTCACTGTAGCCGAGGGTACACTGGACGAGGATTCGAACGGCAACCTGCGTTGGCATGTCGGTAAGACCCGTAGGCGTTGCCCATTGCGCTGTTGTATCATGCATGCAGGGCTCATGAACCGAATGGCGGCGACGGAGGTCAGATATGGAAATGCTCGCTGGCTAACAAGTATCGCCTCAGGTGCACGACATCTTCGAGGAACTCGGTTGCGATAGCAGTATCCCGTCTTGGAGGAAATATAAAAGTCGAGTAAGACAAAGCGGACATAGCCAGACGCTGGCAAGGGCATCTCGAAGGCCATGGTGGTATGGTGCAGCCTGCCTCCATACTGTGACATGCTGCCATGGGCGGCGTACGCCCACATCGGTGTTGAAGTCCTTGACCTGCAAGGCTTCGCTTGTTCTATTGACTGGCATCCATTATTCCAGAACCCTTGTATCTCATTCGTGGCATACCGGTGGGAAGCGAACCGTGTGACGTGCTGATGGTGGGCGCCAACTGTCGCTTATGGCATAGCTGAAAGCATCTGTGCCGCTTCCCGACCTGATCAATGTTCTGCTGAAGTCCGGCCCGGTCCTTCGACCGTGCGTCCCGCTGGATTGCCGCCCATGCTGAGGTGGAAATAGCTTCCAAGGTTCATAGCCCTCCTGTTCCAAGTTTCTTGTTCCGAGTCTTTTGATGTACTCCACGCCAAGAGCGTCTTTATCATAGTAGGCATTGAAATTCGCATCCGGGTTCCACATAACCAACACAGATGGCGGTTCGGACGGCTTGATGCAGATGCAGGAGACACGGGCTGCGATATTAGCGCAAGCGCTGCCCTGTTTGAACAGAGGTTCATGCATGCAGATGTGGCGCCCAGTTTGCATCCCATTGGGCCGGGGAGCAGCATGGGACGCTTGTGGTGATTGACCGTTTTGCAACATCCGCGAAAACCACAGCTTTCCTATTGTCCAGTATCGCCTTCTTTGCATTCAAGAAGGCGATATTGGACACAAAAAGATGGGTTCTCATGTTAGCATGTGTCCTGTGTTGTCGCAACACTCTTTGGCCCTTGTTGACCCTCCTCAAAGCGCGGCATAATTTGATGCGAAGTCCACCTGAACCGCTATTGCTTGGATAGGGCTACGATCATTCCTGACGAAGCGGCTTCAATGCTGCAGACTTGAACCGCTCAGTTTCGGTTGGCTGATGCGAGCTGGTCCTGGCCTGCGCAGTCCACGGAGCTCAAAGAATCTGGCAAGCGCACGAAAATACCAGAAGGTAGGGGAACTAGGTAGGTAACAGCTCTACCACAGTAGAACTCGTACTTGGCACTGTATACTTTTCCGGCTGTACGCGGCAAGGGTCCCGCCGAAGCCTTTGTCCAACCTCGAGCGGACCTCGAGCGGAAGCAAACCTGGCTAGGCGCAATGCATGCTCTCCAAGGGAAAGGACTTCCTCGTCGTCAATATAGTTCCTCTCTATCCTCTTATGGTCCCTACTTTGAGGGGGGCGGACTCAGAGGCGCAACAGAACTCGGACAAAGCCAGCGTCCGGTTGGCTACCCATTAACGTGGATATGCGCGCAACCCGTGGCTATAAGCTGAATATCCTACCGTTATGGCGGGTTCCGCAGAGAAAAGCGAAGGAGGCAGCTGCAGTTGCCCATGTCCGAAGGGCTAGCGCTTAACGAAGAAGGCGTGCCACCTGGGAGGATATATAGTTCATTCACTTGAAGTGGCGGCATTCCGGCCGCGGCACCCACATGGAGGACCTCAGCCTATATTCCACAGTCGGAAAAGTAAACAAGAGCGGGATAAAACAGGCTGCGCCGCAGATTGGTGACCAGCTCTGCGGCAAAGCGAGAGCAAAATCCGCCGCTATAAGCAGTGAATGGTCGACCGCGTCTCCGCTGAAAGCCAAGTCTAGTTCATGTTTCCATTCCGTTCGGCCTTGGGGTGATGCGAGCGTCCACCAGATAAGGAGGGTTATCCTTCGCTGAGGGCTGTTTTCCAAGTTCTTTCACCAGCCTGGCCACCTGTTATTTCTCTTGTTTTCCCCTCATCCGGTCCAGGACTAGAATACGTGACCTACATATTGCATAGAGCTATCCGCCGCTCATGAGCCCTCGAGACCTACGTCAAAGCATAACCTCCTAAGGCGATACGGCTTTTGCTACGATGATACCACCCGCTCAACCACATCAGCCAGGACGCGTTGCCATGAGCGTGCGTGTTGGTCGTCGTCGATAATGGTCATCGGGTCCAAAAGGAGGCGAAGTCGGCCAAGACAAAGCGGCGCCCCTTCGCAACGGACACTACGATGTGCCCGCGCCGGGTCGAGAGTATGCTGGACGACTTGATGAGGCCCAGAGATAACATAATAGACTTGGTAACTCGATGACCTCCTGGGAAGACGAGAGGAGTGAGGAAGGGCCTTCTGGCGAATGACGATCCAGATACCAAGATTGCGGTTGTCAGCGAGGTCGCTGGTGGCACCCAGGACAACAGGACGCTGTTGGCTCCCCGACGGCCGCTCAGAGCCCCTCGATATAGCACAAACAGCTCCATTCTCATCAACGCTCCGCTATTTCGGCTTCCTGGCCACTCTTCCTACCCCGCCAGCTCCTTGCGGCGCTCGAAGTCGTTCTTGAGATAATCCACCGTCGGTGTTGCTCCACACACCGGTGATTCATATCGTCACTCATCGGAGTGAGGCGGCGCTTTCACCCAGGGTTCCATCAGAGCAGCGAGCCTGTGGCATAGGCCCTCCCCTATCAAGGCAGGCCTTGGTTCCGCCAGGCCAACTGGGTGACTCTTGACCGCTACTTTCCAGGGAGGCCATTCATAGCCTCGAGGAAAGCACCAGGCCAGCGAGACGAGCACATAATCCGTCAACAAACTCGCTATTCGTCGTTGAGTTGCACGCACCCCACGAAATATCGTCTCCACAGGAGAGTGGACCTGGCTCAGCCTCCTTCTCCCCACTCATTCTTCCCCGTGGATGACGCTTAAAGCTCTTGCCAGCGCTGCCCTCCCCTCTTTGGGATTCTGTCGTCGTACCATTTCGAATCAGTTCCTTCCCTAGCGCTGGGAACCAAACAAACAATAGCTCTTTAACCCCAAACATCGTTACGCATCCAGCCGGTCGAGTGCAAAGAGAGAGAGAGCGGACCTGACAACAAGGCTTTACCTTCGAACCGGTTCGCAAGTAGCGATGACACCACCAGGTATCAGTAGGAAACTGAAGTTGCCCCGTTTCAACAACATGGCAAGCGACACAGGCCTGCTCTCACCATACGGATATGGCGATGATGCCCGAAGTGCGGCCGCTGGGGCTCAGCGCTCCCGGTTTCCACAGGTGTCACAGGCGGCGACTTTTATGCCCCTACCCCACGGTCGAAGCGTGCATCCACCTCCACATACCCTCCTACAGCAGACGATTGACAGCACCAACAATGCACCGTCTCCAACGCCTGCCTATGTCAGAGGGACCTCATCCTCATGGCCCTACCATGACGCGAATGTCAACCAGGCTTGGCATCAACAGGTGCAGCACACCACTCATGGTCAGCCATACCGCTTCATGGAGCCTTTCAATCGACCTGCACATTTGCAGGACGTACAACCCAACAATGAGCATGAAGTCGGTCATTTGTCGGAGGCCTCGGGCAATCACCCATGTGTTTTATCCCCCTATCCACATCATGGAAGTCCGTGGGTGACATTTGAAGAACTTGGACAACAGACATATGCTCAACCATGGCTTAATGCAAGGGAAAGTCCCACACCCCACGCGGTCAATGGTTTGGATCCGGGAAACTCGTACGCCAATGCACATACGGTCTCGCCTTCAGTACCACAGAACAACATATCGGATGCTCCGTATGTCCTCAGTGGTTCTGGAACTCCTGTGCCAACGCCAGTGCAAGGCGGGAGCCCCGAGGCTCCGCCGCACCATACATTCCCAGGTTATGAAACTAGTCGCCACAGCCACTTGGTTGGAGGGGCTCCCGATGGTCGAACTCGTGCCAGTCCGGTTCAGCAGTCCATGTAGGTTTGGTCTCCATTTGGTACAGGTGTCCACGCTCACCGAACAACAGAATCTCTCCGCACCACCATAGCCGACGACCTGAACGACTTCATGCAAGTCTGCCATGGCCTTACCAAAGGTCGAGGTCATCAACAGATGCTTCATCTCCGGAAACACCGGCTGTCTTGGTGTGCGATTTGGGGAATTGCAAAGCCCAGTTCACCGGTGAATACCGCAGAGGCAACTTGGCTAGGCACAAGAGAATCCAGCATGGTGGCGCAGGAGGGATAAGAAAGATGTTCCCATGTGAAGAGCCAAATTGCACGAATGTGTACAAGCGAAAGGACGCCCGCTTGAAACATTATCGCAGAGGACATCCGGATCGCCAAGACGCCATAAAGCCTCAGGTCCGCCGGCGGAATGTGACGCCTCGAGACGAATAACATGCTTTCCATGGAGTTGTTGCCCAAAAGCGTCTTTCTGTACGCATGATCTTTGGAAACATGCCTTCGAATATGTCCCATCATCGCCTCAGCATTTATCCAGACATTTCGGGTTGTAGCATAATCGAGACAGGATCATGCGTCAAGGTTACACCACGTAGTCATCGAGTTCCTCTATTTCCATGTTTGTGTTTCTTGCCCCAAGATATCTCTTTGTCATGATGCTTCTTCCTGGCTAGCCATCTCTCCTTGTCTTTCCCGGAGCCGGACCGATCGGCGTCAGGTGCAAACTTTGCGATGTTTCCTCCTTCCAGACGTCTTAAGGGCGTTGAAGAGACCATGTTTCGATTGAGGTCGTCCTCATGGGGCTGTGCGGTAGCCGAGTCATGAGCAGAGGGGAGCGAGCTCTGGGCTTGCGGTCGTCTATCATCGTTTCGCGGCTTGGATGGATTGCGTATCCGATCTCGAAAGGTTTAGGTACGGTGCTCTGGCACGTTCGGTGAGGAGCGGGGAGAGCAGCACAGAGCCGCGGAGTGAGCGTCAGCGACGATTCAAAGCATCCCCCAAGGCACAGCCCGCTCATGATGAGCATCTTTCCGACTACAGGCAACCTTCATGGTCACCGGCGTCTGGCTTGGGAGAAGAGGCGATGATATCGTCAAAAGGTGGAAGTCGAAACAGAGTATGTTATGGCCTCGGGAGCTAGGGAGTAGTCAAAGCTTGGCTAGCTCCTTCGACGGCACAAGGAGATCAGATGAACGCGCACAGACGCCTCCGTTGGCAATAGGTGTCCTGACTCGATAAAGCGACGTTGTCTACGGTTGGTGCAAGCCTACCGATTGGCGTAGACACGGTTCTGCCCAACCGGAGGTTGTATCCCCGGGACCTGGCTCATCATTCCCACCAGATGCATACCTGTCTGATCCGCAGTCGTACTCATCGGGTCAAGCAAAACGGTACCTGCTCCTGGAAGCCTTCAAAGGCGGTGTTTATCGTCGTGAGAACAGTCTAGAACGTCTTACGCTGGTGGGGTTCTCGGTGTGACGATGCAGCCGGCCGACAACTACTACCATGTACATCTCTTTTTCCTTCATCCGAGAGGGGTTTGACTGCGTCAATGCGGTTTTGCATTCACCAGGGGCATGGAACGCATAGCGTTGTTTTCTCGGTTCAAGCCGAATTTCTCCTTTTGCTCTTTTGTCTGTCTTGTCCATTCAGTTCTTCCCGCGACCGCTAAGTATGATAACATCATCATATAAGATGCATCCAATGAGAGGATGACTCGGAATCCTTTCAGCATATTCCCACTGTTGTTCTCGAGTTTGCCTATCTTACTTTTATCTTCTGAGCTTCTTGTTTCAGTTTCTGGTTTCAGCCGGGCTGAATTCATAGTCTCTCAGCTATAAGACTTCTCGGCCAACCTAGATATGCCTTTTACTTCCTCCTGCTTATCAGTCATCAGATGACCGGCAGAGTCGGAGCAGTGCAGCTTACCGACATCACATGCTTCCTTGCAGCGGACACTTCAGCTATTCGACCATGAATCCAGGGCAAACCTCAGCATGAAAGCTTACGATTACGCCATCACTTTGGTACAGAGTCTTGGTCAGATTCCGTGTTGCACGCTTTATTCACAGCGTCCTGCTTATGAATACAATTCTTCTGCATGCGTGGCGACATAGTCATGATAATAGATTTGCCTTCAGCCATCCCTTATACCGAAAATCAACTACTCCGACTTCGTGATTGGCCCGTTCGCTTTTCCAACATGCAGATATTGCCACGCTGAGCTCACATCTCGGAGGTACGCGAGAAGACCTCAACACTTCACGGTTTAAGTCATGTCACCACATAGCTCAACATCCGACCCTTGACACATCCGTACTATATCATCGGAGGGACATAGTCGTGAAGTTCCCATAGTCCCAATGGCTCGGGCTAGCAGCATGCAGGGCTTGCATGGCATGCATGTTGATATGAGCCTACCGCTAGCTGTGCTTCCCCGCAGCGCCACTGAACGCCTTCATTGACAGCACCTCATGATATGCATTCTCGAAAGTGAGAAGCTGCCCAACCACTTTATGCCAACAGTGGTTCCGGGCCGTGAGAGACCTGGAAGACTTTATGGATGTTTGTGAGCAGGACTCAACTTGGGTTGAGTTTCGGCACCCCATTTTGTACGAGACCATGGCCATGACGTGCCTGTCTGAACACCACTCCGCCAACAGCTGAAACATCATCGGCGTCTTTATTCATACATCGAGGAGATACCTACTTTCCGACCACCGTCGCCATACTTGTGATCTCGACATCTGAGCTAAGTCTACCCAACAGCTGCGGGATTTCAGCCCCGAGATCCGCCATAGCGACGCATGAACAAGCCACACATATCTGAAGCATATGCAGGCCTTCCCAATACATGCGCAACCTACCCAACGCAAAGCTTATCTCGATGGTTCTCACTGAACTTCCGCATGTCCCCTTGCACAATCTAGTCGCAGCGGAACCCAAACTCCCAAGCCCTCTCTTCCGTTAAGGGAAGACTGCTAGAAGAAGCCCAATACACGCCCTGTTCTCCTCTCATTCTATCCCCTCTGAGCCTGCCACGGATGCTATCTATCCGTACCTGAAACGCATCAAAAGACATCTGCATCTTGACCATCATCTCAAGCATCAACTGTGTACCCCATGCAAACCTTCCATCCGTTCCCTCATTCGGCCAATAGTTTCACAACCCGCATCCGCGATACTAACCTTTCGCTTGCACCTGCATCTGCGTACGGTATGCACAGCCAACTGTTTCTGGAGCACCCCTGGCCCCTTGATCCCCCAGTTACTCAATCCTTAACTCCAATCTGCGAATTTGCTGCACTACTGCCATGAATTCCCATCAATCATAAAGAATTCGTGCTCACGCCGTCGATGGTAGCTAACCAGGACGCTTGACCACGCGTTCAGGTAGGACGATTGTACTCTTATCTGCGCAATGAATGAACTATTTCTCTCGATAAATTGGTATCTAACTTCTGTTTCTATTTGAAATCAAACAGTTCACTTCATATATCAATTATGGAGGAGCCATATTAAGCATCATAAGAACCCGTGGTAATCTTCTACTACCTCCTACGGGCACCTTATTTTGCAGAGCATCTCAATGCCTCCACATGTCGTTTGATCATAGTGCATTACCGTTCAGGCCTACAATCAGAACAGCAGTCATTTACAATCATCTCCAAAGTTCCCGTCCGAGAGCATGTATCTAAGAGGTGGTATATCACCATTTACGAGGTTTCACAACAGCAGCCCCCTCATTTGGACCTTGCAGCCTCCTCAACTACGCCCTGCCACCTCAGCACCATCTCCATCAAAAAGATATTCGTACTCCGTACCGTCACTTGTCAACAGCAACGAACATTGACCAGTCAACGCTTTTTCGCGCCTTTCGTCTCGAACCCGAAGCCACCGATGTTCTGCGACCTGAGACCCAAGGGCTGCCTCGTTGCAGGCGATGGCTGGTACGCTGGACCTGCATCAGTGCCCACAAACGCATTTGCACGCGTTCCTCCGAGAACAGGAAGTCGACTACGATGCTGACCCTGGAGGGGAGTTCCGGTTGCAGCGGATTCTGGATTTTGTGAGCATGTGTCACGATGGCATAGATCTGACGGCAGCGAGGCCAGGCATCAAAGTCACTTACGGCCAGTGAACGTCCTGCCGCCCAACCCGAAGCCCTGAGCTTGAGAGTTATTTCCCCCTCCAGGCCCAATACCAACACCAGGTACTCGACCGCCGCCAGAGCTACCGCTTCCATTCCTGTTATGGTATCTCTGGTGTCCTCCCTGGCGATTGTCTACGTTCGGCTGGCTGAAATTCCCTATCCCGCTCCGTGCTCCAGGAAGCCTCTCTACGAATCGATCAGGTCGAGCACTCTGCAGAGTATGATCTGCTTCGTCAACGGCAGCGGTAGCCACATGAGACGCCATGACTTGGGCTTTCAGGGTCTGGTAGAGCTTCTGCAGCTGCTGTTGTGCTCGACTCTTTTCGCGGAATGCCTCGATCAGCTCGTGGTTCTTGGCTTCAAGTGTAGCTTGCTCGGCTTGCATGGCTGTGCTCGGGCGTCAGACATTGCACATACAGTAGCCGTTCATCCCCACGTACTCTGCAACTTGTCCTGCAACATCTTGATCTGCGTGTTCGCGTCGTGTATAAGCTGGTCCATCTGCTGATTCAGCGTCGTATATTTGTCCGTCAAGCTCTTTGCAAGATGCTCTTGATACACAATCTCTTGCGAAGCCTGGTAGCTATAAAAGCTCAGGCCCCGACTCGCACACTCCATGATAATGGTCGGACTGAGTCCGCTCAGCACACTCGTTTTGTAGTCTTCGGAGGGGTTGAGACCGGCGACAACGACATCGTCGGGATTCGCAAGCAGAGTCTCGCATGCCGGGCAGTGACGCTTCGAACTTGGTGGTTGTGAGAGCCGCGTACTATCAGCGCAGTTGGTGCAGAAAACATGGCTGAAAGGTTCTTAGTGACGTATTGCAACGATCGATGGACCTACCTGCAGGTCGTTACTACCGCTTGATCATGCAGCTGCTGGCGGCATCTGAGGTTGTTGCAGCGCAGAACGAACTCCATCGTGGCAGAAGAAGAACTTCGGGGAGTGAGGTGGCAGGTGAAGGATGACGTTGAGTATGGAGAGTTGTTCCGTGTCCCTTGGGTAGTCCAGATGAGGAAAGGGCGACTGAGGCAACGACGGCCTTTCCAAGGTTGAGCGCACCGCTTTTCGACGAATAGTTCTCCGGAGCATACACGCTGTCTCTCCACGACTTCAACCTCTTGAGAACCATGCAGGGCAGTTTACCTAAACCACCAATTCACCTGCGCAAGCTCAGTCAGCGCAAGATCAATCCATCCCATGAATCACCACCTACCGATCCATTGACTCCTGAGCCCACCCCCCTTACCGAATGCCACCAACCCAGCGGGACATATAATCCGTCTCCACTCTGCAATTCGGCCTCCCACCCCTGGATCCCCTCCGCCCGTCCTTCCTTTCCCCAAACCGCCGTCTCAAGCCTCGCATTCTCATCTCCCACCATCATCTCCTCACCCCTCATATTCGCATGTCCACTGCCCGCCCGCACGCGCATATACAAGTCCCTCCCGGCGTTGGACTTCATCATCCTAACAATCTTCTTCCCCGCAAGCTGCACAAACAGGTTGGGATTAGGGTCTCTATGCAGCGGCGTCATGGTCGGAGGTTTCCCCATCCACAGACTCGAGCCGTACACATCCCCTTTCCCGATTTGAGAGACTAGGTCTGGCATTGGGAGATCTTTTTGTAGTTCGGCCGGGAGGTCTTCGAGGGGACATTGAGCGAGGTATAGGCGCGTCGATGGGTCGTATGAGCTGGTAATATGGGATATGAGCAGGGAGAGCGGCGTTTGGAGCCGTTCGAAGGAGGAGATGCGTGCATCCTCGCGAGCTGTGGTGTGCAAGCGGGTGAGTTCGAGTGGGACGAGGGTCGAGCCATAGGGCTCTAGGTAGGAGGCATTGAGCTCATGGAAACCAGACTCGCTAGAATGAGGTGTGAACCATTTGGATATAGCAGGTATGTCACCGAAGCGGTTGCGAAAGATTGCCGGTCTCAGCGGGTCAAAGCTCTGCGCTTTGCTGTCTGCGTGTTCAGCGATGGGGAGAAATGTGCGACTTTGTGTGGAGTGTAGACGGCGCCATGCAGAGGTAGCTGTCCTTGCGCGGAGACGCAGTGGCATTGCAAAGTGCAATTGGGTTAAGGGTTGTTAACTTATGAGCGCTGAAGCTCTCGAAGCTCTTGGACGCGTTCCCGAGCTCCTCGTGAAAACCTTCCGTCCCCGCTCGTGGGTCCTCGCACCTTTCAACAAGCAACCACACCTCCCACTCTCCTAAATGATAACATCAGCTCACCAATCTCTGCAATAATGGCCGCCAAAGCACCCCAAGGGAACCAAAGTACGTCCCCCCACTTCCAACCTCATGCACACCCTCGATTTCCATGAACCCCACTAACAATCCCCTCTCCAGTCGACCTCTCCACTCTCCCCCTGCCCCAACTCCAAGACCTCAAAACCCAACTCGACCGCGAACTCGAACACCTCACCACCTCGTTCCAATCCCTACGCACCGCGCAATCCAAATTCCGCGACTGCCTTACCTCCCTCTCGACCGGAGTCACGCCCGCCTCTCTCGAGAAGCCGCTCCTCGTGCCCCTCACGTCGTCCCTGTACGTCCCCGGCCGGCTCACCGACGCGGAGAACGTGCTCATTGATATCGGCACGGGATTCTTCGTGGAGAAGAATACGAAGGACGCGAAGGATTTCTATGAGAGGAAAGTCAAGGATTTGCAGGGGAGTTTGAAGGAGTTGGAGCTGGTGATTAATGGGAAGGCGGGGAATGTGAGGATGGTGGAAGAGGTCATTAGGGTGAGGGTGTTGAGTGCGCAGGGTGAGGGGCAGGAGGGGAAGGGAAAGAAGGCGGGATAAGAAGTTGAATGGCACTGAAGATGCTCTTGAGAGTGCTCTGCTTTGCAGGTTGCCGAAGCTCGAGAGGTGTGAGTGAGATATTGTGGTTTCAGGGTCTCATGGAGCGAGCATGCCACCGTAACAAGGACACATCACCACGATGGCAATATGAGGCACAGCAAAAGACCATGACAAGCTACACGGATGCAATAGCTTTCGAGCTGGGACACAATAAGAGGTTGGGACTTGCGCATCCAGGGTTCTCCTTCAATTGCACGCAGAGAGCACATGTTTGATCGTATATTTCAATTCTCTAGCTATGGATGCCATTTCTCCTTCAAGCAGCACATGACGTCCGAGATCTCATGACATCTGCCCTGTCCCAAGCTAGAGAATCGTTGGGAAATAAAACCCTGCCGTCATCCCTTGTTAGGTCCTACCAGTTGGTGCTGCCCCACAATCCGATTGCTGAAGAACAACGGTCTCAGTCGGACGTTAATCTTCTAAATCGACCAATTTCAGATTGGCAAGGCCATCTCCAAGCGTGCGGACATGCTGTGCTGGCTCCGGCGTGGCTGCCTTGATGATGCTCGACAGCTTCATCAACCTTTCGAAGAGAAGTTTGACTCCGTTCCCATGAGGGCTATCTCCGTCGCCCTTCTGCTGCTCCTTCGACGTCACTCCGTCCTCTGGGAAGAACAGCCTCACCAAATCCATCTTCCACTGTGCGGAACCACCTGGCTGGAGATTCTCTAGCTCCTGCAAATGAAGTGGCCACTCTATGTGGCGAACAGAAAGACCCCATAATGGCGTGCCTCGACTTGGGTACCACATGGCTGTGAACTCCACCCGATACCCAGTACCTGTTATGCCAAAGGTATAAACCTTGTCAAGGCGGCTATAGACAATCCGCGCACTTGGATTCGGCGTGTAAGAAGCGAATCTTTCTAGGCAATCCTGTCCAGTACGTTGGGGATGGAGTTTCACCCCTTGGGCGAACGTCTTCAAGACTGGTGATACGGTCGACTTGTGCATGACTTTCATGGATTCTAGCCCAAAGTGCCAAACCTTAGATCTGTGCTATGTTAGTTATAGCAACATCAGTAAGCGCTCCTACGTACTCAGCGAGCTCTATGAGATTGATGTCCATGTGCTCTGTAGGACTCAAGCTGCCTGCTTTCAGCTTGAAAAACTTCGGCTCCATCTTCTCGAAACCGCCGTCTTCGTCCTCGGTCCAGTCAACCTGTACCACAACACAGTTGCGAGTGGAAGGTAGGGGTGCACCTGCAGCACTAGCTCTAGGTAGAGGCCTTCCAGGATTGCGGGGTACTGGCATCATGTCCCTAGGGTTTGGCTGGTTGGGATCCTCTATAACGTATGTAGCTCTGAATCCTGGTCGTGTTTCCTGGAGAGAGGATGGAGCGACACCGAAGAAGCCGTCGCCAGTCTTCACAGGTTCTAGGGTATCATCATGGTCCATCAAAGATTGGAGAACCTGAACTCCGTTACTATGTTCAAAGAGCCTGCTTCTGTTAGCAGCGCGGGGTAAAGGAGAGGTCATCTTACCATTTCCTGGTCTGACAAGAAACCGTGCCCTCCATAAACCTCTTAAGGTCGGCCAGAGCCACTCCGTATCTAAGCACGCGGTCCTGGTTCCAACCTCCGCGAAGGGCCATACATCCTAATCGAATAGCGAAGTCGTATGACCCAGGTTCATAACGGATACTGCCTAGAGCTTCAAGGAGTTCATCCTCCACTTGCGTAAGCCGTACAGCATGTAATGGTCTGTTGCGGAATTCTCCGGCATCGTCCATCAGTGAGGTCACTAGTCGGGGAACAATTCCTGAGCTAGCTGGCCACCAGGTAGGTGGTGGCTGGAACACCACCTGCGTTCCTTCCTCCTCGTCTAATATCAGGTTTGTAGTCTCAGATTGCGAGAATTCCTTCTTCTCAATCTTAGCGACCAGGTTAAGGTAATGCTCCTTCGCAGCTTGAACGTTCGCCTCGGCGAAGCCCTGTATCTCGACCTGCCAGGGCGGATTTCCTTGGGGCAGGAGCGTGATAAAAACCTCGTCAGACTGGCGTATAACGTCAAGGTTCTCTAGCTTGTTTCCAAATGCATCCCTTGGGGTAATTGTGTTGCTCGCTTTCAGGAGCTTCTCTGGCCATGGAACAGTAACCTATGTAATAAGAGATTAGCACTTCGTTCAAGAGCGCAGCATTATGTTACCTTGCAGGGCAGATTCATCCCCTCTGGGACCGCGGACCTGAACATCTGCTTCCGATCTGCCTCCATGTCATTGATTTCATCATAATACCCCCGATTGACGTCGAATGCCGACAGCTTGTGCCAGCCTAGTGTTCCACCCCTCTTTGATTTTGCATACTCAACCCATTTGTTGACAGAGCGAGTGGCGGCATCTACTTGGCTGCCTGAGCCAAAGAGCTCGAACCGCTCCAGTTTACGATAACGGAAGACGGGGACGACTCCACAACCCGTCTCTTTTGTCCATTGGTCGCAATATTGCCGAACACTATGAGGGGTGATATCCGGGCGGTGCTCTGGCGGCAGGTAGATTATGCGGGTGGGTTTCCGCCCTGCATATTTGTCCTCTGTCGGACGCATCGTGCTCAGGAGGCTAGCTTAGACTGGAGAATATGTCGAGGATTGCTGTGTAAGTGTCTCTGAGGGAGAAGGAATAGAGTAATGACTATAAGTGAGAGTGCTTGAGAGAGAGTATGTATGTGAGAGCGTCGAGGAGAAAGAGGGAGCCGGGAGATGGAAGTGTTGAAGTAGGCGGGCGGCGGTGTGCTCGTGAGGAAATTGCGTCAGGCGGACAGTAAGAGCAAACGAAGCCGTCACCGCCAATGGAGACATCTGGAGTGCTCCTCCGGCATCGCGATCTCTCTTGAGGTTGACAAGCATCGTCTTCAGACTCGACGGCCTGGGAAAGTATGCAGTCAGACGATGCGTCGCAGGCGCTGCTCCTCTATAGGGATTGGACAGACGCCAAGATCAGATGGACATAAGGAACTGGGATAAGAGAGAAACCACAGAGATATGAACGGAGAGGAACTTGTTGACACCAGACCGTAGTTGATGAATAGGAGCAAAAGGGATTGCACGTAGCCAGTAGCAGGAAACTGGTGCCACTCCAAGTTGCCGTTATAAGACTGGGACGAGGAAGAAGAGCGTGATCAGAGTATCATTCAGATGCGGCTGCGATGTACTGGTGCTTTCGGTCCCGGAAACAGCACGGAATAATAAGATATAGATCTAGGGGAGGTCAATGATATACATGCATTCATTCCTGGTATGTGCTTTCAGGCGCCTCCATCTAGAAGCAAACTACGGTGGTTGGTGAACCCATCGCTGCAGTGAACATGGTTTGCCATTAGTGTCACTGAATCCGAGAATGGTGTTGATAGGAAGCGCATGCGAGTAAACGGGAGTCTCTGATGAGTAGTGCGGAGAGTTGAGATCTATGGACGGAAGGAGTCCGCGCACGGGCCACTCCAGAATTGCGACAACATTGAACATCCGCCAAACATCACCGAACCTCAGTTCGACGAAACGGCGCCAAACACTCTAGAAGCTCCAATTCGCTCCTCTCAACATCGGCGGATCTTTGTATTCATACCAGTATCCCGTTCTCTTCGCGTCCGGTCCTCACGGGCCATCCGTCACCATGGCATCCAATATCATGAACGCCGTCAAAATCCTCAAATTCGGCAAGAAGGAGATATACCTGTCCGGCCCCCTCCCCAACAACGTCAATTCTTCCTCTAACACAATCTGACAGACCCCGCTTCACCATCGCCCTAGTCCGCAGCCACAAACTCCCGCCCAACTTCGCAAAATTCAAAGTCCCGCTCAACTTCTCCAAATTCGATCTCCGTGACTACCTCTTCCACGCCTACAACGTGCGCGCCCTCTCCATTCGCTCGGCCGTACGACAAATGCCTGTGCGGCGCACGCCCGTATCAGACGACAATGATACCTTTTGGCGCCCCGAGGCGGAGAAGTATATGACGGTGGAGATGGAGAGGCCCTTTGTGTGGCCGGAGGAGCCGAAGGAGGTTAAGCCATGGGGCGAAGTCAATAAGAATACGAAGGAGAACCGGTTGTTTGACGAGATGGACGAGGAAACCTTGATTGAGGAGAGGGATGCGTGGAGGGAACAGGCGAGGAAGATAGTGGCCGGGAAGGCGGCGGGTTTGAAGGCGTGGGAGGAGCGGAGGACGGAGAAGTATATCACGGTGGATGAGCCAGGGTACAAGATCAGGATATAATGGCCCATGAGGTTAGAGGTGGACCGACAGTCTGCATTGGGCGTCAGAGGTGGGCGTTCAGTGCTTTTTCTGTTTCCTTGTAAGATATGTAACTCTGGGGAGGCGATAGATCTGTTGGGAATCGTTCTTGGTATCAAACATCGAACGCGATATTTAGAGGGAGTGCACCACATCCAGGTGCTCGTTTATATTCGAGTCTACTACTTTCTCCGCACATATCGGGCATTGAACAAGGTTACCCTCTACAGCAACGTTCTCCTCTAACTCCTCTTTGAGTCGTTTGGGATTTCCCTCTTCAAGGCTATCGACTATGATGATATCCGCCTTCCTCTTGAGACGGGGCGTTCCAAACGCTGACTTCTCCGTCGGCTGTCCGCTCTCGACCCCACGAACCTGTGACGGCGTGTTACCCTGCTTGATCCATGTGTCGAGCTTGTTCTTCTGCAATCCTGCCCTCTCTTTCTTGCTCAGCGCATTTCGTTGTTTCTTCGTGAGTTCCGGTTCCTGAATTTTTGTAAATGTTCCCCCACACTCCGCCTCATGACTCGCCCACCAACTGTCGCTCTTCGCTGGCGCGCGGTTCATGCTTCTCTTGACCAGGCCAAAGTAAGGTGGACGGTGCCTGCAAGGACCGTCACATTGCCAAACATGCGTCCGGTAACTGTCCACTTCATCATGGAACGTGTGATATACGGTCACCTCGTAGTTCCCATGGTTGTTGACTGCATCAGCTAGCAACAAGAAACCCGCCCCGTGGCCAGTCCCGTCGTCTCCGCGGGAGTGTTGCCATGAAGTTGTCACGAAGAAATAGGCATGGATTGCCTCGTGAAGTAGGGTGTTGATGGTGTCGGTACGCGGTCGGTACTGGAGGAGGGGCGTAGACAACTTGAGACGAATGCGTGTATACTTCCCAGTGGCAGGATCCCTCGAGAGCTCACATATTCCGGCACAGCTACCGCCGCCTGTCAGCACCATGCTTCGGTCTTTGTTGCCCCATAGATGAGTTGGGAGGCTTTGTGCTTACAGTGTCAGTCGCGGCGACCATAGCACCTCGACGCGGCTGGAAAGAAGGCCCCGGAAGTACAGCACATCATAGTGCCGGAACAGTTCGTGGACATCAACAAAAGGTTCCCCGTCTTGCAAAATGGTGTTGATTGATTGCAAGGCGGACTGCTGCTCATTAGAGAGGGCTTCAAGTGTCGCTACGGCCTGTAGAGCCGCGTCCTCGTCGGTGACGGGCATAGCAACCGTCGAGGGTCTCCAGGCAAGGCATCCCTCGTCGCCGCAAGCAAGGTGAGTTTAGACTGGTGGTGCAAGCTTGCAGACCTCCGCTGGCGGAGTTGAATGCGCCACGCTTCAGCCACAGTTGGCAGGGATGCGTGCTGTTCCGAATCGCTTGGCCCACGTCCGACAACAGGGCAAACGCGACCACGCCCGAGCCTCTCCCTTGCTGCCATCCCCCAGCTGCTCTACGCCAGACACCCGCCGTTTCTGCTCTCATTTCGCCCTTTGACAAACTACGATATTCCACAGCCACCCCGGGCAGCTCTGGATTCCTGAAAAACTCGCAGAGAAAGCGATCTGCCACAGCTACTGCCCATGACGCAGCGTGTCCCACATGTGCAGCCCCTCCCTGTTGACAACAGGAGATTGCCGACAGGAAACCATCGCTCGCCATAACACTATCCCTGAGTCTTGCAGCTGCATTTTACCGCGCCGGACATGGCGGCCGCCGAATCCTCCATGTCTGGCCCCGTTGATCTCGTGCGCAGCGCATCCCATGCCTCAACGGCCTCCAACAGCAGGAAGAGCAGCACAACTCGCGTGCGTCCGTCGAAACGTAGCTCTACAGCTTCGCTCGCGCGTGCGCCTTCGCCGGCGGCCGATACGAAAAGCTTGACCTCCTTTCCCTCTCTCTCCCCGAGTCCAGATCCCTCGCCGGTGCAAACGCGATTGAATGGCTGGCTCCGCAACGCCCTTGCACCTGGAGATGTTGGGAGTAAGAATAGAGACATCCAGTCTGCGGCTTCGCCGGATACAGTGAAGGCAGCTCCTCTGCCAGAAGCTCAGAAGAATGGAGCTGTGGACAAGACAGTCAGGAAGATCACAAAGTCCACACAAGAGCTTGTGGGCAGTTTGGTATCAGCAACACCCACGAGAGAGCGCACATCTTTGTTCGATGATACCCCTCCCCAGATGGACAAGGTTCCCGGAAACCTCCACTGTTTGAGCGAGAAGCACATCACCGAACTGGTCGAACGCGCAGGTGCCGTCAATTTGGTCAAACAACTTGCTGGGGATCTGGCACAGCGGGATGCGCAGATCACAGCATTGAGGAGGCGGGCAGAGGAAAGAGAAAGGATTTTGAGGAAGATGCTGCAGGAATGTGAAGTCTCCACCATGGACATCGAAACCCGACTACGGGAGTTGGACGTTAGTAGAGACCAGCAGAAAGGCGGTGATGCCGATTTATTGAAATCGAAAAAGCGAGGGAGCGAATACAATCTCCCCGGTATGCACCCTGAGGACCCCATCGATCAACGATTGGCCCTTGCGATGGAAGACCAGGTCTCCGTGTTGCCTGATGGGTCGCGGATTAACAATGCCTGTGCCCAGCAATCATCCAGCACGCGGCAGGATAGCAACCACAGTACGTGGAGGAATTATCTGTGGAATGGGACTAGTAGGAAGAGCAGCAGGGCGCCTTCTCTTGCAAGCGGTGTTGGGGATGCGCCGTCCAGAGATTCGAGCGGTACCAGACAACCCCGGAAACCCCTCGGTAACGATACATTCCTGCCGCCTTCTTCAACGGATGGAGCATCTGGTGCAATTCCTACGCTTCGCCGGCTTCAAAGTGAGGATCAGATCCACTCTTCCTCCTCTTCACGAAGATCCTCTACATCAATAACTTCTTGGGCTTTGAAGATGGTAGCTGGAAACATACATGCAAGCCGCAACGCAGACAAGGGAACCGCGGTTAGGGGCCGCGATCGCAGTGGCTCCAATGCTGCTCAACGTGCTGCGTCTAAAGACTCCACCCGCACGGCGCAATCGGTAGGTTCCGCATCAAACCTTGCCCAACGGCGAGCCGGACGCACCTCGCTGGGCCCGAATGGAACAATCAAGAATATTACTAGCGATGCGTCAAAAAGCGCCTCTGGTGTGCCCGGTCAACCAACTCGTGGACTCAGCAATCTGGGCCCCGTGGAGATGGATAGGATCTTACCGGAAGAGTCCCGGCCTCCCACGCTTGTGCAACATCACAACCACTTTGCTGCGAGCCACGAGTACCTAACCGACAGATTTGGGTTCATATATGACCAGAGGCGGAAGCAAAGACAGAGCGAAGCTGCAGCTGCGCTTTCAAAACACAAAACCAGCGGCCATTCTGAATCTTTGAGCAATGGTCGACCGATGTTGCACCAGGTGGGCCACAGTGATGACTCCAATGAAAACGCGAAACCAGTTCCTTCGGACACTGGTCTCCTCTCCAATCCGACCTCCAGACCGGGCAGCAGGAGCTCCGGTGAACAGGCTTCCGGGCCGTCAGCAAAGACCTGGCAGGATTACCTCAAGCTGGCAACTCATCCCACGGAGCTGCTTTCTCATACCCCATCTACTGCTCCCATTATGGAGACAGAACCAGAACCCACGGCGACCAAGGTCAGCCAAGTAACCGTTGCTAAGCGTGGCTCTCTGCCTTCCTCGAGCGTCAATCCCGAACCTTCACCCTCAAGGATTGTCTCAGGGAATGCTGAGTTCATTACTGCTTCCCCCTCCGGAGCAGCCAGTCCCATTAGCCCTCTCTCCCCGCAGGCGGATCCTGTCAAAGCACTCCTTGAGCAGCTCACCGAACTCCACGACTCGCTGCAGAGAGAGAAGACGGTCAAGTGGAATGAGTTTCTCCGGAAGGTGCGGGCGGAGCGCAAGCGTGAGGGGGAGGCAGTCACTGCGGCAGAAGGCATAAGGCACATTACAATGCCGGAGGCTCATCTTGCCGACGGTGAGATCATCGGGATTGCGGGTCTTGGTAACAAGGGCAAGGTTGGACGTGCGAAATGGCAGGAGTTCCGGCGCCTTGTCCTTGGCGGCATTCCCGTGGCCTACAGAGCGAAGATCTGGGCCGAGTGCAGTGGAGCATCTGCTCTACGTATACCCGGCTATTACGACGACCTGGTTAGGAACGGTGTCGACAATGACAACATCGTGGCTCAGATTCAGATGGATATCAACCGGACCCTCACGGACAACATATTCTTCCGCAAAGGGCCGGGTGTGCACAAGCTAAACGAAGTTCTGCTCGCATACTCTCGGCGAAACCCCGAAGTCGGATACTGTCAAGGCATGAACCTCATCACTGCGTGTCTTCTGCTCATCATGCCGACAGCAGAAGACGCCTTCTGGGTCCTTGCTACCATGATCGAAAATATTCTCCCTCCGAAATACTACGACCAACACCTCCTGACCTCACGAGCCGACCAGACCGTGCTCCGAGAATACGTCGTCGAGCTGCTCCCCAAGCTATCCGCCCACCTCGACCTGCTGGAGATCGAACTTGAGGCTCTCACCTTCCAATGGTTCCTTTCCGTTTTTACCGACTGCCTCTCCGCCGAGGCGTTGTTCCGCGTCTGGGATGTCGTCCTGTGCATGCACGACGGCTCAACCTTCCTCTTCCAGGTTGCTCTGGCGCTGCTGAAGCTTAACGAGAAAGCGCTGCTGCAATGCGATACCCCGGCTGGCGTCTACCACTACATCAATCATCAAATGACGAACCATGCTATCAGCATTGATAGTCTGATCCAAGCGTCGGATGCGCTGAGCAAAGTTGTCAAGCGTAAGGATGTGGAAGAAAGGCGAGAGCGCGCTGTAGCGCGTGAACAGGAACTTATCAAGCAGCGTGAAGAAGCGCGGAAGATGAGGGCGAAGAAGAGGGCGGAGCAGACAACCGGAGAATCTGAGCAGCAGCAGCGAAACGATGATTCGGGCGAAAGGCGCAGGGATGGTGAGGGTGCGTCGCTTTCGGCGAGTTTGGATGCGGGCTTGTCACGCAGAATCAGCCCTATGACGACCCCAACGAGCTTAAACAGTTTCGCTAGCGAAGAGGAGGAGGCAGAGAGGTTGTTGCGCGGGTTGGGTGATCGAACGCCAATGCCGATCGAAGAGGAAAGTCTCTGGAGAGGCTAGTATTGGGTTATGGTAGGTATGTGAGAGGGTACAGTGAGGATGCATTGGTTCGGATTTGATACCCAGACATTGTACTTTTTTGCTTTCTGACCTTCTAGAGGTAGACTGCCTTCCCTTAGGGGACTTTTCCTTTGTTCTTGCATCAGCGGCGCTCCGAGTAGATAGCATAGCATACCCCAGACTCCAAATTCCCATTTTGTTTGACGAGTTCAAAGGGGCTACAAGATTGAGCTCGACTGATGTGCCTCCAGATAATCAACTCTCCTCTCCTCCAGGTCGCCGTCGGGCAAGAGGTAGGACTCTCTGCGTCACACTGCGGCATACTGCAACGGTATGAGAGTGAGGACAACCAATGTGATAGCAAAGCTTGATAATCCAAAGGCGTTGCTTCGGCCGAAACACCAGACATGAGCTGAAGAGAGTATTATCCTGCAACTACTGGCATCAGGTCTTCCCGATCCTCCAGCACGTCCAGAAGCTCCTGGAAATGATTCGGAGATCTACCGACGCTATCCCGTGTGGGGAGAAGCTGACATAATAGATGGAGCAGGGGGAAGCGTGCAATCCTCAAGCTCCTCTCCACGTGGAATGGGGCCGGGCAACCCTTTGCAGCTAGCCTGCCGAGCCCTGAATGCCGCCTCAAAACCCCGCACCCTCCCAAGGTTCACGGCAGCGTCTCTCGGGCTATCTCGCTGCGTCGTTGCGTCTTACTCTGACCCGAAATGGGTGCCGACCATGTCTTCGGCTGCCAAACAAGGGTCTTTTGAATCTTGACGTTGTGGCCCAAGACTCCGCGTGCTCCCTTCAATTCCGCATCAAAGGATGGACCTCTTGTTAGTATTAAAGTAGTTTGGACTCCCGCAAGCCCGGGAGGGCATCTGTTTCTACTACTGACGTCTTCTTATTTTCTTCCGCTGAGCTTCGAGCTTCTTCTACCCCCTCTGCTCAGATATCCTTCCCGTAGTCCCTTCCCTTTCCTTCCAGTCTTCTCTGATCTTTCTCATTGTCAATTCACCTCCTGGGGCGTCTCGCACGGGGTCCTCTTCGTGCGTTCCATCCTCCATAGACAATCACACACAGGAAAATGGAGGACAAGTACGACATCGTAATAATAGGCGCCGGCCCCGTGGGCCTGATGCTCTCCACCTGCCTCGCCCGCTGGGGCTACCGAATAAAGCACATTGACAACCGACCTGAACCCACTCCCACCGGCCGCGCCGACGGCATCCAACCGCGCTCCCTCGACCTGCTCCGCAACATGGGCCTGAAGCGGAAAATCATGGCGCACGACCCCGCAAAAGTATACGAGGTCGCCTTCTGGGATCCCAATTCCAAGGGCATCCACAGGACAGGCACATGGGCTTCGTGCCCCAAATTCATCGACGCCAGATACCCCTTCACTACGCTCTTGCACCAGGGCCTTATCGAGCGCGTCTTCATCGAGGACCTCGAGAAACACGGCGTACAGGTTCAGCGGCCGTGGACAATTACGGGGTTCAAGAACGATGGCAAGGATCCCAGCTACCCGGTTGAGGTACGCTTGGCGCACGTGGATGGCACGCTATGCGAGACGGTGAGGGCGAAGTATCTGTTCAGCGGCGAGGGGGCGAGGAGTTTTGTGAGGGATCAGCTAGGCATCAAGATCAGGCACAAGGACCCCATTGCGCACGTCTGGGGGGTCATGGACGGGGTGGTGCGGACGGATTTTCCAGACATCAAGGTGTGCAGATGACCATTCACTTCCAAAAAGTCTCGGAATTGACAGATTCCCAGATGAAATGCACCATCCACTCCGACGCCGGCTCCATCATGGTCATCCCCCGCGAGAACAACATGGTCCGCTTATACATCCAAATCGCCTCATCAACAGACCCCGACTGGCACCCGCGCAGGACGGCCACGGCAGAAGAAGTGCAGCGCCGCGCCCAGGCCATCCTAAAGCCCTACTCCATCACCTGGGACCGCGTGGAATGGTACTCGGTCTATCCGATCGGCCAGGGCATCGCGGAGCGCTACACGCTCGACGAGCGCATCTTCATGGGCGGCGACGTCTGCCATACGCACTCGCCGAAAGCAGGCCAGGGGATGAACACGGCCTTCCTAGACGCAGTCAACCTCGCCTGGAAAATCCACCACGTAGAAGCCGGCTTCGCGCCGCGCAGCCTCCTGTCGACGTACGAATCCGAGCGCAAACTCATCGCCGAAAACCTCCTCGCCTTCGACGCCAAATACGCCAAACTCTTCTCCTCGCGGCTCCCCTCGGCGGGCGAGGTGGCCGATGCGTCGCAGCAGGGCCAGGGCCAGCACCAGCAGCAGGAGGAGAACGAATTCGTCAAGACTTTCAAGGCCAGCTGCGAATTCACCTCGGGCTACGGCGTCGCGTACCAGCCCAACGCCATCAACTGGTCCGCCTCGCACGCCGCCCAACACCCGCTCTTCCTCTCCGTAGACAAGGGAACCACGACCCAGCGGCCGGGCCGCATCATGACGCCCGCGACCGTCACGCGCGTCGTCGACGCCAACGTGGTGCACCTCGAGCAGGAGATCCCCCTCAACGGCTCCTACCGCATGTACATCTTCGCGGGGCAACCCGAACGCACGCGCACCGCGCTCCGGGACCTCGCGGCCGCCCTCTCGAACCCCAAGAGCTTCTACCACGCCTTCCGCTACTCGGGCGCGCTCGCCCAAAAGGATAGGTACCACGAACCGCATAACCCGCACTCGGCCTTCATCTCGGTGTGCACCGTCTTCCATGCTCCCCGCGCGCAGATCGAAATCGCCACGCTCCTGCCGGATTTGTTGGCGGCGTACAAGGATCACGTCTACGCGGACGATGTGTGGGATGCGCGTGTGCCTGAGGCGAAGGCCGCGGCGCATGCGAAGATGGGGCTGTGCGAGGAGAGGGGTGGGGTTGTGGTTGTGAGGCCTGATGGGTATGTGGGTTGTGTGGTTGGGTTGAGGGAGGGAGGGGGTACAGCCGAGGCGTTGGAGAGGTATTTTGGGGTGGTGACGGGGAGGGAGGTGAGTAAAGGGGAGAGGGCTGTGTTGTAGGGGGAATAGGGAGGGAGGTGAGATATAGAGAGGGGTATAGAGAGGGGGACGGGGAGGGTTGTGTTTGCTATGTACATACAAAGAGGCGCAGATGGGGTAGATGGGGTAGATTGGGGATTATCATGAGGCAGCTCTGGAGTCGGGCAGGCCATCATCATCTTGTATTTATTCAGTTCGGCCTTGACATTTTTATATTATGAGGGTGGCTCATAATGATTTAGCACGCTGCACCCATGAATTATATATGCATTTCGTACTTCACACTTCACCTCTCCAGCCTGCAATTGGTTGGTTGGTTGGTTGGTTGATATTAACGTCTTCTGTTCGATTACTATGTTGACGGATCCGTCGACGCCAAAACCTTCGACCATTGCGTCGCCCACGGGCCATTACGGTCATCTTCCTGTCCTACAAACGCGAATTTGGACCGTAGGAAGCACCCAACCAATCACTTCGGGGGGGCCAAATGGAACCCAACGAGACTGGCACCTTCCACCATCACACGCTCGCACGCTCCGACCAGAGAAAGCCTTCATGAGTCAAGCCGACCAGTCAAGCCGACCAGTCACATCGACTCGTCATAATGTGGAACCTCACACAGAGTCAATACACAGAGTCAATACACAGAAGAGTCATCACGTTGCATGGGACTCATCGACATTCAAAAAAAATACAAAATATATAATAAGCATAGTCTGCGAGCCCTTCAGAGAGAAGACGGCCGCCAGTGTCAGGAAAGATCCTATAAAGACAGGAACCCTACATCATCCATTACCAAACTCAAATCGCATCGCTAACAGTCCGTTACCAGGAGGAGTCAATCAACCCAAAGGGAGACTACGCTCCGGCCGGGAGAAGAAAAAGCAAAGAAAATGGTCCCTTTAACAACCTGCACCCAATAGTGGGTGAGGTGAGAGGCAACCGAATCAGGAGGAGAGGATAACAAGAAATCAGTGCTTTTTGAGGCATGGCGAAAGTTTCCCTTCACCAGCTCCGGTGCAACATTCAACAAGCAGGAGCGCAAATCGATATCATTCCGTGTCCGTGTATCCCAACGACAAAGCGATCGTCTTCCACTTGTCGCGTTCCGATGTCAGTTCCGAGATTTGCCGTTCCAGGTTCTGGACGTGGTCGTGCTTCCGCTGCCTGGATTCACGAGCAGCAAGCGTATTGCGAGCTCGCTTCAAGGCCACGGGGTCGTTGGGGTCCACCTTGATTGGTGGGAGCGGGCCCTCGCGACGACGACGAGACTTATTCACGGATCCAGGAACAGGGGATCCGTTGACAGACGACTTCCTCCTGTGGAGTGGATTGTCCAGGATGACGTGAGAGTCGGATGAGCTGGTCCTAGCCATGGATTCCGAACTCTCAGTTCGCTCTAGCTCCGGGGTAGCGGCAGGTGGGGAAGGCCTCGCTGGCTGGATCAGTTCCTGCTCAGGGAACAGGGAGTACCAGTCGTTCTGCGTCGGTACAGACTCGCTCTGGAACATGGGAGAGGTGGTGTAAGAGTCTGTGTAGAACAACGGCGACTCGTTCATGTCAGGGGTCGTGATATTGGTCATGGCCGTCGACGGAGGGGCCGACCCTAGCGAATCCCCGAAGATTTCCTGTGGAGAAACGGTTTGCATCGTCTCCGAGGAGAATGAACGGCTGCTGAAAGTCGTGTAAGGCGACGCCGTCATGTCGGTTGACAAGTCGCTGCGGAAGGCGGGCCCAAGGCCAACGCCCATGTTGGAGTCGAACGAGTTGTTGCTATGCAGATCTAGGGATCTGGTCAGCCTCTGCTCTCGAACCGCGCCGTGGGGGCGGAGAGCGTCATTACCTGCCATGGTGCGGGGATTTCGCAGTCCCTGAACGTTGAGCTGCGGCACTTGTGGGATGTTGGAACTGGGGAATAGAGGAACCGGTGGTCGAACCCGAGGAAGGTTTGTTGTAGACGAAGGGGCCGAGTTGGGCCAACCAAGGGGGATTTTAAACGTAGGCTGACTGTGAGGAGCGCTCGGTGCACGAAGCGGTCGCTGGGAGGCCGGCTGCGACTGATCGAAGAGGACGAAGTCCGACTGAGGCGGGACGAATGCGTTGTTGAGTTGCTGAGCTTGCCGTGAGGCTGCTGGGGCTGGTGAAGGGAGCCATGGTTGCTGATGAGAAGCCGTGGTGAGCGACGTAAAGTCGTTCGTGGAAGTTGGATTTGGGGGAGAACTAGAGCTGCGCGAGGCTGGGCTATAGTTCAGAGATTCCGCGAGGGAGGACTCTGAGGGTGGATGGGACAGATGGGGGTAGGTTGTTGGGTGGAGATCCAGAGTGTCGGCGGGAGGTCGACAGGGTGAAGGGGGGAAGTCTAGAAGACAGCCATATTGTTGGATGTCTTGTCTTGTGTCGTTGATAGTTTTTGCGAGGTGGATGAAAAGAAAGGATCAGGCAGCGACGGATGTGCCGGCCTTAAGAAGCACTCGCGACTTTAGCCGCACGTGCGTGCACTAGTCGAGCTTGGCACGTGAAATGCGCCCTTTCCAATGCCATTGGCCGCACACACCCTGCCTAGCCTCTTTTTTGGACCTGCGGGACCACACGCCCTGCCGGCGACAGGGTTGGGATGACTCACAAAACTCAACGGAGAGAGAGGAGATGGCTCTTCAAAAGGCTCGTTGAAGTCGCTGGAGGGAGCACTTGGAAGAGAAGGAGCGGATGACAATACACAGCACGGAGGAGAGCATCATTATCTTTCTCTCGATACCACATCTCTCAGACTGGTTACGACCACAGTACTCCGTACTGTGTACAATATCCAGCGTTTCCACAAAACTCCACTCTCCTGCCTCAAGGGCGCAGGCAGTTCTGAGTTCACATCAGACTGCGCATCCCGGCCCGGCTGTGCGCGCCAGCTGATATTGACACTGTCCCTAACACGAGGCATGAAGGCTGTGCATTCTGATCCTGATCCTGATCATCGACATCCTCCGCCCTTTTTCTGCCAACCTCGTCAAGGTTCCCCCCCCCCAAAACCCCACCCCTCCCCCCGATGCCTGACGAGCAAAGGGCGCGTCCTGGGAATTCAGGAGCGGTGAGCTTTCCAAGGTTGCAGGCGGGGACATGGTCCCAATTGCGCTAGGCCGCTTTTGGTGCTGGCAATCCACCTGGGCACACGGCCTCGGAGTGTGTGGGTTCCAATAAATTTCTCTCAGCAATCTGGAATCCGGTCCCTTTGTCGCGGAGAGGCACGTCTCTCCGGCCCGTCACAGGGTCGTGTGACGTCCTCTTCTGTTCTTCTTTGTCGTCCAGCAACTCTGCGGTTCGGAACAAACCTGATTTGCCATGAGAGATCGGAGAACCGAATGCTCCGTCCGCGTTTCAGAGACTCCGACATTGCATATGGAGATGCGACAGTGAGTCATCTCACAGTGTCCATGGATTCCTCGCTTCCGCATGCCTTTCCCTTCTCGCTCATCCGAAGTGGATGTGCCTGTGCCCAACTGTACGCCTATGGGCGCAGTCCTCAGAACTCCAAGCGAAGCTGGAGTGGGGGGGCCGTGTTGAGCACTTGGGATCGACTCAGGGGAGGTGGGATGAAGTCGCTTTTTGTTGCCAAGTGAGGTTTCTCTGCGATTGGGATTGCCTGTCTGCTTCCTTCGACGTGTGTTGCTCTGGTGGTACTGTGTAAATTCCTGGCTTCCTAGACTTTCGTGAACCACATCCTGAATGGTATCCGAAATCTCCACACCCTCTCACTCCCATTGCAAGTTCTCAATCATGACCCGTACATGCTTGATCAACTTCTGACACAGCGGCTCCCCGGCGTGATCGCAATGCCGCCCACCGTACATACTCTCCCTCTCCTCCTGCAACCTGTCACTCGTATGTATCGTTTGTTGCCTCTGCTCAAACTGCTCCAAAAGCGCCGAGAAGGGGAGAGGGTTGCTGCCTCCCCCTTCCACCTCGGTCCTGATGACTTTCTTCGCCAGTGACTTCCACTCCTTCGCATCCACCAGGATATGGAAGCCCAACGGGCAATCCGGCGTCCCAGTGTGGAGATGCTGCACGAGCGGGTTGCTGTCGCCGACCCGGAATGACTTCTTCTCTCCTCTCTGCTCTAGCGCTTCTGCCTCGTCGTCAATGGCTTTGAGGATCCTGTGGAAGCGTTCTGCGATGGCGGAGAGCAGCGTGGTGACTGCGTATGTGCTTTGAAGCAGGGTAAACATCTTTGTCGGACATTGCTGGCATTGCAGCATGGAGAATGCGGCTTGCATGGCGCGTCGCTGTGGTGGGATGACGGCCGGGAAGGCGAAGCTGGTCATGTTCTGCAGGTCCGTCATGGTGAGGTACATGACTGAGAGGCAGGTGGTGCATGGCTGGTCTGGTTGGACGGGAGAGAGGTCGGATGGATTGAGTTGGGGATTCCAGAGTAGGGGGTCTATTGTAGGATTCAATTCGAAACTATATGCATTGAGTGAATGAGCGTTAGGTTTAAGGTGTAGGTGGTACTCACTTTGTTAGAGACTCAGGGGTAAGGTTGGCAAGATTTTGATTAGACGCTGTTGCACTGGGGATTCCATGAGCACTATCCAAGCCCGTGCTACTCGGTATGTTGATGAGTTCGGAGGAGTAGGGTAGCCCAGAGTCAGTTAATACAGGAGCTATGTTCTCGTCCAAACGCGATGAGAAAAGATCCAGAAGATCACTGCTCGATTGATCGGTACCACCTGTATCAGCTTCCTCCCGCCGTCTCTTTCTAGGTCTACCCATCTGCTTCTGCGGTGAGTAGACGCAGTGTATTCCTTCCCTCTGGCAGCGACTGCATGGGAATTCTCGACTGCACTTGAGTTTGCGGGTGCCTGCAACGTCTTAGCTGCAGTGCTCCTCATGACTTAACCGACGCATGGTAACGCACGACACTCATCGCATGCCGCATGCAGCTTCTCGCCGCCATTTTGGATTTGTGCCATCACGACCATGAAGCATAGGACGCTTTACGTAAGCCTAGAGTTGCAGTTGAGATTGAATTCGAAGAGAGTTCTGAGCGTCTTTGGGTTCAGGCAGAGACAAAGTAGCAAGGCAGATATCACACCCTCACTGGATTTCCGATGCCAACCTGGGAGCTGCGCACAAAAGAGAAGATAACTACTGGTCATTCATGGGCAGTCAGATCCATGGATGGATCTATCTTACCGTGACTAATCGCGTAATGCACGGCCTCGCGTAATGCACGGCCAAGCCTTTCTACACACGAATTTCAACACCCTTTATCTCCACTAATATGGGGGCTATCGAGGACACGCTAGCAGTGCTAGAAGCGCAAAAAGATAGAGGAAAGATCAATTTAACTCAAACTGCGGAAAAATTTGGTGTTCAATGCTCGACGCTGTCGAGGTGTTGGTGAGGAATAACCTACCCCCATGCAGAGAAACACCAAAATCAGCAACATCTCATGCCTGTTCAAGAACACGAGCTTATCCGATATATTGATCAGCTACCTGAGCGAGGTCTACCACCGACTAGGTCCATGATTCATAATTTCATGGCTGAAATCGCCCAAAAGCCTGTTGGAAAGTGCTGGATGGATCACTTTATTAAATAGCATCAATTTGACCTGGTATCCAAGTACGTTGAGGATATAGATATAGCCCGAAAATGGGCTAAATCTGCCTTCAAATACTCATTATATTTCAAGCTTTTGGAGGCCAAGATTGAACAATACAAGATTCAACCATTCCTTATCTACAACATGGATAAGAAGGGTTTTCTTATTGGTATACTATCAAAAATGAAGAGGATCTTCTCTAAAGCCCAATTTGAGAAGGGTAAGATCCGCCAGTTTATCCAGGATAGCAACCAAGAGTGGATAACCAGTATTGTCTGTATCTGTGTAGATGGGATCTTCCTACCACTAGCTCTCATCTATCAGGTAATCTCAGGTAATATCCAGGATACATGGTTACAAGATTTTGATCCTTCAATCCATCAAGTCTTCTTTACCTCATCTCCAAATGGCTGGATGAACGATAAGATAGGCCTCCAATGGATCAAACTCTTCAATAAGTTCACTCAATCCAAAGCCAGGAACACTTATCGGCTGCTCCTGCTCGACAGCCATGGATCCCACCTTACAATGAGCTTCATTGACTACTGCAATAACAACAAGATCCTCCTATGCCTCTATCCTCCTCATTCCACTTATTCCTTACAACCTCTCGATATCTGCTGCTTCCAACCTCTATCTGCTACCTATAGCCAAGAACTAGCCGAATTACTCTATCAATCACAAGGCCTCATGGCTATAACTAAGCGTGACTTTTTCCGCTTATTCAATAGGGCCTGGCAGAAGATGTTTATATCAAATCTTATCACCTTAGCCTTTAAGAGTACTGGGATTGAGCCTTTTAATCCATCCATAATCCTTGATAAGTTCAATACCAAGCAGCCAGATAGGCTATCTAGCTCAGAATCCTCGACCTCAGTACTCAGTGCTAGCAATTGGAAGAAGATCAGAGCACTTCTTGAGGAAGTCATCGACAATATAGATATCAGATAGTAAGCCAGTTTATGGACATCTCATCTGGGACTGGAGAGGAGGACTGAGAGAAGGTGTCTGTACTGGTACTGTTGTCAGATGGTAAGCTAGTTTATGGACATCCCATCTGGGACTGAAGAGGAGGACTGGAAGAAACTGTCTGTACCGGTACTGTCTGAGGACATGTGGCTAGTGATTTTGCAG